AAGCAACAAAGCTTCAGGCTTTGAGTTATGGCCAACACGCAACGGTCGCGGCGTATACAAACAAGAGAGAGAGAGAGAAGAGAGTCCTGGCGCTGGCGCTGGCCTGGCCCCAAAACTCCAGGACAGCCCTAGACAACCCACTGGCCCCACGTTTGCATTTCAATTGACTTTTCGGTGCGCTTCGCTTTTCCTTTCCGTCGCTTCACGTCGACGTCCGCGTCCACGTCCACGTCCTAGCTGCTCTGCATTTTTCACGATAAAATCATAAATCAGCGCTGGAATCAGGTAAATAAAAATAATGCTCCAACTCTGTATGCAAATTGAACTTCGGGCAGGGGGTGGAGAATCTTTCGCTGAGATTTGACTGTGCAAAAATATGATAAAACTTGGAGTCAGTCAAAAAACTTTTCTACTGTGGCCAAAAGTTGACTTAGCCAATGCTGGAGTCGGAAATTTTGAATAATATTGTTGAAGACAAGTTCTGATTCTTTTCGTAAAAATTTCTCCTTCGACTGTTGCTAGTATTTCTCTGTGTGTGTTTGTGCGTGTGTGTGTACGAGTGAGTGATGAGAAATAAATGGAAATGTCCCTGCTGCAATCAGAGAAAAGCAATGTTAATTAGCCAACGAACAAAACGGCATATCAAATGGCCAAGAGCAACAAACAAGCAGCAGTTGAAATTGGCAAAAGTCAAGCAACAGCAGGCAACAAAAACTAAATGAGTGCCCATGTAAACCAGTTCGAGTACTTCAAACTGCATTCCTGCATGAAGACACAGTCGAATATACTCTCTGTGGCACTCGGCACTTGGTATTCAGTTCCATTCCATCGATCACCGTTCCTTCGAAAGCTGAAACAGAGCTGGTCTCATCAAAAGAATCTCGCTCGCTCTCTATTTGATTATCACGAGATAGTGAGGGAGGCAATAAAAACGCACAAATATGTATATGGGTTTTTTCTCAGCCTGAAAATATTTATCTGAAATTCTGTGGATGTGTTTTTGTTTACCGGCAGTTGCAATTAAATATTGGACAGTTCCACAGATCAAGAACTTAAGTCAAACATTTGTTCAAAATTAGTGACCAAAGGTACAAATTCCAAGAAAAAATCGTATTAAATACTAATTGTGCCAATCTCACTGTTCGCCTTATTTTATAACATTTACTGAAAACATGCAAAATAATATTATGAAAAATATATTATATTTATAATTATAATTATGTCATTAAAATTAATAAAAATATTTTAGACCATAATATGTCCTTTAAAAATCACGACGGAAAAGCTCTTATAGCAGAAGTAAACTGTGATTGTATTGTATTCATATTTTAATAAAACGGACCGCAATGGAAAAAAGTGTTGACAGTTATTTGCTAGCTATGGTTTTAGCGCCTTTTAGAGACATATTCGAGGGATTTTTGGTCAGCCGATTTTAGTACAGACTTCAAACCTCTCTTTGTTTGTTCTGAAATCTGTGTTGCCTGGTGTAATTTGCAATCAGAGCAACCACAACACACACAGAAACATCCACTGGGTGGGAAGGCAAGCGAGCGGCAATGGCATGGCTTGAGCCCAGCCCAGCCCAGCGCTTTATTACTTCAAAAATGCTGCATTTGGGCAATGGCTGCTCGAACGCTCAAAGAGATTGGGCATCGAAGGGTGTGTGTGACGGCATGAGAGGGGGGGGCGGAACTCTGCAGCATATTTTCCCCGATTGCCGGCCTTTGGGCGTCGACTCATTAACTATCCGCAAAGCCTGGCAATCTCTGTCAGTTGCTGGCATTCGGCTTTTGTGGCAAACGCAACCCGAAACTGCATTGAAATCGTTGAGGTTACCGTTGCTGCTGCTGCCCGGCTGCCTGGCTGCCCCGCTGCTGCCTCGATGCCATGGCAATCGAGTGGCAATGCAGGCGGCAGGCAGGCGTCGTCTTAAAGTGGACTTCGTTTATTAATTAACACATCCAGGCACACCCAAGTCCAGGACTCGGACTTCCGCATCCCAGCAGAGATCGCTCGACCGCACTTGGTCTGGACTCCGGACGGACTCTTGAGCTACGGCGTGGGGCATCACCGGATTTGCTGTCGGAGAGCATTCGAAAGCATATTTGGATGCAATTGCCTTGCTTCGAATGCATGCGCCTCCTGCATCAATTATGGGGCATTTCCAAAATGTTTGAAACCCGAAACAAAGGCCCTCTGCGTTACGGGAATGAAATTTCCAAACTTCATTGTCTGTGCATTGGGCCTCCCTCTCCTCATTCGATAAGCATAAGCGGCTTTGGCTGGGAGCGTAGCCCTTCCCACCCCCCCACTACCCACACTTATGCGTTGCTGTTTATCTATTGGCAGGCAGGTCAGGACCTGCTGCCCTACGAAAGGCTTTAAAGCATGGGAGACAATTTGAAAATCTTCGCAAAGGGAAAAAGGGGATTCCAAGCGTTCCATTCCGTTCCCCTCCTAAAGAGTATCAGGTTATTGAGAAGGGGTTTTAATGGGGCAAAGATAGGTACCTGTATCGTTGCATTTGCCACTAATTATGGTATGTTTCCCCAGAGACACACACACACAGAGCACACACACACACGTTTTCCATTTGATTTCGTTCTTTGAAGGAGTCACGCTCGGCATCATTTAAAAGTTATTAAGCACAAATGCAAACAAAGCGCGAGATGCTGTTCGAGATGTGTCTCCTAGACGTAGATAAATATGCAGTGGGTGGTATGCCGAAGGAGCCTCCTCCACACTGCAGGCAAGATTCAACAGCGGAAACAGCGCTACACAAACAGTGAGAGCGAGCAGAAGACACTTATAGATGACACACACACACACACACACCTAGCCATACACACTACACACACACACACACATGCCCAGAGTCAAGTCAATAAATTCTCATTTCGCTAGATGCGTGGAATATTTCACCTGCAAACAGAGTGTATATACACAGAGAGAAAGCATCTGCATTAAGGAAAAATATACCTTCCGCAGTTTATGAAATTTGTATTCGTTTTTCTCTCAGTGTATATACACACTCTTGTGTAGCATTCGGTGGCAAAGCGACGCAATAATAAATACAAATAAAAACATGACGCATAAAGATTACAGCCACCACAAACGGAACGTGGGAGTGTCCCTACAGTCGCCTCCCCTCCCTCCAGCCCAATTCTCATCAACATCATCCTGTTCCAAGACGCACCGCGCCCGCACCCCAGGACGCTCAATACAATCTATATTAAGTATACGCACCGTTTGAGCCATGCATTTTAATGATGCCACCGCCATGGCATGGCCCCAGGCACGGCCAAAGCCGCAGCCACGTCACCCTTCGTCGTCTAATCTTTTGGCCCCCAACCCTTGGCTTCAACGACGTAAATGTTCATTTATTTTAATTAGTATTGCCTCATGCCATCGTAGGGAGGCGGCAGGACAGATCAAGGCAGGCGGGCAGCCAGGCGAGAGAGAGAGAGCCTCGCCCGCAGGTAAAGTCAACACAAAGATTTTCCCCAGACAAGGCTATTAAAAAGTACATTAATTTGATAGATTATCCCGCTGATGAGAACATCAAGGCAAGGGCATATGGCATATGGTAGGGCATGGTAGGGCCATAATTAATACAAAAATTCAATGTCAATCAGTGAGAGTTTATTTTCCACTCACATTGATGCTTTTCTTTTGCATTTTCCCTCGATGGAGCGGGTCAAACGAGTATGCACTTTAAGTAAGCTCATCAAAGACCTTTGCAGTTGTCGGTTGTTAGGCAATTTCTAATGGCAAAGTTGACTTTTGCTCTTGCACTTAGCCTCAGAGCCATCGGATCCACCCAACCACCCTGCAACCCACTCACTTACCTACTCCATCCACTTACTTTGCCCTGTTGACGCTGCTGCTGTTGCTGCTGGTGCTGCTGCTTATGCCGAGTAAATATTTCTATTTATGCTTCCCCATATACAGTTATTGAGCCGACCAACCGACCAACCGACCGACCGACCAACCACGTTTCTGTTTCCCCTCATTCCTGTGCCGGTGCCTGTGCCATGGCTACTTACTATGGGCCAGCCACTTGACCCGGCGCCTGGCAACGAACGTCCCTGGCACGTTGCTAATGTGCATAGCCATTAAGTCGGAGCTGCGTGTTTTGTTTACGCAACGGCGTGTGCCCTCCAGAGGAACCGTGGCAGGAGGCAGGTGGCATTCGACTGTTGCATGTTGCAAATGTAGCTGCAAAGAGGCAACGGCAGAGGCAACAGCAGTGGCAAAGTGAAAGGAAAAGGCATCAGCAAAATTATATTAAACCAATGCATTTGTTGGGTGGGTTGCCTAACAACAACAGCAAAAGCAACACGAAGTAAGGCTGCTCGCAGCGTGTTATACCCTTCAACAGAGCCGCAGGATATGCAGGATATATAGTGTAGACATTTGGAATCCAGGCTATAGTCATTCCAAAGTTTAATACTTTGGAGACAAACACGGGGAACTAAGTAACGACTGTCGGCATTGGCACTTATATTATATAAAATTAATTATTATTATTAATTATATTATATATTATATTTTAATTAATTAAAATAAATAAAATTACACGGATTTTTTCTTTGGTGTATATACGCAGCTGCAAGTTTCAAGGCGGGGTTTTTTCCCTTTTTGGTATTAAACAAGTTTTGATTTGGACATGTCAAACATTTCAGCAGAATCAAAATACCCCCAAAGCAGTGAACTACAACCAAGGCAACAGCATAAACGAACTGCTGGGCAGGGGAACTCCAGCAGGAAGAAGAAGAAGTATCAAAACAGCAACAGCTACAAATATAACAGAAAGTATAGCCATAACTGCAATCAATTGGAGTACAACGCCACCAAAGTCGAAGACTTACAAATCGAATCGAGAAATCGTTGAGCAAAGTACATGGAATATCTTTTATAATACGTTCCAAAAGTATACGGCAAAGATCATTTCTAGATATTTCTAGCAACAGAAAATCAAAGTACGCCTTGAAAATGTAATGGGTAGAAGTCATCCAGAATATGTTTCGTAAAGGATTGTTAACAAATTGAGAAGCAGCTCGAAACGTGTCCGCGAATAGTTGCGCCGTATGTTTGAATACCAAAGAGATTGAGCCAAGGGAAACATCTCTCTGGGTGGGTATTCACGGGCTGTATTCATATTTGGTTTTAGAACCGGCTGGCAGTTGGCCATCGCCGCAGTTGCAGCCACTGCCGCCACAGAGCCGCAACTGTTGTCCTGGGATACACAAAAGGATTTGCAGACGCCCAGGAGTAAGCACACACACAAACAACAAGAAGGGAGACGCCACAGCGAGGAAACGAACTCCACAACGGCAGATGAAATTGATTGAAAGAACAACAAAAACGGAAAGGAAAGGAAAGGTGGTTTAGAAGGAGCCTCAGTCTCCCTCCTACAGAAGTAAAGGTAGAACCCGACAGAGGCAGGGAGAGCAAGGTAGAGAGAGAAATCCCGTAAAATCAACTCAAACGTTTGATGTGCAGCCGCGCGAAGACATTGCCGTGCCACAGAAGTAGAGGAGGAGGAGCAGCAGCAGCAGCCTCAAGAAGAGCGAAACGAAGCCAAACAAGCAGCACCGGCAAAAGGCTGCCGCCTCAAGAACCAACAATCAATTCAAATAAGAGGAGGCAGGGACCACTCCACAATGGCACATCTTCAATTCGAGGGAGAGCAGCCGCCCGGGGAGACGCCGTCGCCCTTCTCAGATGCCTGGAGCCTACAGAGTCGCTCCACTGGCCAACGCTCGACGACCTACTCGGTGGGATCCATTAGCAACGATGAGCCGCGCATCATTTGGCTCAAGACGATAATTGCCAATATGCTGGGAGTGTTTGATTCAAAGTATGTGAACGAATTGATATCCAAGAACCAGGAGGCGGTGAGCAGCTTCCTGAAGAAACGATACGAGAGCCAGAAGGATCTCCACTATGTGGTGATGTTCGTCTGGCGCACCTTCTACGATCGCCTCATCGAGGAGGAGATCACAGTGCTCGAGGAGGTGCCACCTCCGCCCAGGCCCTCAGTGCCCGAGAAAAAGGGCAAGGGCAAGAAGGGCAAGGGCGATGCCAAGGGCGGTAGGCAGGCGGCAGGAGCAGCCACCAAGCAGGCACGCAAGAAGGGTGGACAGGATGTCGAGGCGGGCTCGGCACGTCCATCAACCACCGATCTGGAGGCGGGCGTGGAGGAGGGCACCTACACGGGCGGCGAGACCACCGATGCGGACATGGAGGGTGAACTGGAGGGCGAGGAAGAGGCCACTGTGGGTGGCAGTGGCAAGAGTTCGGCCCGCTCCAGACAGTCACGTAAGTGGAAATACACACGGCCCTCAAAAAGCTTCATCCACAAATCCACCATTTTACATTACAAAAACTAATTTCTGCAGCCAGCTCAGATACGGAAAATGGTAAGGCTTTTCTCTTAGTTTCCATTTTCCTTTTTTGAATTTTCTTTGTTTCTGTTCAAACCATTTTTTAATTTCAAAAGTTTTGCTCAGTTTTCGCCTTTTCTTCTGGCGATTGCATAAATTTTGTAGCCCGTCCAAAAACTTAATATCAAACGAAACGAATCTTTGGTCGCACTCTTCACATCATAAATATTTAAGGGGCTCATTTTCGGTTTTGGTTTCAGTTTTGCCTTTGCCTTTCTTTTGTAACTTTTAATTTGAATCATTCCCCTTCGCCCTACCCTTCAACAAATCCCACTATTTGGCGACTGAGCCCAAAGATAAGAGCCAAAGTTTCGGTTGTGGATCCATTCATTGCATTTAAATGGAATGGCGCGAATGAAGCGAATGGCGAATGCAAATTCCATTCGCTGCACTTTGTTCCATCCCATCAATCTCAATCAGCAGCTCTGTCGCTCGCTTCCTACAATTTGACACGCCTCCATTCACTATTCGCCCTCTTGCACTAATGCACTCCAACGTTTTCCCCCCCATTCACACTCTCCCCACTCTCCCACACGCCGTTCGATAACAGGCCGCAAAAAGAAGAAGACGTATGTGCCCGTCTATGTGGAGGTGAAGGTAAGCATTATGTCCGACTCACTCTAATTGCAGTGTAACATTCATTCAGTTTACAAATTGAAATTGGCTCTCCATCGATTCACTACCGCTTGGGCAGCACTGGGCCACACCCTAGTTTCCTTCGCAAACATCGTACATCCTAGGGATCTCTGCAGGAATGCACTCAAAATGGGAGACTGATGGAATGTGCTCGAATGAAATTGTATTTTTTATATTTTTTTAATCTTATCTAACTACTTTGTTTCGAGATGAGTTTGAGTTAATCAGTGTGTAAGTTGGAACGAGAAATAAGGCATAGCAGAGTCGAATTCATTCGAGTTTGCATTCCAATTCAATTATCCTATGCCTGCCGTTTTGAATGCATTCAAGCAAGCCCCTTAGTACTACATATACATATGTTTGTGTACATGGTACATACATATGTACTTAAATGTTTCACATTTCCACAGAAATTGGTGCCAGCATATGTTAAAACCCCGCAGCTGCATTGCCACTTTGGGGAAATGGATTCATCGGCTTTGGATCCCAAAATTAAATACGTTTACATTTTGCGCAAGAATCGCAGGGAGATACGTAAGTCGCTGACAGACGGACAGAACAAACCACTTTCCTGATTATTAATTTGTTAAGCTTAATCTGTGCTACCCGTTTCCCTTCTTTCAGCCTGGTTCAATGAGATAGCCAACTGCTTTGCGGAAATGCCGCTGCTCTTCCTGTTGGGCACCGTTCGGGGTTCACTCATCGATTCGCTGCGCGACGACCTCAACTTGGTAAGCATCCCAGAATCCCAGAATCAACCTAGGCCGTAATCGGACATTAAAAGACGCATCACTTAATGCCTCTTCGGCATTGTACGAGTATTGTATTGTATTCTCCGCAAAATCACTCAAATTTGCACCCGTTTTGCTCATTTCACACACCATAAAACGTTCGCCAATCAATCAGTGGAGACTTTAAGGCATTCAGCAGCTCCATTGTTTCAAAAGGCTCGTGGCATGTCCTTGGTCCGCTTCGGTCCGCTACTTCCTTCCCTTCATCGGTTTGTCCATTCCTCAACCGCAAAACAAAATGTTGTGACGAATTGTAATTAATTCCCAAAACAAGGCAGTCATCTATCAAAAGGCCCGCTGTGCCGCAAAGATTTTTCCGCTTCACTGCACGCCAGAGGATGGATGGATGTGGATGCCCCTTCGATGTGGGGCTTCCATCCAGCGGATGATGGTCTGGTCTGATGTCGGGGATGCGGGTTCGTTGGTGGGGCGGTGGGATCACGCCTACCGAGCCGCCTTAAGCGGTGACCGCCAACGCAAATTGCTTCATCATAGCTTCAAAATGGGCTGCGGTTTCCATTAGGCTGGTTGCTGCCACTCAGCCCCGGCCCCTGCCCCTGCCCCGCCAAGACTTGGACTTTTGCAAATTTTGCGGTCTATACAGTAGCGTGGGGAAAGGGGAGTCCTGCGCAGCCATAATATTAGCTCTTTGGATTGAAAATAAATTGGAACATTTTTGTTGAAAATCAGGTTTTTTTTTGGTGCAAATCAACGCGAAGAATCTATTATAAAATCTACTCAGACCGCAGGCCAGGACTGGACTGGACTCTACAATTTTCTTAATTATTCTCCACCTTTTATTGTTTATGTAAAACAATTTCTCCCATCATCTCCCATCATTAATATGAAAATATTCAATTAAAATATGTTAAATATTTAAATTAAATATTTCTCGTATTTAAATTAAATATTTTTAATATTTAAATTAAATATTAACATATTTAGATGGAATATTTCGCATGCATATTAATATATATTATATTTATTCCAAAGGAAGATTACAGTATGTATTTTACTGTGTATTAGTGGCGCGTCTAGTGCATATGCATTTATGTTTTTTTTTCTCATTCCCCTCTCTTAACTTTGGTTTTCTCTCCCTTCCATCTCTCTATGCGGCAGGTCTACAAAAGCGCCATTCAATATCAATTTCGTGAACCGGCCACAACGGACAGCCAGCAAATGGACAGTTATGAAGGCCAAGCCGGCGGTGGCGGTGGTGGTGGTGGTACTGGCGGCGCTGCCGGGGATGCTGGCGAGGATGTTTCGAGCGAAGCCAAGGAATCGGGACCGGGTCTATTGGAGCTATCCAAACCATCGGAATTTCGTTTGAAAGCGCTTAAACTACAAAAGTATTTAACTTTTAACAAAGGCAATGCCGCCATTCGCTCCGTTGCCCGTTGGCGCAATTCGTAGGGCGTGGATTGCAGATCTGTGTGTGTGTGTGTGTGTGTGTGGGATGTAGAAGGATGCCTCTGGTGGCAGGGAAATGCTGCTCTGCTGCCCCGCGCTTTATTGGTTTCGGTGCTGAGTGGAGAACTCTTCCCTCTTTCTCTCCACTCAGGAGTGAGACTCTCCCTGTCTCTCCGATTCTGAATGTTGGTTTTCTTTTTCGTTTTTTCGTTTATTTTTTTTTTTTTTGGTGGTGATGCAAATATTTTTTTGTTTGCCTTTGTTTTGCGTTTATCGCTGGTTACCATCGAAAGCGGCGGCGGCGGCTACAGTTTCCTTTTTCGTACAGGTCCTGCAGAAGAGAGAACCCTTTTCGCACATAAATTACAGCGCATCCGATAAGAAATTTTTATTTTTAATCGGATTTCATGCTACCATCAACGGTGGCGCCACCATCTCGCGCCTTTGTCGTTGTCGTCGCAGTCCCAGTCGCAGTCGCTGTTGCCGCTGTTGTCTTTTGGGCCATTTTCCATTTGTTTGGCAGGCAGCATTTATGGCAGCATCCTGTGCCGCTCCACGCACCCCGCCGCACTTTTCCTTTTCCATTCATCCTTGCATTGGCTTTGGCCTTTCATTGCGCGCAACGCGAATGCCACTTGACCGCCGCCAGAGTTAAAAATTTTTTGTTCCCTCGTTTCTGTCTTTTTTTTGTTGGTTTTTTTTCCTTGGGTTGTTTTTTTTTTTAGGAGGCATGTAGATTAAAAAATGCCAACGCAGTCGACGGGATCCGAACCGAGAGTTGGGTATCCCACGTCCAGAGCGCATCCTTTGTTGCCCCCTTTTGTTGCCGATTTGTTGCTCATTTTGTTTCTTATCGGCTGACGGGGCGTACGAGGGGGTGGGACGGCCGGCCTTGCCTTTCATTACGCTTTGTGTTAATTTCGAATGCCGTTTCGCGGACTACGTTAATTGTGTTTGTTTGTTTGTTCCCCAGGAAGAAGAAGGAGCAGGAGGCTCTGGCCAAAAAGCAGGAGAAGGCCAAAAGCCTGAAGCCGGAGGCAGACAGAGACGCCGACGACGAGGACGAGGCCGAGGGACAGGCCAAGGCAAAGACGGATATCATATCCTCATCGGAGGAAGAAGGTGAGTGCATAAATCGTTGGCTTTCAAATGGAGGAGATCTCTCTACCAGATGGGCACACCCACAGAGGAGCATAAACCCGAGAAGCTAACGATTGGTGAGCGATGGGAGAAGATGCTGACGGAGACCAAGGCCAAAGTTGAGGCGGAGCATGCCGCCGAGGAGGCCACCCCGCCACGCATCACACCCATCCAGCGGCGAATTCTCAAGGAGATCGATGACTTCGATTCGGAGATCGGCTGGACCATCAATCACATTGTTTGGGCCTTCAGTATGCCCTCGTCGTACATCCTGCCAGGCCAAGGGGAAGTGGAGTTCGAGGAGGCCCTCATCCGCGTCCCTGTGGACCCGAAGCGACTGGACCTGGTGCCCACCTACACGCAGGAGCAACTGGAGCAGGTCGTCGAGGGTTGGATCAAGTTTCTCAACAAGACACTGAAAACCCTGATGGATGCCAAACTGGATGAATTCACGCCGATGGCCGAGTATCGATACTGGCACAAAATGGAGGTGGAGCTCTACGGCACCATCGAGCAACTGAAGACCGACTTTGTGCTGGCTGTGCTCGAGCGTCTTCAGAGCGATCAGTCACCCATGACCCTCGAATGGGAAAAGATCCTTGAGACCACAGAGAATCGCTTCAAGTTGGCCAAAGAAAATTCGGACTATCTAGGCACCATCACGGATTACTTGGAGGTTGGGATACTGCTTCTGCCGCTGCTGCCTCTCTCTCCCCCCTTGGAAATATCTTTTAAATTTAATATATTTTTATTGCAGAAAGTACGCAGCTTCGACAGCTTTAAAATGACTGTCCTTCAGATACCAAATATAATGGTGGGACTGCGTCACATTTGGACCATGTCCAGCTACTATTGCCGTGACCCCGAGATGCAAGTTCTGCTCTGTGAGATATCCAATGTCTTTGTGCAGAAGGTCAAGAAAATCATCAACTTTGAGAACATTTTCCGGTGAGTGTTTGCAGCACCAGAAAACACATTTAATTACACGGTATGCCCCTGCCGTTAGATACTCCTCAACGTACACCCATGAGACGGCCACAAATTGTGCCAATCTGCTGCGCTGCTGGAAGCAGGCCTACAAGCTCAGCCGTCGACACATCGAGGAATCGGGTGCCGGCTCCCGCTGGGAATTCGATCGCGTGGCGCTGTTTAATGAGGTCAATCACATACATCGCGTGGCCGTGGACATTGCCTACATTGGCAGGGTGTTCATTCAGTACGAGAATCTGTTTGGGCATCGCCTCAAGGCCCTCATTGCGGACCCATCCATTGTGGATAATCTGATGCGAAAGGTGTACCGCATGCTGGATGATCTAATGAACAGCGTTGACTACGATATGTTCCGGCCGGGCAATTGGGAGAACTGGGAGTATTCGCTGGAGCAGTTCAACAGGCGGCTCGAGTCCCTGGAGCAGGAGGCCAAGGGTGTGATTGACCAGAGCATCAATTCGCTGCTCTCGTCGGAGAAGGGTCTGCAGCTGGTGACCAATGCCATGAACATCGATACGCGCAAGAGCCTGCAGGAGTTCGTGGCCACCAAGCATGAGAATCTTTTGCGTTATTTTGTCACAGAAATCAATACCGTGGAGAGAGTTTTTATGGTTGGTTCTCAACTCACAAATATCCCAACAGGTTTTACCAGTAAAATGCTCTTCATTTCATCCTTGGCAGAAACATAAAAAATCGCCACCCATGTCCAAGCATCAGCCGGCAAAGATAAGTGCCATTAGCTGGGCCCGACTACTGGGCCGTAAGCTCAAGAGCTCTGTGCTGGCCTTCAAGCGGGTGGAGGATGATCCGGCGCTGAAGAATAGCTTCCTGAAACGCAGCTCCTTTAAGCAGTACTTCGAGCTGATGACCACCATGTACCAGTTCGAGAAGGTGCTCTTCGACACGTACCTCCAGAATGCCACGTATCTGGTGAATCACACAAATCGCTCGCATATTCTGGCCATTCGCATTTGCAAGGCCAGCACAAGTGGGTCTTGAAATAATGCTAATTATAATTCCACACAATAATCCTACCCTCCCATGACAGTGGATTACATTTCCGAGTCTGTGCAAACGCTGAAGGCGAAACCACGCGAAGGCGGCTCCCATTTGGGAATGAGTACGACAAAAAGTGCGTCAAATCATTTGCATTCGGTAATCCATAGCGGCCTGAGCCTGAACACGTCCTATGGCGGCTCAGTCGAGTCCCTGGAAGATGTCGAGGATGAGGCGACCGTCGGCGATACGGCCTCAAAGACGTTGATGTGCCGCATCAATCGCTTCACCGTGCTGACGGCCATGATCATGTGGATGGTCAGCAATACGCGGCAGGCCAATCTGCAGCTGCAGAAATGTCTGCAGTTCATTGCACAGTTCAAGGAGAAGAAGGCCAAGGATATCACGCCCATGGACAGGCATTGTCTGAGCATTTGTGAACGTAAGTTGAGCGACAGACATATCAGCTGTCCAAACAGAACTACGAGCATTTGGGTCTTTTTTTTTCCAGTGATGGATCGCAGCGAGTCGCAACGCCTGCTGCCCATTTGGCGCGAACTGGTCGATGACAAAGTTCTCATCGAATATGATTCCGAATTTATTGTGAATTTGAATCGCGAGATTTTCGACACCCTGTTTGAGGGGCAGCTGTTCGAGCATCTGGGCTTTGAGCTGCCCTCGGTGCTGCGCACTGGCATCATGCGCAAGGATCTGCTGTTCAAGGACTACGAGAAGCTGAGCGAGGTGATCAATCGGTACAAGGGCATCATTGCCAATCTGTCCATGTCCGAGGTGATCTTCCTGCGCGGCCACATCTACGACACGGAGCTGTTCATCCAAATGGGACTGGGCCGCTACACCTGGATCTCGTTCAACATTGGCAAGTTCTGCGAGCAGATCAACTCGCAGCTGCGTAAGCTCACGTCCATTGTGTCGCAGATTCAACTTCATCCGCCTGGACCTGCGCAACCGGATCGATCTGATCAAGAACTACAACCTATTCAATCTGGACTCGGAGACCATGGATGATAAGCAGTCGACGGCGGTGGCCGTGAACTTCAGTCAGTCGCGCAGCGACATTGGACTGCAGCCCGTGCGGAGTCGCATGTTCGTCTCCAGCACTGGCGCCTCCATCACGATGTTCAGGGACGAGGAGGAGGACGACGAGAAGCAGAAACAGGAGCAATACTGCGGCGTGGATGTGTACCCGTGCGAGGGTTACTTTGAGCTCTTGGAGTCGTCGCGCAATCGCAAGGCGGCCCAAATGAAGAAGCTGTACGACTCACTGGGTCCGGTGCTCGTCAAGCTGGAGAGCTTGGTCCTGGGCACATTCACCGGCAGATCGGACAAAATGAAAACCTACTATGAATTCTGGGAGGAGGAGACATACAAGTGCATTGTGGAGTAAGTTTAATGGCCAGCATTCACATTCATCAGCAACTAAACGCTGTATTTCCATGGGTACAGCATGACCTATCAGAATCTAAAGTGCTACATAAATCGCCTGCTGTCGGACAATCCCATGTTTGAGGTGAATGCCGTGCTGCTCATGTCGGAGATTGTGCTGGAACCCTCCATCCAGGAGCTGCAGAACATCATCATCACCGCATCCAAGGATTATCTGTCGCGTCTGAAGATCTTCACGCGCTGGATGGCTGGCACCTGTCTGTCGTGTCCGCTGATTGAAACCGGTGCCCAGTGGAAATTCAATTATACATACTACGAGGACATTGTCCAGATCAAGTCCATTGTGGATCTCATCATAAATATTCACGATTTGGCTGGAAAAATTGCGCTCGAAGCCAAGGGATTTGTCACGCAGTAAGTTACACAGCAAATCCTTTCAGACTATGTACATATGTGTGTGTGTGTTTGTGTGTGTGCTTTGTCCTTCAAAGATTCCGCAAGTACTTCAATCTGTGGGCCTACGAGAAGAGTTTCATATGCCAGAAATTTGTGCAGCGCCAAGTGACGCTTATCGAAATCGATGAGAAATTTACATTTTACTCGGCCATTGTGGAAACGATGGCCAGCATGCGCAAGTATCACGACGTCAAGTGTGTGCGCATAAATTTGCAACCATTGCTGCAGAGCATCACGCAGCATGCTCAGGAATGGTGCACCATACTGGGCGAGGAGCTATTGCTGCATGTCAACGAGAGCATGAGGGCAATGCGAAACGAAATCAAAGTGAGTATGGCCAGATGGCCAGCCCGGCCAAGACCCACGCCCACTGCCTGATTGTCAAGTCAATTCTCCTCACTCAATCCCCTACCCACTCATTGCATATCCTGTGGGGCAGACTCTCAGCATGAACCTCAACAAGACCACACGCGAGCTGGAGGACTTTAAGCTGGTCATGCAAACAATCGCCACAATTCAATCGACGACGCTGACCAACGAGCAGAAGATACACGAAATGCAGGAGACCTTCACAGTGCTCAGTGAGCATAAAATTATGGTAAGAATTCTGCATCCGATCCGGATCCGATCTGATCCCAATCACAGCCAATCCAAAACCAAAACCAGATTGAAACGAATTTCAATTGCATATTTTTGCTGGCACGCCGCTCCGCACTCCCCACTGATTGTGATGCTACGATTTCCCCCCATCCGCCACGCTCTAATCCAATCCTTCCTAATAGCTCCACAGCCACTCATTCCTCGCTGCTTTAATGAAAGTTGCTTAAGTTTGCTAACCATGGCGCTTATTTGTGTATTCAAATGAGCAGCTTTACACAGAAAATCCCCACACCCAAAATGCCCCATCCGTAGTCTGCGACGGACTGCGACTGTTTCTATTTCTGTTTACATATGCATATTTGGCGGTGCTGGACCATTTGGAAATGGCTTTCCGTTTTTGGTGGTTACATAAATGCAGCACAGGACACAGCGAATAGAGCGGAGACCAGAGTCCCAGATTAGGAGCCAACCAGCCAGCCAACGAACGAACCAACCATCTCCGGTCTGTTGCCAGTTGCTGTGCGTTTCTCTCTCTCTCTCTCTCTACTGTACTCTCTGCCATTTTTCGGGATTCGTTTCGTTCATTTATTGATGGCATTTCGTGGCGGCGGCAACGTCGCTTAGCTTTTGGCCAGACAAAACGGAATTAACTTGCATTTTATATAAATTAATGAATGAATGCACACACACACACACAGTGCCCCTGCCCCTGCCCCTATCCCTGCCACTGCCACAGACGCAGACACATTGAATGGCGTTGCAATCCGCTGCAAAGGCCAAATGAAAATTTATGCGGTGGCGGCCATGAAAGCTGTGCTATAGTTTTTTTTTCCACTTTTCTTTTGGGTTTTGCGGTGGTTGGACGGGTGCTGGGTGGGGGCGGAGCGCATTGCCACGCCTCGTTGGTCGTTAGTGAATTTCGGGCACTTTTCATGATTATTATTTGCACTCAGCGATAATTGAAGGACACTGCTTAATTTTCATGTGCGTTTCTCCCATTCCATTCCATTCCATTCCCAATTGCAGTTCCCCTACGAGGATATGCTGATGGCCCACCACCTGGAGAAGCGCTGGAAGCGACTGTTCCTCTCGGCCCTGTATCGCTCGGAGAAGCTGCAACCAATTAAACAGAAGTTCGCCGATATGACTTCCGTTGAAATTGACGTTTTCTGCGATGATGTAAGTTGTGCGGCGATGGAAAGGAAGTCCTTAGGGCTTGCAAATGGGATTAGGAGCGGCTGCGGCTGCGGCTGGGCGCTGCCGACTTTGCATTTCCGCTATTTGGCGTTTCTTTTTTTTTTGTTTCTTTGTGTTTCTGCAATTCTGTTTTGTTTCCTTCCCCCATTATTATTTCCTTTCAATGGCATTTTAATTGGATTTTTCCGCGCGCTCAACCATTATTGTCAATTGCAATTGTTAGCGGCGGACGCTGGCGCTGGCGCTGTCGCTGTCGTCAGCGTAAAATGAATTAACTTGAAGTGTTTATCATTTGAATTGAGGCGAAAAAGGACCAGGATACATCTTGCAGCATCTATCTTTTGTAACTTTATGCTGCACCTCAACTGCGTTTCTCGTCCTCTCCCATTGACAGCTGGACGAATTCATCAAGGACTATGACGAGAACGGCCCTGGCTCGGTGGGCGGCGAGCTGGAGCGCGGCGTACGCCTCATGGATCCCTATGGCCAGAAGATCAACGAGCGCGAGCTGCGACGCCAGGAGCTGGCCAATGCCGAGCGACTGTTCGATATGCCCATGGTGGATTATCATGAATTTGGACGCGTTCAATCGGAATATGAGGGTCTCCAGCAGGTCTAATCCTTACACGAGTTTCCTCTCGAAAGATTAAATTATTTCAAATTTCCTTTTGCAGATCTACAAACTGTACAGATCGCAGAAGGGTGCCCGTGAGATCTGGGGCAAGACGCTGTGGGCCGACCTGGATCCCACTGTGCTGACCGAGGGCGTTGAGAGCTATCTGAAGGAATTCCGGAAATTGCCCAAGCCGGTAAGCCTCCGGGTGGCCTCCGGGCGGGGCGGGTAAACTTTGCCAATTAAACAAAGTTTTTGGCCTGCTTGGATTTTCATAAAATTACAGACGCCTCCAAACAACAACAACAACAACAGCAAAATACTTTTGAACTGTGAACTCCTCCCACTCTCGCGCCCCCAGTCTCGCCCCCTAAACGAAGGCTTGGGCTAGTCGAAAAGAATGAGAGACCATTTCCTTGCCTTTTGCCAGCTCCTGCTGGGTAACAGACGTTCGAGCATCTCCTCTCCACTGCAGCCAGCGCTGGTCACCTGAACTCCCCCCCCGGGCCACTGCCATGGCCACGCGCCTTGCAGCGACACAATTTTGCACCTAAACTGATTATGACAAATTGATTTATTTACTTGACTAACAAGTTTTTGAGGAATTTCAGCGCCCCCCACCACCCAAAAAAGCCAAAAAAGTTTTGTGTGCCTGGGCGTGTCCGTGTCTCCTCCCCCTGTGTGGGCTGTGGATAGCTAGGTGGGTGCGGTGGGGGCTTTGCTAGAGAAGTAGATTAGTATGGCAAATATTTCATTAGTCTGCTGGGATTAATATAAATAGCAGTCAGCGTGTGGTGTGTGTGTGTGCACAAAATTTGAATATAATCATTCGACATGCACATATTTTAATGCACAGTTTTATCGCGCATAATTTCGGCGTACAGGCGCCGCATGGCGCGGCAAGGCACGGCATGGCACCACTGCGAAAAGGCTCTACATAATCAGGCGTTCTAAAATGTAAATCAATTTGTTCAATATTGGAAATAATTAAAATGCCAGCCGCGGGGCGTCTACTGGTCCTGTGCTGTCCCATCCTGTGCTGTGCTGTGCTGTACTGTGTGCTGTCCTTTACTCGACTTGTTGACAGTCCCAGTGCGCTGCACAGTTGCCGCTGCCATTGGATTTATGTCCTCGCGTTGGTCGCGACTGCTATGAATTTTGCATGTGCAAACAAACAGACAGCACTGTGTGCAAACAGAATGCGCTTTTTGGCTAACAACAGCAGCAGCAGCAGCAACAGCAGCAACAAGAGAGCAGCAATGGGAGGAGTTAACCGAGAAACCAAAAACCACCAGCCCACAGGACACGCGTTCGTCATAATTCAATGCGGGGCAGCCACAGGCGTGGCAACCACACTATTGTTTCAACTGATTTGGCATTGCAGCTAACTAACCAATCTTTTGCATCTCCCTATCCCTCTACCCCCCTGGTACAGATTCGTCAGCAGCCGGTGGGACAGCAGGTGGAGCTGCACATGAAACAGTTCAAGGGCACTGTTCCATTGATGGTCAGCCTCAAACATGAGGCACTGCGCGAGCGCCATTGGTTGCAGCTAATGGAGAAGACGGGCCAGTACTTCGACATGTCGCCGGCGCGCTTCACCCTGGAGAATATGTTTGCCATGCAGCTGCACAAGTACCAGGAAATCGCCGAGCAGATCCTGACCAATGCCATCAAGGAGTTGCAGATTGAGCGCGGTGTGCGCGCCGTCGAGGAGACCTGGGCGGTGATGGCCTTCAAGATACTCAAACACTACAAGGGCATGGATGATCGCGGTTGGGTGCTGGGACCCGTGGATGAGATCAGCCAGGTGCTGGAGGACAATGGCATGAATCTACAGTCCATGGGCGCGAGTCAGTGAGTACAAAAAAATAGAAAATAAATGTTTAATTTCCACCAATTGGACTTACATTTCTCCCGCCACCCCGCATTTGATGTGCACAGATTCATTGGCCCCTTTCTGGAGACGGTTAACAAGTGGGAACGCACTCTGGCCATGGTCTCGGAGATCATCGACGAGTGGCTGGTGGTGCAGCGCAAGTGGCTGTATCTCGAGGGCATATTCATTGGCGGCGACATTCGCACACAACTGCCGGAGGAGGCGAAGAAATTTGATGACATTGACAAGTCATATCGAAGGGTAAGTGTCCGGGCTCCCATTCCCATTCCCATGTCCTTCCCTTCCTTCATTGCTGAACTTGTGTTTGCTTGTTCTGGTTATTTGGTTATTGGGTTATTTGGTTGTTTGCTTAAGCAGGGGGCATGGGGCATGGGGCAGTGGCATGCCACCAGGCATACTTAGTATCTGCTACAATTTATTTGAGTTGATTTAATGTGTGCCGACAATATGGCGACTCCTTACTTAACGGTAAACATAATACGCATGCAAACGACTGCTTTCTCCATATATATGTATGTGCACATACAATAACATTCCTCCCCAGAGCACAAAACACACACACACACACATTACACACATTACACATACGCATCGTGGGCCCAGTTCCCATATCAAGGGAGAGTGAGAGAGCGAGTCCCTTATGTCTACAAATGCCAAGCACTTTCACCTTCCCACTCACTACTACTGCTTCATTTGCTGCCTGCCTGCCTGCCTGCCTGCCTACCTACCTACTACCTACTACCAATACCAATTGCCATGAAATCGGCTTTTCTATGGGCACACCCGTGTGTAGTAGTATCTGTGTGTGTGTGTGTGTGTGTTCGAATGGATGGATGGATAGATTTGTGTGTGTGTGTGTGTTTGGCGCTTAACTTCACTTAACCTTGCCAGCCGCCACTTGCTCTCTTCTCTCTCTCCCTCTCCAATTCCCTCACCGGTTTGCTTTACGTTTCATTTGTAACATTTGCCGCCATATTTGATGCCATTTGTGAAATGATTTATTATTTTGATTTGCTCTCGACATTCGTGTTAAGTTTATACACTCACAATCAGATGTATTCGGTCAGAGCATCATTCACTTGGACACAGATTAAATCCATACAAATAATGCAAGAATGTCGAAAGCGAAAAGAATTGATTGCCAGCTAAGCCCAAAACTTACTCCCATATTAGCCCATATTTCATAGCCATAGGTAGAGCATCTTATGGCGTGCCTTGCTTAGTTATTCTTTTCCCTCTAATATGTTTGATTATATTTCGGTTTTGGCCGTTGCTCGCTCATTGCCTTTCATAATAATTTACTGCCGTAACTGGCGTTACCATTGGCCGCTTTCCTCCACTCTCTGACTTCACTTTACTTCCTCTTCCATTGCAGATCATGGTCGATTGTGCCAAAAATCCGTTAGTGGTGCCATTCTGTACAATACCCGGACGCTTAGTGGATATACAAGGCCTGGGCATTGGCTTGGAAAATTGTCAGAAGTCGTTAAACGAATATTTGGACTCGAAGCGTCGCATTTTTCCGCGTTTCTATTTCATATCCACCGATGAGCTGCTCTCCATTTTGGGCAGCAGTGAGCCATCTGCAGTGCAGAACCACATCATTAAGGTGGGTTGGGTACAAAGATGGCAAGGGCGGGCTACTTCAGTTCGAGCTTCTGTGCTTCGGTGGGTGGGCGTTTGGGCCATGAAGTGGGGGGTTGGTTGGTTCGGTTTTGCTGGTGACAACAACAGATTTGCCAAACTACCAGTGACATTATTTTTATGTACGACTGGGCGTGTGTGCATGTATATGAGCCAGAGTCTTGCCATAAAAGTTAATGTCACTGTTTATTCGTTCTGGCCAATGTCCATGGCGGAAATTACGCCAATTTCTGCAACACATGCATGGCACCGAAACCCACAGCCAGCAGCCAGCAGCCAGCAACCCGCATCCAGAATTGAACCCACTTCCAGCCAGACGTCCCTTGAGCCGTGGTAAATTTTTATGAATTTATTTGGCTTATAAATAAAAAGTATATGTTTTTTTTTTGCTTTTTTCTGATTTTTCCTCTGCATTGATTTTGCAATTTTCATTTACCCCCTCGCAATCCACTCCACAGATGTACGACAATATCAAGTCACTGCGTCTGGTCAAGGAGGGCAGCCTGACGATGGTCACCGCCATGATATCCAGCGAGGGAGAGGTCATGGAGTTCCGTCATATTGGTAGGTTCCGTTCCGTGCCATTTCGTTCTGTTCTGTTCGGTTCCTTTCAGTTGCGATCCGAAGAGCCTAGCCCCAGCCACAATACAACATTCAGTGCTGTACGCACTGATTGCCAATTTTAAAATTGAACTTTTTTATGGCATTATTGTCTGGCAGTGTCTGCAGCAGCTACTGGCTGTTTGGCCAATTTCTTTTAATTAATTTGAAGCCAGTCCACAGTCCCGCAGTCCCGCAGTTGGCATCGAGGCAAGAGGCATCATCAGCATGGGTCGGTCCGCTCCAACCGGAGATGATTGCTTCTTTCTGTTCTGGCTGTACAACAGCAAATTTTATCGATGTTGTATACACACTTATTGATATTGGCAACTGGGGTTTATTTATGCGGTTATTGTTTTCCGTCCTTTCGCCCGCTCTCTCTCTCCAGCCAGGGCCCAGGGTCGCGTCGAATACTGGATGAACGATGTGCTGGATGAAATGCGTCGCTCGAATCGCTTCATAAGCAAGACGGCCATCTACGACTTTGGCACAGATCTGGAAATTGCAAGGTAAGTGAGAGTTGGACGAACGTCAGCTGTGTTGGGGCATAAAATATGTTTTTATTTTATGCCTCCTGCTTCACATCCACCGCATCCTTCCCCCATCTTCTTCTGAAACAATAAGCGAGACTCGGGACAGACAAACAGACAACAGACAGACAGACAGAAACTTCAGCAGCCAATTCCTTTTATGGCCAGTGATTTACATTGCATGAGAGGGAGTCCGGGGCTCCCACTCCCCTTTCGGACTGTATAATTTTGTCATTTCGCGCGATTTATTATTTTGTTTAAGCCGCGACGGCGCATGGCCGAGCATATTTATGGCCAATTGTATTAAATTGACAGTCATTGGGCACTTTCGATTTCTATAGACCCGAGTGGCTAATGAACTACCAGGGCATGGTGGGCCTAGCCGCCAGTCAAGTGTGGTGGACCGCCGAGGTGGAGGAGGCCTTCGATCAGGCCCAGAACCATGGCAATATGCGCGCCATGAAGGATTTCCTCAGCAAGAACAACTACCAGATCGAGGAGCTCGTCCTCAAGGTGCGCTCCAATCTGTCGCGCAACGATCGCCTCAAGTTCAAGGCCCAGTGCACGGTCGATGTCCATGCCCGGGACATCATCGACAGTTTTGTGCGCGACAATGTCCTGGACTCCAGCGAGTTCAGCTGGGAGAGCCAGCTGCGCTTCTACTGGGTGAAGTTCTACGACAATCTGCACGTCTTCCAGTGCTCGGGCAGCTTCGATTACGGCTACGAGTACATGGGCCTCAACGGACGCCTGGTGATCACGCCCCTGACGGATCGCATCTACCTGACCATCACCCAGGCCCTGCTCATGAATCTGGGCGGAGCGCCGGCCGGTCCGGCGGGCACAGGCAAAACGGAAACCGTCAAGGACCTGGCCAAGGCCATGGGTCTGCTCTGTGTGGTCACCAATTGTGGCGAGGGCATGGACTATCGGGCCGTGGGCACCATCCTCTCGGGTCTCGTCCAGTGCGGTGCCTGGGGCTGCTTCGACGAGTTCAATCGCATTGACATCTCCGTGCTCAGTGTGATATCCACGCAACTGCAGACCATACGCAATGGCCTCATACGCAAACTGGAACGCTTTGTGGTATGTGCAGCAGACCAGTCCCCCACACTCCACTCTCTTGTCCCTGGATTAACCTTTAACCTGTCCCTTTTTAGTTTGAAGGAGTGGAGATCAAACTGGATCCCAAGTGCGGTGTATTTGTCACCATGAATCCTGGGTATGCCGGACGCACCGAGCTGCCGGAGTCAGTGAAGGCTCTGTTCCGGCCGGTGACGTGCATTAAGCCGGACCTTGAGCTGATCTGCCTGATCTCGCTCTTCTCCGACGGCTTCCTCACGGCCAAAGTGCTGGCCAAGAAGATGACGGTGCTCTATGCCCTCGCGCAGGAGCAGCTCTCGAAGCAGTGCCACTACGATTGGGGCCTGCGCTCCCTCAACTCTGTGCTCCGCATGGCCGGAGTGATGAAGCGACAGTCCGAGGATCTGCCAGAGGCCGTGGTGCTGATGCGCGTGCTGCGCGACATGAACTATCCAAAGTTCATATTCGAGGATGTGCCGCTGTTCCTGGGACTCATCAAGGACCTGTTCCCCGGCATCGATTGTCCGCGCGTCGGCTATCCGGACTTCAATTCCGCTGTGCGTCATGTTCTGGTCAACGATGGCTACATTCTGCTGCCCGATCAGGTGCGTCTGCCAATTGTTAGCTTGGTTTCTGCCCTGTCATTACAGTGTTGACAGTAAACACAAACTGGAGACTGGAGGCTGGCGGCTGGCAGCTGGATGCTGCAGGCTGGAGACTGAAGACTGGAGGATGGCCTTTCCTTTTCCTGCACCTGAAATGCTACCGGACATGACAGTGTCCTTGTCAGTGGGGCTCCCTCCCACTCCCCCCTGCCTGCCTGCTCGGGCACTTTGACACTTTGTAAATTGCGCCATGTCGCATAATCGCAAATGAAGGAAATGTTACAAAGCATTTTGCACGACCCAGGCCACGGCATGGCAGGGCAGGGCAGGGCAGGGCAGCGCAGGGCAGGAAAGCCCACATCCAATTTCAACTTTGCACTCCTCTGGCTGCTCTCCACTGCTCTCCAGTCTTCTTTACTTGCTGCTGACAATTTTCACTAATACAATTTTCCATTTCTTTGCTCCACCTCCACCCCGCTCTTCCCAATGCTCATCTCCATCTCCTACTGGGTTTTTGTGCCACTTTCATCAAACAAAATGTTGCACAAATGTCGCACAAAACCCCAACGCCCTGGACAACGCCGGATATGGACAACTGCTGGACATGTGATGTCGTGTCTTCCTCATGCTGCCATACCTGGTACCTGGTACCTGGTGTCCGCTTGTGTCCGCCTCCGGCAACATCATTTATGACAACTAAATCCCAACAACGGCAACGCCTTCGGCTTTGCTTTACTTTTTACTTTCTACTTTGCTTTGCTCCACATCTCCGCAATCTCTTCTCGCTGGCTCCACGGGATATGGATGGACGGGAGGACAGGAGGACAAAGTGGTGCAAATGTACGAGACCATGATGACCCGGCACTCGACCATGATTGTGGGCCCAACAGGTGGCGGCAAAACTGTCGTCATAAATGCTCTGGTCAAAGCGCAAACCCACATGGGCCTGCCCACCAAGTGCATTGTGCTTAACCCGAAGGTAAGTGCGGACGGAACGTAACACCCAACCACCCCACCACCCTACCAGAACACACACACGGCAACACTCTCACAAATTGCTCAACGGAAGGTCCTGCTTGGCTTTTTTTCGGTCCGTTTTCTTGTCTGCCTTTATGACCACCTGGGGGGAAGGGAGATATTTCTGCTTAGGTCCATCCTGCACATGGCCTTTGTTTTACGTAATTTGCTTTGCCAATTCTGGACTTAAGTGCTGCTGAAATTGTTCAATTGAATGTGCGATAATTAGTTGGATTGCCTCCCCAGCCCTAGAGATATATCCCTCTGCCCTGGTTATCTCTCTCTCTCTAGACTTAAAATAAACCAAAAATATTTGCCTTGATTTATTCCTTTAATGCAACATCTGCGTATGGGGGTAAAACATTTCCCTTTAAATAAGTATCATTGAACCATATGTGAAAATGTTTTTCTTGGTGCTGCTGCTGCAGCTCCCTGTTATATAATACTTCTGTTTTATTTATACCGCAGGCCTGTTCGGTTATTGAATTATACGGCTATTTGGATATGGAAACGAGAGATTGGATTGATGGATTGTTTTCAAATATATTCCGTGAAATGAATAAGCCCATCGAGCGTGAGGTATGTATATATCTATATATGTATGTGGTTTGTGGTATGTGGTTGAAAAGGGGGGGGGGAGTCAAAACACCTGCACAGGTGGGCAGACACCGCCAGACAGAGTGGCGTTGTCCTTGTCGTCGTTCCCAGGTGAATTGAAGTGCAGCATCAGCGAATGAATCCTCTTCGCACAACGCTCAGTGTCGAGTGTTCAGATTCAGTTCGTGGCTCAAATGCAGGCTGGGGGTTAGGTTTAGATGCTCTCGATGTGGCCTGTGTGCTGCTGTGTGTGCTGCTGTGTGTGCTGCTGTGTGCAGTACATCATTCATGCGGAAATCGCGTTCATACAGTAATAAGCCGCGATTGCACAACCACCAAGCACCAAGCACCCAGCACCAGTCACCAGTCCAGGGTCCTATCCATTCGCCTCTGCAAAGTAATCTTTCGCTTTGGCATTGGGATGGATGAGGCTGGCTGCTGGCTCTGCTGGAGATGGGAAATGGGAATGGAAAATGGGGACGACACCAGCGACACAGGCATTGTATAACACACTTAGGCTAATGCAACCCAACACCATCCCATTCCATCCCATCCGACAGGAGCGACGGTATGCCTGCTTCGATGGCGACGTCGATGCACTGTGGATCGAGAACATGAACTCGGTGATGGATGACAACAAGCTGCTGACGCTGGCCAACGGCGAGCGCATTCGCCTCGAGAACTACTGTGCGCTGCTCTTCGAGGTGGGCAACCTGTCCTATGCCTCTCCGGCGACGGTGTCGCGTGCCGGAATGGTCTACGTGGATCCCAAGAATCTGCGCTACAGTCCGTTCTGGCAGCGTTGGGTGCTCACCCGCCCGGAGCCGCAGCGCGAGCTGCTCGACGACTTCTTCGAGAAGATCATCGTGCAGGCAATAGCCTTCATACTGGAGGGCCTGGATGGCACCACGCAGGGCAATCCCCTGAAGATGGTCATAATGCAGACGGACCTCAATATGGTCACACAGTTCTGCAACATCTACGATGCCCTGCTGCCCGTGTATGGGCCGTCGGACAACAGGAACTACGATGAGCCCGTGCTGCAGGTGTACAACGTGGACACCTTGGAGTGCTGCTTCCTGCAGGGCGTCTATGGCTCCATGGGCGCCTGTCTGCTGGAGAAGCATCAAATTGTGTTTGACGAGTTCATGAAGCGCATTTCGGGCTTCCCCCTGTTCCAGGATACGCCCGAAAATCCGGCCAGCGGCGGACAGTTTCCGCAGAGCAAGCCAACACTCTATGATTACTTCTGGGACGTCGCGGATAACTGCTGGAAGGCATGGGAGTGGATTGTGAGGCCCTATACCCATGACCCGTCGGTGAAGTTTAGCGAGATTCTGGTGCCAACCGTGGATAACACGCGCACCAATCGCCTGCTGGCGCTCATGAGTGAGGTAAGCTATCTATCTGTCTCTGTCTCTGTGTGTGTTGTTGGAAAAGCCATTAATGTGGCTTTGACTCTGTGCCTGTACCTTAATAATGTTTGTATCTCTCGCTCTCCCCTGTACGCGACTCTCTCGCCTTTTGCTCACAGATCAAACGACCCGTTCTGCTTGTCGGCGAGGCGGGCACATCAAAGACGGCCACCATCATGCAATATTTGCGCAATCTCAATTCGAATGTCAACGTAATTGAAAAATCTCTCGCACAAACGTCAAATCCCACGCTAACATATCGCTACCCCTACCCCTATCCCATCCCTCTCTCCCCCCACCCACTTCCATTTCGTACTCCATCTCTTTCAGATCATACTCAATATTAATTTTTCATCGAGAACCTCATCGTTGGATGTGCAGCGCACATTGGAGGCGGCTGTGGAGAAACGCACCAAGGATACGTATGGGCCACCGATGGGCAAGAAAATTGCCTGCTTTATTGATGACATGAACATGCCGCAGGTGGATGAGTGAGTACAGGCGAGACACCAGATATCCGAACACAGGCGATGGGATGACAGAAATATTGCTTCCTTCCTGCCTTCCTGCCTTGATGTCTCTTAACCTACTTTTACTTTGCTTTGCTCAGGTATGGCACACAGCAGCCTATTGCCCTGCTGAAGCTCTTCTTTGAGCGTGGCGGCATGTATGACCGCGACAAGGATCTACTTTGGAAGAAATTTAAGGACATGACCTTCTATGCGGCCATGGGCACGGCTGGCGGTGGTCGCAACGAGGTCGATCCACGCTTCATCAGCATGTTCTCCACGTACAACATTGTGTTCCCCAACGACGAGTCGCTCATCCAGATCTACTCATCCATCTTCAAGGGCCACTTGGAGTTCATCAAGTTCCCCGATCGCTTCATGATGATTGCCGACATAATTGTCGTTATGACATTAAAGTTATTCAAGGTAGGACTTTTCGCTTGGATTATTAATATATTATACAGCAGCCATTCATTTTGCGTGACACCTTTGACTTCAGTCAGTCGAAACTCTGTCCAAACGAAATCTATTCCATGCTGGCAAATGCTTTAAGGCCTCTCACAAATTTTATGAAATTCGATTTACATATGCAAATAACGACAATTTTTCATAATCTGCTTTGCTTTTGCCAATCCCCCATGCCCACGCCCATCCCCCATGCCCATGCCCATCCTCTCTCCATTTGCCATACAATGGAAATGGAAATTATTCAATGGTCTGTAATGCACTACGTAGTCGAGGCATCGCCGTAGTCGTCGTAGTTCTAGTCCTCTCCATCGTCCTTGTTCTCAATCTCCTAGTTGCTCCATTGGTTTTTCGAGTGCAACTCAGTGCCGGAGCCATGCCATGCCCCATGCCACCCCGCCACTCCACAATGGTCACCCGCCTCGACAGCTGCCTAGTTGACTGTGTCCCTGTCCCTGTCCCCCTATCCCTCTATCCCTGTACGAGTGTATATGCCTCTGACTGCCTTCTCGTATCTCTTTCGGAATATCTCGGCCAGAGCAAAATTTGATTATGTTCAAGTATTGAACTGAAGATGGCTCTTTTCGCAGCCGGTGGGCGTGGCAGAAGTGCAGCAAGGGGCATTAGTTTATGGTCCTTTTAACAATTGTTGACACTAAAATATTATCGCATTTCATTGCGTACAGATAAAAATGCATTTGTCGCCACAATTGCCACAAGAAGCAGAACCCCCCCCCACAGCCCTGCTCTCTTCTGCCCCAAAAAAAATATATATATAGAAAAAAAATGATTTACTCACACCTGCAGCTAGAGTCCGACCCGACCCGGCACAAGCAACCCATCCCCATCGCCATCCAATTCCTTGCTCTGCCTTCCTCTCCTGCCAACCAAGTTCGTATGTCTTCTTTACACACTCGACGCGCGCGCCGGGGCCAGGGATATTAATGCGCCACGAAATGGAGTGAAATGAATTATTTGAATAGAATTGCCGTTACTCAGACCCAATGCTGCTGCCACTGCTAGTGCTGTGGCGGCGGCAGGGCTGCAACTCGATAATGGCTGTAAATTCAGCAACTTGGCAATGTCCCCGAGGGCGTGTAGGAAGCCCATTTTGAATGCATATTGCTGGTCGAGATAAAATTGATTTGTGTAGCATTGCTGCCCACCCCACCACACGCCACACTCCGTTGTAGCTTCTGGCAAGGAAGAGGTTGGGATGGAATGGGGGTGGGGCTGTCCATTGTGTGTGCAATGGCCCTGCTGCTTCTTAATGCTAATTGCCGCCTTTGGGCGCTTCCGATGCTCCTTCGACTCTCTCTCCCACACACAGATGGTAATTGTGGACCTGCCGCCAACGCCCTCGAAGTTCCACTACATCTTCAACCTGAAGGATCTGTCGCGCATCTTTGCCGGACTGCTGCTGATCGAGCCCACGTGCTTCAAGAACCTGAGAGAATTCATCCGGGTCTGGCGCAACGAATTTACGCGAATAATATGCGATCGACTGATTGCCGATCCCGTAAGTGAATTTTTCTTTATTGGGAAATTGATGACTCTCTCACTCCATTCTCCATTCGTAGGACATCAACGGTGTGCGCCGTAATCTGGCCAACGAGGTGGCTGAGCGCTTCCCGCCAGAGTTCGAGGAGCAGTACGGATTCATTGATGTGACCACCGCGGAGGCGGAGGCCCAGGCCCGTCTGCTGTACGAGGCCTATGCGGATGATGCCGCTGCCGAGGAGGAGGGCGAGGAGGAGGAGGAGGATGAGGGGCCGCAGGTGGTCATGTCGCTCAAGGACTATGTCCTGCGCGATCCCATACTGTTTGGCGATTTCCGTAACTTCACCAACGAGGCGGAGGCGCGTCTGTACGAGGATCTGCTCGACTACGATTCGGTGTGGTCGCTGTTCATTGAGATATTGGAGGAATACTGCGATCGCAAGCAGAAGATGACCCTCGTCCTGTTCGAGGACTGTGTGGAGCATCTGACCCGAGTGCATCGCACGCTGCGCATGAACCGCGGCCACGTCCTGCTCATCGGCGTCGGTGGCTGTGGCAAGAAGTGCATCACCCGCCTGGCGGCCTTTGCCGCCGAGTGTGAGGTATTCGAGATCACCATTTCGCGTGGCTACAACGAGACCGCCTTCCGGGAGGACCTCAAGGTGCTCTACACCCTGGCGGGCGTCAAGCGGAAGAAGGTTGTGTTCCTGTTCACGGCCGCCCAGGTGGCTGAGGAGGGCTTCCTGGAGCTGATCAACAACATTCTGACCGTGGGCCAGGTGCCGGCCCTGTTTGCCGACGAGGACAAGGATACGATTGTCAATCAAGTGCGCAAATTCGCCGAGGAGGAGGGACTCTCGGCATCCAAGTGAGCGACAAGCCTGACATCCTGACACCCAGACGCCACTTCTCACTCACCACACAACTTCGTTTCCCTTACCCCTCTCCCCTAAGGGACTCCGTTTGGGCCTACTTCCTGCGCACCTGTGCGGAAAACCTTCACGTTGTCCTGTGCATGTCCCCCGCCGGCGAAGCGCTGCGCAATCGTTGCCGCAACTTCCCCGGGCTGATTGGCAGCACCTACATCGACTGGGTGTTCCCCTGGCCCAAGCAGGCGCTCTACGCGGTGGCCAGACTCTTCCTCACCGAGCACGCCATGATACCCGCGGACCATCGGGACAACATCATCGAGCACGTGGTGCACGTGCACACCACCATACAGCAGTACTCCAAGGACTATCAGACCAAGCTGCGGCGCAACAACTTTGTGACGCCCAAGCACTATCTGGACTACATCAACACCTACCTGGGACTTCTGGGTGAGCAATTCGGGAGAGATTAGATTAGCAATTGGAGCACTTTATAATCCTCCCGAATCTCTTGCAGAGGAGAAGCATCTGTTCATCACACAACAGCGCCAGCGGCTGGGCGAGGGCATCAAGAAGATCGAAGAGGCTTCGCTGCAGATCGATGAGCTGCGGGTGATTGTCACGGAGCAGAAGAAGAACGTGGCTGTCGCTTCGGAGGAGTGCGAGTCCATGCTGGTCACCATCGAGGCATCCACGGTTAAGGCCAACACCAAGAAGGCCGAGGCATCGGAGAAGTCCGTAGAGGTGGAGATCAAGGGCAAGCAGATTGCCGTGGAGAAGGACGAGGCCGAGGAGATTCTGGCCGATGCCATGCCAGCGCTGGAGGAGGCCAGACGTGCGCTCTCCGAGCTGGAGAAGGCGCAGATCACGGAGATTCGATCGTTTGCCACGCCACCGGCTGCCGTGCAGGTGGTGTGCGAGTGCGTGGCCATTCTGAAGGGCATCAAGGAGATCAGCTGGAAGTCGGCCAAGGGCATGATGAGCGACGTCAACTTCCTGAAGGGTCTGATGGAAATGGACTGCGAGGCGCTCACCCAGAAGCAGATCTCCGCCTGCCGCAACCACATGAAGACACAGAACCTGGACGACATGGGTAAGATATCGATAGCCGGGGCGGGTCTGCTGCGGTTCGTGAGGGCCGTCCTCGGCTTCTTTGAGGTGTATCGCGAGGTGAAGCCCAAGAAGGAGCGCGTCGACTTCCTGGTGGAGGAGCAGGAGGTGCAGATCAAGCTGCTGAACCACCTGAACGCTGAGATCACGAAGCTGGAGGATAAGCTGGCGGCCCTCAACGAGAACTATGCCATATCCATGAAGCAGATGCGGGCCCTCACCGAGATGATGCAGCAGGCGGAGCGGCGACTGATCGCCTCCGATAAGCTGATCAGTGGCCTGACCTCGGAGCTGATCCGCTGGAGCGCCGAAATGGCCAGTCTGGGCCAGCAGCTGATCGACAGTGTGGGCGTGTGCCTGATCAGCTCCTCCTTCCTGGCCTACACGGGCGCCTTCACCTGGGAGTTCCGCAAGGCGATGGTCTTCGACGACTGGCTGGAGCACATCAGCTCCCTGAGCATACCCGTCATCCTGCCGTTCAAGATTGACGCCTACCTCAGCACGGACGTCGAGGTGGCCCAGTGGACCAGCGAGGGTCTGCCGCCGGACGAGCTGTCCGTGCAGAACGGCATCCTCACGATGCGCGCCTCCCGCTTCCCGCTCTGCATCGATCCACAGCTGCAGGCGCTGCAGTGGATCCGCAAGAAGGAGTTCCGCAACAACCTCAAGGTGCTGTCGTTCAGCGACTTCGACTTCCTGAAGCAGCTGGAAATGGCCATAATGTACGGGCTGCCGGTGCTCTTCGAGGATGTGGACGACTACATCGATCCGGTGATCGATGACATCCTGCAGAAGAACATCCGCGTACATGCGGGCCGCAAGTTCGTCATGCTCGGCGACAAGGAGGTGGACTGGGATCCCGGCTTCCGCCTCTACCTGACCACCAAGTTCTCCAATCCCAAGTTCGATCCGGCGGTGTATGCCAAGGCGCTCGTCATCAACTACACGGTGACGCAGACGGGCCTCGAGGATCAGCTGCTCAGCGTGGTGGTGGGCACCGAGCGGCCGGATCTGGAGCAGCAGCGCGAGTCGCTGATTGCCCAGACGAGCGAGAACAAGCAGCTGCTGAAGCAGCTGGAGGACTCGCTGCTGCGCGAGTTGGCCACCTCCACGGGCAACATGCTGGACAATGTGGAGCTGGTGGAGACGCTGGAGAACACCAAGAGCAAGGCCGGCCTGGTGATGGAGCAGCTGAAGCTGGCCGCCGAAACGGCAGCCGACATCGAGATCCTGCGCAACGGCTATCGACCAACATCCAAGCGGGGAGCCGTCCTCTTCTTCGCGCTCGCCGACATGGCCACCGTCAACAGCATGTACCAGTATGCCCTGGCCGCCTATCTCGATGTGTTTGTCTACTCGCTGCGCAAGGCCGTGCCGGACACGGTGCTGAGCAAACGGCTGAACAACATCATCAAGACGCTGACCGAGAATGTCTACTCGTACGGCTGCACGGGCATCTTTGAGCGGCACAAGCTGCTCTTCTCCTTCCAGATCGCCACCAAGCTGGCGCAGCGGGAGGGCGTGCTGCTGCAGACGGAGCTCGACTTCTTCATCAAGGGCAACATTGCCCTGACCAAGAGTGAGCGCAGCAACCCCTGCAAGTGGCTGCCCGAAAAGAGCTGGGAGGATCTGCTGAAGTTGGCCTTTGATTTCTCCGATGCATTCGGCTCACTGCCGGATCACTTCGGTCGCTACCTCACCGAATGGAAAGAGGTAAGTTCTGCCATTGCATTTTATCCTGATACTTAAAGGGTTGGTTCCATTTTAAATGTCCCCCAAAAAGCATTGCTAAATGTTTTCATGTTTTTCATATTTATTTACCCTTTTTCCTTTTTCATTTTTCTTTTTTTTGTTTGTTTGTGTTTCTTTTCCGATTTTTCACATTTCTCCTTTGGGGGCTGCATCATCTTCAACGTCAACGTCAACGTGCGACTCCGATGCCCGTTATCAAATTGCTGTTCCTGGTCCTGCTGCTCCGTGCTGCTCCGTGCTCCTGCTCCTGCTCCTCCTGCTGCTGCTTTCGGTGCTGTGACGATGCTATAAAAATGCCCAACAACAACCACAACAACCAATGGACAACGGATGGACGATGGGTCTGGTGCTGGTTCTGGTTCTGCTTCTGCTTCTGATTCTGACTGGCATGTGGCATTCACTGACTTCCGTTTCGTTGCCGACGCTCATTTTGCCTGCACTTATCGCCCATCGCCCCATCGCCCATCGCCCGTCACCGTCACCGTCACCGAATGCCCATGAACCGTTCTGTTTGGCCTGGTCTGCCCCATTCTCAGTGGTACGACTTGGAGAATCCTGAGGAGGTGGCATGTCCGGGCGACTACAACATCAAATGCAATGCATTCCAGGCAAGTGCCGGTTCGGTCTGCTGTGTACTTTCGCTTTGCATGCTTTCAGCTTTCAGCATTCGAGTGGTGGCTCCTGGGTCTGGTTGGTTCTTGGGGACAGAAGCAGCTTCTGCTGCTGTTGCCGTTGCCATTGAGCGTTATTGGATTTCGTACTTTATGCTCGTTTCTAGTGGATTATTATGTACAAGCCCTACACCCACACACCCACACAGCCCACAGCCCACCCATATACCACTTCACTTCCCTCTGGTGCGTTTAGTTTTACTCGACTTTCGCAACGTCCTTCAACTTTGGCGCACATTTTCATCTCAAGTTATTAGCAGCCTGTTTTTGTCAGTCCCACAGCTAACTCTCGCTCCCTGCCTGCCCGGCTCCCTGGCTGACTAGCTGGCTGGCTGGCAGGCAGTATATCTATGTGCTATCCTCTATATGAATAGTGTCTGGCTGTGTGTGTGTGTGTGTGTGTGTGTGTCATTACCATATTTTATCAATTTTCCGAACCATTAGATGAGCGGCAATTTGCGCCCGCAGTCGCACTTGAAACCAGCGACAAGCGCTGAAGCGAGCCCAATTTGCACTCGAGTTTTGGCTTGTAAACCAGCGCAGCGATGGCAACAGCAATAGCAACATCGGCATCCAGAGCATCCTCAGCATCCTCTCCGGCTAACTAAAGCGCAGAGTGATGATGAGCTGTCAGGGAGAGATCTCATTGTAATTTTGTTGTATTATAATCTCCTCCCATCTTCCGTGCCACACAGAAATTGCTGTTTTTGCGCTGCTTCCGCGTGGATCGCATCTTCCGATGCATAAATCAATATATTGTGGACACAATGGATGAGTTCTTCATTATGCCGCCCGTGGTGAGCTTCTCGGCCATTTACGAGCAGACATCCTGCACGATACCCGTCTGCTTTATCCTGAGTGCCGGCTCGGATCCCACCAGCGATCTGATCAAGCTGGCCGACACAATCATTGGCATGGCCAACTTCTGTCACATATCGCTGGGCCAGGGGCAGGAGAAGGCTGCCCTCAGGATGCTGGACACGGCCGTGCGGCAGGGCCAATGGCTGATGCTGCAGAACGGCCACTTGCTGATACGGTTCGTGCGGGAGCTGGAAAAGTACTTGGACCGAATCGAGAATCCGCATCCGGACTTTAGGCTGTGGATAACCACAGATCCCTCGCCAGCATTCCCCATTGGCATACTGCAGAAGTCCCTGAAGGGTGAGACATTGCTCAGCGCTCTCTCCCTCTTTCAGCTTTTGCCATAAGATGCCTGTCTCTCTCCTCCGCAGTTGTCACTGAACCGCCCAATGGCTTGAAGCTGAATCTACGCTCGACGTACTTTAAAGTGCGCCAGGAGCGCCTCGAGAGCTGCTCACATCGCGGCTTCCGTCCGCTGGTCTATGTCTTGGCCTTCTTCCATGCCGTCGTCCAAGTAAGTGCACCAATAGATACTCCAATTTATTGTCCGGGGCGCAGTTGGTCGAGTTTCGGTGTTGTTTATTTATTAATTTCTTAATTTTGAGTATCTGAAAGCTTTTCAGACCCAACTGCACCGAAACTTGCGCACAATTGATGGAGCACTGAGCACTCCTCGGCAGTAAATTGTTATTGATCGCTCTTCGACTGTGACTGTGACTGTGACTGGGACTGGGGGGAATGGACCTGGGGGCTGGCAGTGCAATTAATCTGTGTACTCGTAACCGTTCTTCACTTCCGCAGGAGCGTCGCAAATACGACAAACTTGGCTGGAACATAGCGTACGACTTCAATGATTCAGACTTTGAGGTCTGCACCGAAATTCTGCGCACCTATCTGAGTCGCTGTGCGGACGACAAGATACCCTGGAACAGCCTCAAGTATCTCATTGGCGAGGTCATGTACGGCGGTCGCGTTATCGACGATTTCGATCGGCGCATCACCAACTGCTACATGGGCGAGTACATGGGCGACTTTCTGTTTGACGAGTTCCAAGTGTTCCACTTCTATGAGGACGAAAATGTGGACTACTGCCTGCCGGAGGATGAGACCATACTGAAGGAGGACTATATAGGTGAGTGACGGGTATGGAGGGCCACCACTGCCAGCAGCTATTTACATATGTAATGCATTGATAACAGCGCACATCGACAAACTGCCGTTGGTCAATAAGCCGGATGTGTTTGGTTTGCATCCGAACGCGGAAATCGGTTATTACACAATGGCGGCACGCAACATTTGGAACAGTTTGATTGAGCTGCAGCCGCAGACTGGTGAGTGGCAAACGACCAATCGAATCGAATTGAATCGAATACTTAACCCATTTAGCCGCCCCAGAGGCATACATATATCTGTGGTCTAGCTCTGGGTGGGGGGAATATTGATAATTTGATCGGTGCGGGTGTGGGTAATGATAATAATGTAATATAGATATGCGCTTACGTATGGCCAGGGGCCACAGCCAGAGCCAGAGAGCCAGTGCAGGTCGAGGGCCGGGCCTGGTAAATGGTTCAATTTGCATGCAACGTGTGCCAATTGTCAGCCGTTTATTACATTTTATCTTGTTGATTTTCATTCGCATGCCGTTGCCGTGTGCCGTGCCTCTGACTCTGCCTCTGACTCTGGCTCTGTTATGTTGTATTTTTGGCATGCTGAATTTTTAATTTAATTTAATTAATTAGTTGCGGTTTTGCAATTAACTTTATTGCATGCGCCATTATTGCCAGCACACAACAGCAATGCACACATTAAAAATTAAAATAGATGCACGCACACACACGCACACACACGCACACGTACATGCTGACCTAGCCCCCACCACCGACATATTCTGGACATGCATTCAGGATGGGGTCAGGGCAGGACACACACATCCACTCACTTTCATCCAGTGGCCGCAAATCGCAGCGAATCGAGTTCAAACCTCACCGCACCGACCACCGGCCATCAGAAGCACCAAAAAAAACTGCACCAAAACGTCACACAAAAGTCGATAATTTTTGCGTTGCTGAGCTTAAACGTGTTAAAACCGCCATCAGAGTGCACTCTTACGACCCACCCACCCACACACAGCTGTTTATTTGGTACCCCGCACACACACACCCACACACAGACACAGAGAGACACCAACTCATGCATATGTATATGTATGTATGTATGGCCCTGTAAATAACTGCATATACAATTTCGAAAACTCTTTTAAATATATTCGCACACACGAAGTGACCAAGTGGAAGCCCAGCGAAGTCAGTGCCGGTAAAGTATTTCGCGTAAACAACATACCCAATCCCCCCCCACAACCACTTGACCCAACCAATGCCCAATCGAATGAATTCCTTACCAACCATTCATTCACCGCCCCTGAAGTATAAATATAAAAAAAGTAGTAATAATAAGGGCAAATATTTTCACTGATTAAAAATCGAGTTTAACAATTATATTTCAATTCGCGGAGATATGGCCAGGCAGCAGTGCAGTTCGGCTGCTGCGAATTTTAAAAGTGCTACAAAAAATTGCGATGGAAATAACTATGAGAAAAGATTTTAATGGTAACCCATTTCAATGGCACTTAGAAAAGATTCCCAAATATCAGTAAATTTTCAAACAATTAACAAATAAATTATAGATTCGGTGTGCACTCCCTTTGCTTATCTTTTTTTCCATAAAACCCTTATTAATAAAACATAGCTGCAAACTCAATTTAATCGCACTTAAAAAAGGCTTCGAAAATCCATAGAGCTTCATGGAAAAAAAGGTCCCAAACAAAAAGAGCCGAAAACTCAGCTTCAGATTCATTTGATGTGCCTTCCGTGTCGCCAATACGCTCGATATTCCATCGGGTAGCTCCCAGAAAAATGGCCATAATTTGCATATTCATGAGCTTTAGTATTTGCTAATTGACACTTTAACAAAAAATAAAGCAGAGCATAAAAAATGTTCTATCGGGTGCCAAACACACAAGCCAGATAAAAAGGAAAATTAATAAAATACTCGTACAAAAAAAAAAACAAAACAAAACAAAAAAAAATTAAGTACCAATACCGAGAAAGGAGAGAAGATAAATGTACATAAAAAAAAAAAAGGAAAACGGAAAAACCACAGCCTCTGCATACATTACAAAGGTTTTTCTCGCCTTTCTCCTGCCACTCGACCACTGCCACAATCCTTACTTATTCTTCCCTTTCTGTCTCTGTTCTGGCTGTCTCTGTCTTTGGCCCATGCAGGCGAGGGTACGGGCGGCATCAGTCGTGACGACTTCATAGACTCGGTGGCCGCCGGAATACTGAAGAAACTGCCACCGGCCTTTGAGACGTGGCGCATTCGCAAACAGATCCAAATGAGTCTCTCGCCCACGGGTGTGGTCCTGCTGCAGGAGCTGGATCGCTTTAATCTGCTGGTGATTCGCATCAAGAAAACACTGGAGCTGCTCCGCAAGGTAACTACTATTAGGAGATTGTCTATCCGGCTCTGGCGCTTGCCCTGGCTCTAGTGCTGGCTCTAGCCTGAGAACTGTCAATAGACGCCACACATAAATCCTTCAGGGCTTGTTTTGTTGTGCATTCTGTTTATGCATTTGCCAACTTGGCTGAGGACCAAACAAACGACAGATCCTAAGCCGGCAGTGCATTTTGTTGCCAAAATAAATTTACAAATGCAAATGAACCCGAGGGGCGCCTCGCCCTTTCCACCCCCTTTTTCTAGATAGAGTCACGCCCACGCCCACACATGTGAGCCGCGTTTTTAATTTAATTGCATTGCTCTCCGCAGGCCATTGCTGGTGAAATCGGCATGGACAATGTGCTGGACAACATTGCCAACTCGCTGTTCAATGGCCTGCTGCCAAAATCGTGGAGCTCCCTGGCGCCGGCCACATGCAAACAGTTGGCCAGCTGGCTGGAGCACTTGCGGGTGAGTCCAACTCCGACTCCGAGTACGAGTACGAGTCCGAGTCCTCCTCCACAGTCGCGACATTCGCTGCAGCTCATTAATCAGCTTAGCGTTGAATCAATCAACTTCCGGGTTCGTGTCCACTAATCAGCTTCTCTCTCTCTCTGTCTCTATGCAGCAACGGTCTGTGCAGTATAAGTATTGGTCGATATCGGGCGAGCCCCTGGTCATGTGGCTGTCGGGTCTCCACATACCGCAGAGCTATCTGACGGCTCTGGTGCAGGTGAGTCTTTGGGTCACGGACAACGAAGCGAAGCGAACGAACGCACTCCACTCTCATTTCTCTCGTTTGGCCTTTGCAGATTGCCTGTCGCAAAAACGCCTGGCCACTGGATCGTTCGACCCTCTTTACCTATGTTACCAACTATTCGGACCCCGACGATGTCGAGGAGCGTCCCTCAACTGTAAGTGCCACCCAGCCACCTCGTTGCTATCTTTTCTATCCATCTATCTATCGCTCTAAATGCAAAACGATGACCCAACTGTTCGGTGCCGGTGCTGGTGCCACCGTCAGTACTGGCTCCGGTCCTGGTTCCGGTCCCGGTCCAAGCACTAATTCCGTAATTAAGAATTCTGTTTGCATTTTAATCGTTCAACTTTTTGCAGGGCTGCTTTGTGCATGGGTTGTACATCGAGGGCGCACGCTTTGACATGGCGACTAATCAGCTGGCGCGTTCCCATCCCAAAATACTGGTCGAGGATCTGGCCATTTTGGCTGTGGAGCCCATCGAGGCGCATCGTCTCAAGCTACAGGTCTGTATTGGATGCTTAAGAGATGGTTGGTTCGCTGGTTGCTTGGTTGCTTGGTTGGTTGGGTGTAGTCCTGGTGGGTCCTGGCTTCGACGCCAGCTGCCAGTGACAAGTACTAATGTGCGCTTGTATCTCCATATGGGTGAGAGCAGGGTACGCTCCAGGGCGTGTCCACGCTGATATTTGTTTAAATGCATCCCACTAAATTACGAGCATGGCATAGCCATAGCCGTAGCTTCCGCTTCCACCCCGACTAATGGGGCAGCTGCTGTGCTAATTGTTTCTGATTTTAAATGCCCGGAAGCTTTAGTTTTAGTTAGCGCATAAAGCATGCACTTTAAATATTCTAAGCCATTTTTAACTTTACTTTACAGAACACATTCCTGGCTCCTGTTTATACGACATCCTTGCGCAGAAATGCCATGGGCGTGGGCCTGGTATTTGAGGCCAATTTGGCCACCTGCGAGGACTTGAGTCACTGGATATTGCAGGGCGTATGCCTCACCCTGAACACGGATCTCTAAGGAGCCTTTGTACCATATACATTTCGATTTAGACTGTACAGATTGAAAGACTGAAGATGCATTTTGTTGATATTGATTATTTTGTATCGAATCTTTTACACTAATGCCAAATACATTTATGTTTACAGCGCTGTAGCAATGGCAATGGCAATGGAGTTTATTAATTAGTTCGAGTATGTACTCGCACGCGTATATAATACGTAGTACATGTTGTAGTATGTCTAGTGCCTGTCAATAACGTGATTTGTGCCTGACTGATAACCGACTGATGTGCCGCTGCTCCTGGCATTACCTGCGCCGCCAGCAGCCGAAGCAGCTCCGAAGCTTATCCAATACGGTTGACTTCATGGAGGGCAGCAAGAGCTCCAGATTCTGCGTACCGGCACTGTCGTCCGACTCCAGGTCCGAGTCAATGGTCATTTCCTGTATGCTGAATGTGTCGGTTAGTTCGTGATTCGCCTGCTGGCGCCGCTTGGCCCGCTTCAGTTGGGCGGGGAAGAAGGATATCTCCTCCGCATCGTCGCTGCTCTCAGACTTGTAATCGACCAGCGGCTTGTGCTCTGGCTCCCCGGGAATGGGCAATCGATTGATGGGTATCAGAGTCGACGACTGTGTCTTGGTTGTCTGCGGCATACAAGAAGTACTTTGCCATATAGTTTTCTTTATAGATAAGTAGCACCCACCTGCTCTTCCTGGAATTGAGTATAATTGCGCCTGGCACGCTCGACCTTCAGCTCCAGTTTGCGTTGCAGTATGCGGCAGGTGTTTGGTGGCTCGCTGCGCTCATGCCCGCCTCGTGCCGCCGCCGCCGCCGCCAGCTCCTCCTGCTCATCGATTTCTATGGTCGTGGGGGCATACACCTTGCCGGCACCCCTGAACGCCACCTCGAACTCCAGGTCGGACATATGTTTGGGTGCTCCGCTGGCCGTTTTCTGCATTTGACTTTGGCCATGAGAATTTCGCATTGTCTCGAATTGAATACTCCACTTACCAGCAGGCCTGCGGCCCCATCCTCGTAGATATTCGATTGCCTGTCCTCGCTATCTATGCCGCTATCCTCCATTTTGATTGAGGATTTGGATTTTGCTTCTGGATAAATCTAAAATTTAGCTACGAAAAGAAAACAATTGCACGCGATGTCAATACAAACAATTTTTATTGTCTTTCTCCCAAAACCCAAAACCAAACTCCAATCAACCCCATGGCAGTGGCAGAGCGCAGTCGCCGTTGCACAGCTGTTTTGGGGGGCGAAAAAGGTTTTTTTTTCGGTTGGGAAAAATCGATATGATGCCAAAACCCATTGCCGCACAGCGTTGCCAGATGCCAGGTGGCATGAAGACTTGCTTTCCCTTCCCTTCACCCATTATAGCAGTCTTCCGGCTGATACATATGCACTCTTTATTATGTAGTTTTAATTTATTTACAATTATTTGTTTTAAGGCTTAAATGCTTTACTCGTTGCACAAATAGATCGTATCGTAGATGCTAAGAAAGTTAAATGAAAATTCGTTTTTAGCCGCTTTGCTCGATGGATTTGAATCTGAATTTGAATTTGAATCTGGATTAACGTTATTCAAGAATAAATAGGAACACAAACGTACAGAAACACACACTAATACTATGCTGGAACTGGGCTGATCGTTTAATATAATTACATTAAATGTTCTTTTCGTTCGTTCTGTTGATCTGTTGGCTATGGCTATGGCTGTAATAAGTATATGGCAATATACGAGTGTGCTGGCTTTTTGGTCTCTCTGCTTTTTGCTTTTAAGGTGTCGCCCCGTGGCGGGTGGTAGGTGCCCCGAGGTGGCTTATTATTATTGCTTGTGCTGTGTGTCGTGTGTGTGTGCTTAAAACTCAATTCAAACAAAAATTCTGCTTCTCTTCTCTTCGCTTCTTGTGTGCTTTGCGTGGAATTATTACAGCGCATTGGGATGAGGCTGCGCAATTTGGCCGGCCAGCGTGCAGGATCTACAGCAGAACTGGGCGTAGTACTGGTTGATGCAGTACCTGCCCTTGACGATCAGCTTGCAGTTGGCAAAGAACGGATTGTCAATGCACTCGGGCGACACCGGTATGACAGCTGCAAGGAGAGTGAAAAGTGAATTACCGATTGGCAAATGGCTGCCCATCAAAGCTTCCTCCTGCACTTACATTGAATGGTAACCGTCTCCTGGCTGATGCTGTAGCTGTACGCATTGCTAGCCTTGCAGCCATAGATGCCCGTATCGTCGACGCTCACATCGCTCACAACCAGTCGATGGGGCTGGGCTGTAAACAATCAAAAGGGATTTCCATAGATATTAAAGAGCAGATCTTTAAGCAGCCCTGACTTCACTCACATGTTATCTGTATGCGCTCGTTGCTGTACAGCGGTATATTGTCCTTGGTCCAGGTCACATTTGGCTCCGGATAGCCCTGCACCGAGCAGCTAATGGCAATGGTGGAGCCGGGGGAGTAGCTGTTCTTGGGATCCAGTGCCACCAGTGCCTGGGCATTCACTAAGAGCAGATCAAAGGGCGAAATCAATTACTACAAGTCCGATTCCAGGTCCAAATTAAACACAAAAACCGTCTCCAGCAACACGTAACAATTCCAAGGCAGCCAAAAAAACATGCAAAGCCACTTACCTGTCGGCGGCGGCACATAGACCGGACGCGTTGGTCTGTAGGGGTAGCTGGGTCGCTGTGTGACCGGCGCCGTGGCCGGATCAATCACATACTGCAGGTACTGGGCATCCTCGCTGGTCAGGGCACGAGCCGGACCCACCGCCTTCAGGGTGACGCGCAGCGAGACGGGCCGTCCCCGCTTGTTGTACACCTCGCAGGTGTACAGGCCCAGATCCGACAGCTGGATGGAGCGGAACAGCAGCGAGAAGTCGCGTGCCATCTCCGCACGGCCGCGCGCCCGATTGCCAAAGAGATTGTTGTTGCGCCACCAGCTAACGTGCGGCTGCGGATAGCCACCGGCCGGGCAGCGAATCACCGCCGGCCTGTTCAGCTGCACGATCTGGGTGACGTTCTTCTCGCCGTACACATACGCGGGCGTATCTACGGACTCTACCATCACCAAGGCGTCGACAAGCAAGGGGGATTAGGGGGCAAGCAAGCAAGCATGCAACCAGAATGCAACACAAAAGCAGTTAGTTATAGGGCCAACACCGAATAGCATAAGAAAAAAAACAGTAGGAAAAAGCTATAGTCGATGGAGCGACTTTAATAAATAACCAATGCTCAGATTTCTTAGATTTAAAGGGAGAGGAAATTAAAGTAGTTGGATGAACTTATGGCAGGGGCAATTAGAGAATATTCTCTGAATATTTAGCAGCTTCTAAAATTGATATTTAAAGGTATATAAAGAAGGGAAATATAACATCGAAACTCTTATAAACAGACAGACAGAAAAGCGAATAAAATTATATTTATTTTACGACTAATCATGAGCATCGTTTATGAACTGATTCCTCGATGAAACCGAAGTCAGAAATTCACCTTCAGCAGGATCTACAACAGTTATAGGTGCATGCTTGAGAAGTGATCTCTTTTGTAGGTAATGAAATGCCTTAAGCTATGATAAATTCCTGTGCAGAACGTACCTGTCACTTGCAGGGCAACCTCACGGCGCACTGGCTCGCCCAGGCCATTGCTGGCCACACAGACGTACGTGCCGTCGTCGGTTTGGCGCACTTGCACGATGGTCAGATCACCGGTCGAGGTCAAGACATAGCGTCCCTGGTTCGTATCGATCTGTAAGGCAATCAAACGGAAATTAAAGTGACTTCAGAGAGTGATTCCCACCCGATTCCCGTGCCCTGCCAGACCTACCACCACATTCTTGAGCGACCAGGTGATATTGGGCGCTGGATTGCCCGTGGCGAAGCAGCGCAGCACCGCGATGCCACCGATGGAGGTCTGCACGTCCAGTTCCTGTGGCTGCTTGGGCTCCAGGACGGCCCGGCTGTCGCCCGGATAGACGACCGTGGGGGCACGCGTGCTGGGCCGCAGGGTGGCGCGGGCTGGCTGCACGCAGAGATAGCCGCAGCCATCGCTGCAGCACTTGTTCGCGCCACGGCAGTCCCCGTCGGTGTAGCACTCCTGAGCACAGTTGCTGGCATTGGCCGCCAGTCCGGGACAGAGGCCGGGCTTGTTGATGTCGCGGCAGACAGGCGCAAACTGACGATCGCCCGTTTCGGCAATCTCAATGGCACACTGCTGGCCCTCGGGGCAGGCGTAGCTCTCGCATGGGTTCTCGCACAGGCACTTGGTGCACTCCGGCTGGGATCGGTCGGCCTCTCTGCGGACGCCATACGGACAGCGCAGCTCGCGGCACTCGTTCTCGAAGCTCTCGCAGCGACCCTGTCCAATCTCGTTGTCGATCTCGTTCTCAATGGGCCCTGTGTGTGGGTGGGGGGAAAAGAGCAGGCAAAGGCTTAGCATTGTGTGGGCCAACGGTCTGAGGAAATGTCCCGGCGACCCGTCCCGTGCAATCTTAGAGCTAGTGAAGGTGCTACAGATCGAACCTACGGATGCAACTTCTAATAGTTCTACTGAAAATCAACTCAAGCAGTTGGAAAGTGGGTGGGCAGAGTGCAAGGTGCGAAGAGGTGCGAAGAGATGCGGAGAGATGCATTTGGTGGGTGGGTGGTGTTCGGGGTGTTTGGTGCAGAGTGCATTTAGGTGTCAGGCTGGTGTGTGGGGGGCTTACTTCCGCAGAGATTCGTGCATGCCTCAAACGAACGGAAGTTGTTCTGATTGCCGGAGCAACCCGCGTAGATGAAGGACACACAGGTGCCGCGCTCATCATCGTAATACCAACGACGCTCCTGCACCGCCGGTCCATTGCAGCGGCCGGTTGCCAGCGGCAGCAGACAAATATCTACTTACGCCAAGGGGGGAAGGAAGAACCAAGAGAATCTGTTACACAATCTGTCGTCCCTTGGGGAGCAAGTCACACGATCGAACACACGTTACCTTTGGCCGTGGCCACTGACGTCTGCGGCTCGCGTGCCGCAATGCAAACGGTTTGACACTCGTACAGACCGTCGAAGCGATTGCCAGTTCCGTCGCATCCGCCGTAGGTGAACGGCTCGCAGGTGCGCGAATCGCGATTGAAATAGTAGCGGGTCTGCCACTGGGTGCAGGGACCCGTCGTGGCTGGCTCATTGCAAACGTCTAACGCAAAGTATTAAATCACCTGAAAGCTGACGGGCGGGGGGGGGCTCACACCCCTCTGCACACTTACCCACTCCCTTGAACTCGCCGCACTGCCGCTCGCACTGGTCGCGCGTCTCGAAGCGGTTGCCGTTGCCGCCACAGCCGCTGTAGGAGAAGGCCGTGCAGGTCATCTTCTCGTTGTCGTAGAACCAAGCCGTCGTATGGTTGTCGCACTCGCCGGCCTCCGGGTGCCTGAGTGCACACGGAATAGGTCTGCGCAGGGATACAGACAAATAATAATTATTTAATAATTTAATATTTAATATGTATAAAGATCAAGCACTTACCGGCGCTGGTGGTTGGGGCTCGGACAGTGCCGGATCACGGCAATAGCCCAGACACTCCTGCTCGGACACAAAGTTATTGCGATTGCCGCGGCAGCCCGTAAACTCGAACTCGTGACAGGCGCCGCTGCGCTCGTCAAAGTACCAGCGGCGAGAGATCTCGTCGCAGCGTCCGCGCACAGGCGGCAGCGAGCAGGTGGTCTGGGCATCGTTGCACTCGTTCTGGCACTCCTCCTCGCTGGCGTAGCTGTTGGCGTTGCCGCCGCAGCCCGAGTAGTCGAACACGTCGCAGAGTCCCTGCTGGCTGTTGTAGAACCAACGAGTCTCGTTGTTGTAGCAATTGCCCGACTCGGCGGGCAGGAAGCACTTGGCCGTATCCGGCTCTGAGCGTGGCTCCTCGGGTTCTGGCTCTGGCTCTGGCTGTGGCTCTGGCTGGGGCTGGGGCGAGCAGCGATCCGAGCAATCCTGCTCAGACTCAAAGCGGTTATCATTGCCGCCACAGCCGCCATAGTAGAACTGTTGGCAGCGTCCGGCAGTCGCGTTGAAGTTCCACTTGAGCACATACTGATCGCAGTCGCCCACGGCAGCTGGCTGATCACACTGGTGGACAGCAGCTGGCGCAGCAGGCTCCCTAGTCTCTGGCGGAGCAGGTCGTCTGGTCTCCGGTGGCGGAGCCTGGGGGCTGGCACAGCGCTGCTGGCAGTCGGCCTCGGTCTCAAAGCGATTGCCATTGCCAGCACAGCCGCCGTAGTAGAACTGGCGACAGGCGCCGCTCTCTCCGTCAAAGTGCCACTTGATGGTGTACTGGTCGCAGTCGCCGACGCTCGCTGGCTCGCGGCACACGTCCACGGTGCTGGGTGCGGGCGCTGGCCCTGGCCCTGGTGCTGGTGCTGGTGTTGTGGGTTCGGGCTTCTTCTCGCAACGCGCCAGACAGGCATCCTCGCTGGCAAAGCGATTCTCGTTGCCGCCGCAGCCGCCGTAGTAGAACTGGCGACAGCTCGCCTCCTTGGTGTCGTAGTACCAGGCGGTGACATAGTTCGCGCACTGTCCCACCTCGGCTGGGATCTCGCAGATGTCCTTGGCTACACAGAGATGGGGGCGGGAGAGTGTTAATGTCGAACGTTCTGTTCAGGGTTCTGGCGACACACACATTGAAAGCGGCACCACCACAACAACAACAACGACATTTAAAGCTTACCAACTTGCCGGGGACAATGGTCCGCGCAGGACTCCAATGAGGGGAAGCTGTTCTTGTTGCCACCACAACCCGTGTAGTAGAAGGGCACGCAGCGCTTCTCGCTCTCCGAGAAGTGCCACCTGGCGTGCCGTTCGCTGCAATCACCAGTTTGCTTAGGTAATGAGCATTGCTCTGAGTCGGTGGTGGTGGTGGTGGTGGGTCGGAGGTACAGTGGGTGGTGGATACGGGAAGGATGCAGGTGTAGATTCAGGTGTGGAAACGGGTACGGGATACGGCATACGGCATAGCAAGTAACCAAGCAAGCAATCAATCATGCGCATTCATTTTAAACCAAGAGCAAGCAAGTAGAAGGAAAGGGAGAGTGTAGGAAGAACAAACCGTTAACCAGGATAAAGTAACAAAGATTAAGCTTAACCTTAGAGTAATAATAATAATAGTAGTAGTAAATCCCAAGCAATTGTAACTCCCCCAATACGAGTACAGAACACATACAGAAATAATAAATCAAATCAGATCGCAAACCTTTGAGTACGCCCGGCTGGCGACAGCTGTAGCTGCAGGCGTGCTCCGTGGGATAGTTGTTCTTGTTGCCCTTGCAGCCGCCGTAGGTGAACGGACGACAGATGTCCGTCTGGTTGTCGTAGTACCAGCGCTCAAAGTTGCCAGCACAAGGTCCGCTCTCCACAGGCTGTTCGCAGGTGGCTACAGGCGAGAAACCCAATTGAGTATGGAAGAGTGTGCACCCACTGCCAGCTGCAGCTCGACTTACGTATGCTCTCGCTGACTGCACAGGTGCCCTGGCACTGCTCGAGGCTGTCGAAGCGATTGTTGGTGCCGTAGCAGCCGCCGTACTGGAACTCCTCGCACCGGTTGCGGTCCGTGTCGAAGTACCATTTCTTGGTGAAGCCCTGGCAGGGGCCGACGCTCTTGGGCAGCAGGCACACATGTTGGCCGGTGTAGTCCTGGCAGGTGTCCTTGCACTCCGCCTCGGTCTCGTAGCGGTTGGCATTGCCGTCGCAGCCGCCGTACCAGAACCGTGCGCAGCCGCCGTAGTTGGTATCGAAGTAGTACTTGACGCTGAAGTTGCCGCAGGTGCCCGTCTCCTTGGGCAGGGCGCAGGCCTTCTGCGGCGGCTCCTGCACATTCTCGCAGCCGCCGAACTTGTCGTCCGTGGCCGTGCTGACTCCGTCCGGACAGCAGCCAAATTTGGTCTCCACGCACGTGCAGCCCTCGAAGTTGGGCCCCTTGGCCGGTGTCTTCTCGTCCTCGCAGCACTTGAACTCCGTCTGGGTGCAGTGGCAGCCGTGGTGGTGCGGTCCCTTGGCAAAGGTGAGTCCGTCGGGGCAGCAGCCGAACTGCGTCGTCTCGCAGGGGCAGCCCTCGAACTTGGGTCCCTTGGCCGCCGATATCTTGTCCGGACAGCAGCCGTGCGGCGTGGTCTCGCAGGCGCAGCCCTCGTGGTTGTAGCCGCGAGCGGCTGTCTGCTTGTCCGCACAGCAGCCGTACGGCGTGTAGTGGCAGTCGCAGCCCTCGAAGTTGGGTCCTCGGGCGGCCAGAATGTTGTCGGGGCAGCAGCCGAAGGCCGTGTCCAGGCAGCAGCCCTCGCCGTTCTGTCCATGGGCCGGCGTCTCGGAGTCGGGACAGCAGCCGAACTGTTCGCGAGTGCAGGCCGCGCAGCCCTCACCCCCGGGCCCTGTGGCAGCTGTGCGTCCATCGGGACAGCAGCCGTGCTCGGACCGATCGCATCCCTGGGCGGCCTCTGGTTCGGCGCAGCCCTCGAAGTTCTTGCCCTTGGCCGGCGTCTGGGCATCCGGACAGCAGCCAAACTCGGCAAAGGAGCAGGACTTGCCCTCCAGATCCGGCGCCTGAGTGGACTCGCCACCAGATCCCTCGATCTCAGTGGTGGACTCCGGCAGGGACTCTTCCGTGGTGGTGGTGGGTGGCACGGTCGTCGTCTCGGGGCATCCCTCGTTGTCCTCGCCTTCGGCGGCGCTGAACTTGTCGGGGCAGCACCCGAAGAGCGTCTCCGCGCACTGCGACTTGGGGCAGCCCTTATTGTTCTTGCCCTCGGCCGGCGACACGCCGTCCAGGCAGCAGCCGAATTGGGTGTCTGCGCAGGTCTTGGGAATGGGACAGCCCTCGTCGAAGGGTCCCTTGGGCGTGGACTTGCCGTCCGGGCAGCAGCCGTACTTGGACTTGACGCAGTCCTTCTTCTTGGGCTTGCACTTGCGCGGCTTGTCCGTGGTGATGGCCGACTCCCAGGTGTTGGGAGTGCTCGACTCCTCCTCGTTGTCGGTGGAGCTCCAGATGTCGCTGGTGCCGCTGCCCAGCTCCGTGGACTGGCTGCTGTCGGTCGATCCCTCGGTGGTGTTATCCGTGGATCCCTCGGAAGTGCTCTCCTCCGTGGAACCACTTGCGCTGGTGTCCGTCGCGTCAGTGGTGCCTCCGCTTTCCGTGGACGCTGAGGCATCAGTAGAGGCCGAGGAATCGGTGGATTCGGTGGATTCTGTGGATTCTGTGGATTCGGTTGCTTCCGTTGATCCAGAGACGTCTGTGGATGAATCAGTGGAGGAGTCTGTGGCAGTCGATTCCGGGGCATCTGTTGTGCCCGTGGAACCGGACACATCCTCCACCGTGCTTCCCTCTGTGGTCGAGCCCTCGCTGGATCCAGCCTCGGTGCTTTCTGTCGAGTCCGTGCTCGCTGCCTCCGTGGATTCCGTGGACAGGGTGGATTCGGGTGATTCGGTGGACCCATCGCTGGAGCTGACATCTGTGGAACCTTCCACAGTGCTTCCGCTCTCTGTCGTTGAGCCGTCGCTGGACAAGTCGCTCGTTTCAGTGCTGTCCGAAGCGGAAGAGGCGGACGAAGTTGTGGTGTCGGTGGAGTCCGAAGAGCTGGCATCTGATGAGCTCTCGCTGGAAGCAACACTGCTGGAGGAGGCATCGGTGGAGCTGGATGAGTCATCCGTGGAGCTGGATGAGGCGTCATCCGTGGAGCTGGATGAGGCGTCACTTGTGGAGCTGGATGAGGCGTCACTCGTGGAGGAGGCATCTGTGGTGGAAGATGCGTCCAGTGTGGACTCAGTGGTGTCTGTCGAGGTTTCGGGTGTGGTTTCTGTCGTCTCTTCCGAAGTGGATTCAGTCGACACAGAAGAGTCCGTCGAAGAGGAAGTGCCATCACTGGTACTGCTCTCCGTCGAGCTGGAAACGCCGGTGGAATCGGTGGATCCTTCCGTTGTGGTGTCGGTGGAGTCCGACGTGGAGGACGAGCCTGCCTCAGTCGACGATTCGCTGGTGTCAGATGTCTTGTCAGAGGAGTCTGAAGATTCGCTGGAAGCGTCCGTTGAGCCTGAAACATCCGTGGAGCTTGAAACATCCGTGGAGCTGGAAGCATCCGTAGAACTGGAAGCATCTGTGGAGCCTGAAACATCCGTAGAACTGGAAGCATCTGTAGAGCCAGAAACATCCGTAGAACTGGAAGCATCCGTGGAGCCTGAAACATCCGTGGAGCTTGACGCATCTGTGGAAGTATCTGCGGAGGTATCCACGGAGCTGGACGATTCAGTGGCGCTCGATGTGTCTGTCGAGCCACCAGAAACGTCAGTGGACTCATCGGTAGAAGCACTGGAATCGGAGACTGATGATGCGTGGGCATCGGTTGTGGAATCGCTGGAATCGCTGGAACTGGAGCTGGACGAAGCGTCCGTGGAGCCGGACACATCCGTTGATGCATCGGAAGATGATTCGGATGTTTCGTCATCGTCTCCGCTGCCTTCGGTGGAAATGCCGCTGTCCGTTGTGGAGTCCGTGTCCTCGCCCGATCCCTCCACCGTGGTGCCAGTCGAGCCGGACACATCGAAGGCGGTCGTGTCGGGGCTATCGCTGAGCATCAGTTCGTCGGTGAAGAGCGTGGACTCCGTCTTGGCCTCGTCGTCGAGATCGACGCCATCGGAGATCTTCTGCTCGTCCGGCAGACTGTCTGTGACCAGTTCCATGTCCTCCTCATCGCAGTCCTCGTCCTCATCCTGCCCATCGATGGGCTTGTCGGTGCTCGTCAGGGGCAGGATTTCATCCTCGCTGCAGGCCTCCGGATTGCACTTCTCCGATATGGACTCCAGCTTGGACTCGTCGCAGTTGAGGGCCTTGGTGCCGTTGGCCAGGCACAGCACCTCGCGTGTGCGCTCCCCGCCGCCGCAGGGCTTGCTGCACTCGCCCCAGGGTCCGGTGAACCACTCGCCCGGGCACTCCTTCTCCTCGCCCTCGCACTCCTGCTCCAGTTCCGGTTTCGTCTCCTTCTTGCACTTGGTGTCGTCGGTCGCGGGTGTCACGCTCTTGCCATCGAACTCGCCGCAGATGACGATTCGCGACTGAACGCCCTTGCCGCAGGCAGCGGAGCACTTGCTCCACTCCGATGCGAACCACTGGGCCTCGCACTTGGGCGACTTGCAGGGTCGCGACAGGGCGGGCACCTCCGGCTGGCAGAACTCCTCGGCATATTCCTTGCCATCCCTGGAGCCGCAGATGGCGGTGCGCGTCTCCGTGTTCTGGCCGCAGGCAGTGCACTGAAAAGATGAACCCAAATTAGTGGGGGGGAATCTAGGACCCACGTCTCGCCGATACTTACGCCACTCCACTGGGAGATGATCCAGTCGACGCCCTCGCAGGGGGTCAGCAGGCAGCTCTTCTCCACCTCCGGCTTATCCTCCACACAGTCCTCGTCGGGCAGGACACGCTTCCTGCCGTTCTCCTTGATGAAGCAGGTGGCCTTGCGCGTCTGCTTGCCCTCGCCGCACAACTGGTCGCAGGGCGTCCAGGGACCCAGATGGTACTTGGGGCAGTTCTTGACGTCGCGATTGCACTCCTGGGCAGTGGCGGGCTTATTGCCCACCTCCTTGAGGCACACCGCATCGTCCTCGACCGTGTGCTCGCTGCAAAGAGAAAGCTCGTTTGGGTTGGATCCTTCATGGAGGGATTGGACCAGCCGATCAGCTTACCCTGCCGAAGAGATGCGCTCACAGGTGACGGTTCGATTCTGGAAGCCATCCGAGCCGCAGCCCTTGGAGCACTTGCCCCACTCGCCCTCCACCCAGTGGGGGGCGCAGGGCTCTGTGCCGCAGGCCTGCTCCTCGTCGGGCTTGGACTCCTTCTCGCAGAGGGCCGCATCGACCTCCTGCAGGTTGACGCGGTTGTTGCACGTGACCTTGCGCGACTGCGTGCCGCCGCCGCAGGAGGCGCTGCAGGGCCCGAACTCGCGGTGCGTCCACGTGTGCGAGTCCGGCTGGCTGTGGCTCAGGGACTCCGGAATGCTGTACTCGTAGTCGATGCTCACGTTGCGCTCCTGCACCAGCATCACGATGAAGATGCTCTCGGAGATGGGTCCGGGGCAGGAGAGCTGATCGGGCGCGGCAAAGCCCATGGGCTTGCGCTGGTAGTTCCACCACGAGTCCGCGTAGTACATGGGCCGGGGGAAGTCGATGCGCCAGTTGCCGTTCAGATGGTAGTGGCCGGAGAGGTTGCGGCAGGCCAGATAGTTGTTCGAGGGCGAAGTTTCCAGGATCTTGATGTTGGTGGCGCCTTGGGGCACCAGCAGCAGATCGTTGTAGCCGGGGGCCAGATCGCTGGAGCTGTAGGTGTTGTGGATGGTCTTGCAGGTGCTGCCATCGCCGCCGCACTTGCGGCACTTGTCCTCCTTGGCGTCGCTGCCCAGCATCATGTCGCAGCCGACGGGCATGCACTGGCCATTGACGCACACGTCCAGCTCCTTGTCGTTGCAGCGGGTGCCGTCGACGACCTTCTCCTTCTGCCGGAAGTAGAAGCGCTCGCCCTTGGGCATGCAGTTCAGCTCGCACGGATTGGGTGCGCCCAGGTAGGGCACCCACTCGTAGGTGGCCCCGTCGAACCGCTGGTCGTCGAAGCGCGAGCACTGCAGCGCCCTGAAGTCGGGATCCTCCTCCGGACAGTCCTGCGTGTTGCACGAATAGTAGCGCCGACTGCCGCCGCTGCACTCTGCCTCGCCGTTGTAGCTGCGGGAATGGGCAGGATTAGCTTTGATCTGTGGGTGGATGGGGGGTCAGCATTCTACTCACTCTCGGCGCAGGCATTCGCGCGTCTGGTAGGACACACCGCCGCCACATGTGCGGGAGCAGTCCGAGGGCGAGCTCCATTCCGTCCACTCATTGGGATCGTCACCCTCGCCGCCCGGGCGTCACGGAGCTGTCCGGCAAATACATATTGGCGCCATATTGTCTTTTCTGTCTCAGTCCAGGCTGTGTGCAGGTAGAAGGAGGGTTAGAAGATCTGTGCTGGATGCATATCGACGGGGGATATACTTACAAATCTACTGTGGGAGTCGGGTATGCCAGCCAGTACAATGAATGCTATCAAGGCAGTTGCACTGAAATGGACAAGAAGGGGAGAGGCGTTAAAGTCAATTTAATTAAACGCCACTCAAAGACATAACCTCGCCCAATAACAGAGAGGAGAGAGCCCCAGCCAGTGCTGGGTGGGTGGGTGCCAGCCATTCATTAGGCCCAACACAGGCACAGCGTCACGTGTTGACTTGTTGCAAATATTTGTTGTCTTTGCCGCATGCTTGGACAATCCACAGTCCAATCCACAGACTCATTAAAGCAGCAACAGGCGCAGAGGGACTGGCAAGGGACAGACCACACCAGATACGGAGCGAAGCGTCCAGCGAAGGGGCACAAAAATAAACTTTTGTGGGGCTTCGGCCTCGGGCTTCCCAGCGACAAAAGCCAACATGATGAACTTGTTTATGCTCTCAACTCAATCTCTCACTCTCTCTCTCTGTGCGGCCAGTGCAAGCAAACATTGAACTTGTTTTTGCCACAAAAATGCAGTGAGTGTGGGGCAGTGGGTGGGACAGGGGCAGGGGGGCAGTGGGGATAAGACTTGGTCAAGTAAAATTTGCAATTTCTTTGGTAACAATTTTTTATTATGCGCCGGGGCGACCATAAATATGCAATGCCACATAAACAAGACATAATTTAGCAGCACTTCCTGCCGATTTGCCAAAAAAAACGAACAAGCATGGAAAGGAGCAGAAAAGTAAGGCAAAAGGAATAGGAAAAGAACAGGCAAATAATAAGTACCAAGCCGGAGAATATATGATTATGCCGCAGACAGGGAGACGCCGCAGTAGCAGCAGCAGTGGCAGAAGCAGCAGTGGCAGCAGCAGTGGCAGCCCCAGTGGCAGTAGTCTTGGCCTCGACTTGGGAGGACGACACGCCCGAGGACAAGTTGCGTGAATATGTCAAAAGCGTTCAATGTTGCACAGGCAACGCGCTTGCCGCTGCCGCTGCCTCTGCCTTGCTGCCCCATTGTTGGGGGCTTGCCAATTTAATTTCTGACGCTGCGTGCGGGCAGGATCTCCTCCCCTTGCCTTGCCTTCGTTTTGTTACGCTTGGACGCCTTCGACGGATGGCGCTTGCTCCTTCCGCCTGCTGGCTGCTGCATGCTGCATGGTCCTTGGTCCTTGGTCTCTGGCCACAGCAGGCGTGCTGCTTATGACAGCAGCCCGGCAGGAGTCAGGGGGCAGGCAGGCAGGTTGGGTCGCCAAGTGTGGCCATAATTTTTATGCTTCTGTGTTGGCATTTTAATGCAATTTGAGCGCATTTCCCTTTTGAAACCAATGCCAGGACACCTATTGCTTTGGCAAGGACCAGGACAACCAGGACAACGGCAACGGGCACACATTTCACAGTCCATTGAGCTCGAGAGCTGAGAACGCGGAGCGCTGGAGGCGGCGTCACCCAGACGCCTCCCATGGCATTGCGTCATGGAAACAGGATGTGCCAACACTGCTGCCGCGAACGCGACCACAGCCGGGCCGGGACTCCAAAAGAATCAGCTCCATTAATTGGGCAGCTTTCCCTGAAGCCAGAAGCCAGAAGCCTGAAACTGCTGAGACGACAGAAACCACAAAAGCAGTTCATGATTTCGTTGTTGTACGCGACGACGGCGGTGGAGGCGGCGGGTGCGGCTGCTGATTACGCAAAATCCTGCTCCAGAAGAGCAGAACGGGGAAAAAACATTGTTATTGCCACATGTGGCGGATGCCACGTGACACGAGCATAAACAGTTGCCGCAATCGTCAAAAAAGTTACACATGTCATGTAAACCACCGACAGAAAGCCAGCAGCCCCGCCACCCACCGCACCGCATAAATGTCAAACAACACAGAGAGGAAATGCTAAATTCGGCGGAAAGTTTACAATAATACGAGTACAAGATAATCGTACTGGGACTTGTATTGCCCCACTGGCCCCCACAGGCATACAACAATAAATATGTAGCTATGTGGCTGCAGGGCAGACCTGGCCCTGGCCCTGCCTCTGACCTGTTTTCGGGCAGAATGAAAAGGATTTTGCTTGCTAATAGCCAAGATCAAGGCAGCAGTCGAAAGCGGGCCAATTAACAGGCCAGGCCGGTCAGAGTTTCTGGCCCCGAAATAGGCCCAGATATATATAGGGCCGTCTCCTCTCACAATAGCCGTCCATTGTGCATTGTACTGCAGCCGCACAATGGCATTGGGGCGCAGCAGCAGCAGCAGCAGCAGCATCAATAAGTGCTGATAATACGAGTTTAAATGGGAATAGGAATAGACAGCAGGGGCTCAGGGGCTGCAGACTGCATGCAGACTAGAGTCATGATTTCGCCTCTGATTATAGTCATTTAGCCAATATCAAAAGGAGCTGTAAATAAGATTTTAAATTGATTGAAAGGCGGCTTACAAGCTGGCACTGGAAGTAGGGGTTTTTCGCTTTGTTTTCCAGATTTTAGAACTCTTTCTCACAGTCCGCTTGAGGCACTTGCAGCCGCAGCAAGAAGCAACCAATTCGGGCCACAGATTCACTCCCTCGCTCCCATGAGTAGTTCAAATTCACTTCACATCCATTCCACAGATACGCATGTATATTCACGATCATTTAATTGCTTGGCAGGGGCAGGCAACAAGTGCATTTGGGGGCTGGAATGCAGCCGGAATGGCCATCATAAATAAAGCGCCTGCTAATGAGCCAGCCGCAAGAGCAGCACTGGCTGGCGGCACTTACTCCACAAGTGCGTGCACTTAGCGCGGCCAATCTCAAGAACGAAAACAAATTACATTTGATTTTATGCCAAACAATAAACGAGAAGAAAACCCCCAAAAGCATCCGAAAGATACGAAAGATACGAGTGTGTGGCAATTTGTACGAAAAGATAAACAATTGATGCTACCATGAAAAGTAAATTCGTAGCTGATTTCACACCTGTACGGGTCCCAGTGGCGTTTGATTTGTTTATATGACTCATAGTCGAGGTCGAGGCAGTGAGGCAACCACTGGAGCAACCACTCCACCACCCACTTGGAGGCAGCAGCAGTAGCAGAGGCAGCCCCACCCCCGAAGAAGGAGCGATTCTTGCTGCTGTTTCCCATGCCAATTGATTGAGGCACAACTATGCAGCACATCCACATCCACATCCACATCCTCGTGTATGTCTGTCTGTACATGTGTGTGGCTGAATCCAATCGAATAGTGAGGCATGCAACAATTTCTGTGTAGCATGAAGATGCCACAGCTGCCTCTGCCACTGCTACTGTTCCCGGGGCCTTTGATGAAGATGGAATGCCCATGGCCCCCAGTTTGCCAGCTGCAATCATTTGACTTCTGCCTGCCCCCTTTCGCTTTTATTTTTTTATGTTGATTGTAAAAAAAAAAAGGGAGAGCGAGGAGCGTGAGGAGAGCAGGCAACATTGGAATTTCTTGTTGCAACTGATTTAATTGCAACCAAACAAAAGTGCAGCCAGCCAAAGGCAATGCCTTCTGGTGCCCCCCTGCTGAAGTGCGTATGCCATGGCAGATCAATCTAAGAGGATATGCTCGTAAGTGTGTGCCATGTACTCTGTATCCTTAAGTAATCAGCTTCATTAGTGTGGGGCTGGGGCAGGGGCAGGCTGCACACTCAACTCTGTCTATTTTATTTGGCCACAAAGCATCAGCCAGCAATTAGGCGAGGATCTACCTCATTAGTTCAAAGGATACCCAAATACGTGGCTGCATGTTGCATGCCCCACTCAAACACACGCCACACACACACACACAATCACACATTTGTTCAAATACAATTACATAGTCATACAATTATCGCAAGACAAACATAGACTAATGCAAAACGCCAAATTGTGGCTGAGGTGTGGCCAGGTAAATGCCTGCCTGCCTGCCTGCCTCTGCTGCTCTTGATGATGACTCTATGAAGATGCGGGCTGCCAGAGGGAAGGGTGGAGTGGGGAGTGGGAGTGGGAGGGGGAGGGGGAGCGGGAGTAGGAGCCGGCACGACGACATTTGTTGCAACGGAAGTAAATGTTTGCATTGTTGAAATTTTAATTGCATTTGCATAAAGCAACGCACATACTCTAACAGACAGACAGACAGACACATCTCTCTGCCTCTGCCTCTGGCTGGAGCTTTGCCTCTGCCACTCCGTTGCCTGGCTGTTGCACTTGGCTGCGCCCTTGCCTGCTCCTGCTGCGGCTCCTGCTGCTGCTGCCAAACACTTGCCACACGGAGACCCGGCCAAGCAATTATCAATTTCAAAATTAATTCAACTTAATTGAGTAGTGAAAATAATAAACATGCGCATGCTCATTCCTTTGCCGTTGCCGTTGCCGTTGCCTTTGCCTTTGCCCCGAAGTGTTTACACGGAGAGAGTACTCACTGAGATTATGCAACAGACTCTGTCTCTGCCTCCTTGTGCCCTCTCAGTGGCTCTACAAAGTTGCAGCTTTTGGGGCTAAAAGGCACTTCAGCAACTGCCATGCCATGCCATGCCTTGCCCTGCAACAGCAACAGCAACGGCAACAAAGTGTGCACAAAATGCCTAATGAAATATTTGTCACGCGTTTGAACAAATGAGCAAACAGAATGCTCGCAGAGAGTGAGAGAGAGAGTCGGTCACAGAAAGGGAAAGACTGTGACTCTGACTGTGTGAAGATTTTCCTCAGTTTCACTTTGGTGCTGGCTCCCCGATCCAACTCCCCAAACAACTTACTGACCCATAAATTTCACTCACTGACAAAATGTTCGACTTGTAAACAAATTTTTTATGGCAAATGTTGCACCAGCCACTTGAAGTGCAACATGCGACTGCCACAAGAGCAGCCACAGTGCCAGGCAGCTAATTAGAGGCATCATAATGCCGCTGTCGCGACAGTGCCCCCCATAGTCCACGCCCTGAAGTCGATCCCGGGCTAACAGCACCCCCCTCGAAACAAACATTGGCAATTTTCTATTTGCCCAACTCATTCGGTTCGAGATTGCAACAAGCTGCTTGACTCCAAGTTGTACGTATATTCACTTATAACTAATAGCACTCGAAGCGGTGGGAGAGGGAGAGCAAAGCAGGGGGAACTTTTGCACTAGCGGGAACTTTGAACCCCCCACACACACAAATACGTGTAGGAGGTGGGACTCATCAGGTCTCGCTGGGTAAACATTTTCGCGCCCATTCATGATAAAATAAAAATGAAAAAAAAATTCATGGGAAATTAGCACACAGGATGCCCCATGATCTGGCATATTTCAGCACATAATTAGCGGCAAACTATAGCTATTCAACGAGAAAAAAACACACCACCAAGAAGTATTTCCAAACAAATGGTATTCTGGGGAATTGAACTATTTATAGGCATTAAGTTATGCTAGCTCATAATTTATGCGCTGCTAATTGAATGAAAGAATTTATATACAATATCAATTGTGATGCGAAGTGAATAATTAATGGCCGGATTAAGACAAGCTCTCCATTAGAGACTAAAACTTATTAATCTTCGTATTAAACACACATAATCCAGAACATAATTATTCCGCAAGGCACAAGGCACTCTCAGCAACAAACAACCTGTTCCCTGACGAAATTATTCTATATTTAGAGCAAACAAAAAGCTACTTCGATGCCTGACGCACACACAAATTTCAGTTATTTATAATAGCCTTCAAATGAAATGTTAACCAAGCAAATTGCGTTAAATTGTATCATGCCAGCAGCAGCTAACTGGCAGGCAAAATGTAGAGCAGAGCAGACATTGATTTATAGCGCAATTACGAATTCCCTGCCATTGTTTCCACTGAGTACTCTGCTTCGGCACTCTTCTCAGTAGTGGCAGTCGCTTCCTTCGAATTCCTTTTTGGACAGGAATTGAAGGTGGAGCAGGCCATTGGATGCTGAAAAGGGGTCGTTCCTGTGCCTGTCCCTGTCCCTGACCCTATAACGGGCATCACAATTCGGTATCCAATCGGTTCATTTTCTGTCATTGAGATGCACATCACGTCCTCTGAAGAACCAGAACCGATCGTCGCTTGTCGTCAGTCAAAACATTTTTATGGGTTTTTATTTTTCGGGTTATTCTGCTTTGGCCTGGCCCTCTCTCAACGCCGGCGGCGAACGTTTCACTTGTTGCTGCTGCGGCTGCTGCTGCTGCTGCTGCATGAATGTCTCGCACTCCAATTCTCCATCTCTCTTGCTCCCTGCCACAGCGAGAAGTTTTTAGGAACATTTTGCTGCATGTGACGCATCGTTTGTTGGGACCCCTTCTCTGACTCCCCCGGCTACTCCCCGTTCCCGAATCGTTGCTGAAATTTTGGATATTTTTCGCAGTCTTCTTGGGTGTAGTGTATCTTTTTTTGGCCTGCTTATACGCAGCCTGTGCAATTTTGCGGCGGCATATTTTGGGGCATCCTTTTTATCTTCCGCGTTGCAGCGTTCATCGACCCCGTCTGAGGCGACTATTGAGTTAATTGTTTGTGTGTGTTTGTATCTGTGTGTGGGGTAAATATTAACATTAACATATTTGCCACTGACACCATGCGGCTGGCATTTGATTTATCGTTACTCTAGGGAATAATTAAATGCTACCATGTCGGCAGTCCTTTGTTAATTAAGCATAAAACATTAAGTCATGGGAAAGCGATCTGCAGATATTCAGTTCTGCAGATCTACAGATCTCCTGATCCCCATGGAGCGCTCTTGCAGTCATGGGTGGGGGCCCCCACCATGCAGCACATGTTGCAAATGCAGCGAGCACCATTGCCGCCATGAACTTGGGAGGTAATTGAGCCATGGAATGGCATGGACTGAGCAGGCAGCGGACTGCAAGGACTGCGAAACGCACTCGAACTCGCGCACAAGGCGTGCCGTTTGTTAAAACATAATTTGCTACTCATTTGCCGCATCATTCGATATTCCAGTGAAATCAAATCCATTCCATCTGCAGCACTTGCACACATCTCATCCGTACACGCAATTTCCGGGCAGGCATCCCGCATCCCGCACCACTCTCACACGTGTATGTGTACATTAGATCAGCGCTGGCTCTCTGATTTATTTATAGCAATTAAGGATCAATTATGCAATCCAAGTGTATACACGAGTGCATGACTGGACGTGGCTATTCGGGGTTGGGCAGGTCTTCTTTCAAGGCAACTACTGGCTGCGCTGCGTGTATCATTTTCACAGCATAAATATCGGAAAAATGTACTGTTTATATAACTACTACTACACCCCAAAAGCGCACAGCTCACACTCCATAAACAAATTTGGAACAGCAACTATGTATTCCGTATTTATTCGTAGATGTTGCAGCATTTTCCTGTTGGGTCTGTTCTGCTTCTCCCTCCGTTTGTTATTATTGCTGCTGGTCAAAATTTAGTGGTTTCCGCGGAATATTATAGTTCAAACATAACAAACAAAGTGTTGGGAAATCTATCAGACACATACATAGGTGGGACTTTACCTTACCATATAAATATAGAATCGAAAATCTATCTCTGCGAGTGAGTAGTCATGCAGATTCCCTCGAAGTGACTACTGACTGGGCACACAAATGCCTGCTGGGCTAGTAAAAGTTCTTCTAAAAGTATTCCCTTCAAGATCTTGCACATCATTTGAGACGGAGACTGGAGTCAAGTTCAAAGACGTCACGAGTCACAAATTTTCGCTTAATGTAAAGAGTTTATTCGGCCACTTAATGGCCACACACAGAGAGACGCTCGGATACAGAGTTACTGATTTACCGAGTGCGTTAAAACGTTTAGTTTGTACCATTAAACTACAGACATAATGGTGTGTACCACCGGCATGTACATATGTATGTATGTATGTATGTATCTCTCTCTGAATGTTGACCCGTCTGCGGATGGATGTTGGCTTGGGGCTTGGGGCCTGGGGCTAGCCGCCTGATCAGATCACCTACATACAGACGCGAGTGGATCAGAGGAATGTTGCTTTCAAGACGATTCTCAATTGATTTTTCTTCAATATCAGAACAATTGTCAAGTTCTCGAGAACTTTTCCATTATGTACGGAAACTACAAAAGTCTTTAGAAAATGGTGAAAAATAATAAATAAATAATTTCCGTAGAATATCCGATTAAATCACACAGATAGCAGGCACATGTCCCCAAACCCTGACCAACGGGTCAGTCATGTGTTGGCCACATTTTGGGGCATGAGCATGAGCATAGCCGTGGTGCTGCATCATCAGAATCAGCTGAGGCCATAGATTCTTCTTTTCCTGCTCCGACAGCCGGCAAACGGCCGACTGCCGTTGACAGCGTGGCCGGGCCGAGCAGGGTCGGGCAGGGCTGAAAGCGGGAGAGAGATTTTCGCTTTCGAGTGGTTGGGCACAGCATAGTTTTCGCGAAAAACTTTAAAAAACTTGACGAATGAATGCGCTAACTGCCAGTCGGCCAGATACTGGCCGAGGGAACAAGTTTCTGGGCTTTTATGTGTGTCTGTCGGTGTCGTCTTCGTTGTTGTTGGCGGCAGCGGCGGCGATGGCGGCGTCGGGCACCGGCAACTTTATGACTTTGGCCAAAAATAAAACGCACGCAATGCTTGCGGTCAACAGGCAACATTCAACCCGAAGCAGCCTCAGTCTCAGACCCAGACTCAGATTCTGCTAAAGATATGTCCAGCATGTGCGTGAGAGCAACTGCCTGGTCGAGATGCCTTTAAAGGCATCTCTGTTGGTGGGTTGGGGGGTAGGGTAAGTGCCGTCAACTTTGAACTGGCAGTGGCACTGCCCTGACCGACTGCCTGTCCGAATGTTTCACTTCAGCGCAGTCACTGGAGCCGGAATTGGGGGGGAACTTTTTTGCGGGTGGGCGAGGGAGGGGCACTTCAAAGCGCACGCACTTCACCTGCGCTGGCACCCAATCCGAACGAAACTCTTTGCATAAATATTTACATTTCCATTCGAAAATTTGATTTGGTTTCGTTTTTTGTGTGTTCGTTCCCTTGGTATTGTACTAGATTGTGTGTGGAATTGCACACACATTTGGAAAAGCCAACAAAGCCAGTGGAAAAATAAAAAGACCTGTCGTGGTGGCACAGGTGAGGTAATGGCTTACTTTCTGGGGCACTGGCCGGCGGAGGGATGGATGGATGGGGAAGGCCCACCGATCTGACTGTTTGAAGTTTTTTTTTTGTAGCCGGAAATTGAGATGTCTAAAAGGGGAATCGATCGACCCAATAATTATGGATAAAATTAGCTACACAAAAAGTTCGCTTGGAAGCAGTGCCCTGCGCATATCCTTTGCATCCTTCATTGATTGATTGCACTGATGGGCATTCACCAGACACTTTGATCACACTCATAATTACGGAAATTAACTCGAAAAAAAATAGCCACAAAATTAGAAACAAATTTCAAACTTAATTGCTAATTGGAAACATTTTTGCCAGGACTTAAACAATCTGCAGTCAAGGCACACCAGCCATTAACAAAGAACAGAGAAAGAGACATGGGGCGGGGACTTTGAAAATTGTTTGAAAAATGTTGCAATTTTCATTAACAAACTTCAATTAAGTTGGCAATGTAATTTGGCATGCAAACAAAATGCTGGCCAGGATAATGGCAGACGCGTAGTGTCAATAATGGAACGGAGCGAGGCGGTGCGCCTGTTGCACAGCGAGCACGTAGCCAGGATGCTCGTACCACTACACTCCCACGCTACATCCGCACATGTGGACAGGACAATCAGTGGAGCGATGCCGAGCATAGGATGGCAAAGGGAGGGGGCTCTGGGTCTGCCAGCCATTCAGCCAGCCAGCCAGCCAGGAGCCATGTCAAGTGTTTGCGCATGTAGTTCAAATGAAATTAAAATTCCAATTGACACAGTAATTTGCTAGCAACACAAAAGGAATCAATTTCGTGCCCGTGCCCGTGCCACTGCCACTGCTAGTGTATCTGCCACTGCCACTGGTTACAATTGTATTCAGCTGGCAGGGGCGGCGCATCTGGTAGAGTATTCCATCCATGGAGGAGATACATGTTTCATGTTTGTCTGATGCTTACCACAACCGCCTCGATAAATCCATTTTGCGGCTCCTTGCTGCTGATGATGGCCCAATAATCGACCGTTCCGCGTCGCTCCTTCTCGGAATTCCACGAATCTCGCACGCAAATACTTAAATCGAGGCTTGTTCTGTGTGGGTTTGTGACACTTGAAATGTTTTGTCGGTTCGGGGGCTCGTGGCCACTTGAGTTTTAATTATTTCGCACACTGTACACTATGGAAATGATTCTGCACTTTGCGCCTGCGCATGGCCAGAAAGGATACGGATAAGAAATGACACTGAATTAATTTCGATTTAAATTCCGATTTCGTCCTCGCACCCGTCCTCTTGTTCTCGATCACACACACCCGCAGGGTTAGAGCACACGCCAGCAACTGATCGACTCGAAGCGTATACGATCGCTCTAATTCTGTCTGCCACTGGCAGCAGCAGCAGCAGCAAAAGCAGCAGGCAGGCAGGGCCCAACCAACAGCCAGTAGTAGCTTCAGCAGCTCTGCGGTCGCTGTCGCTGCGTCTGCGTCGCAGCCAACGGCACCGCTCTGCTACTTGCCACCGATAGCGTCGATGCGATAGCGCCACAAAGGACGGGCTGCTGTTTCCGCTCCTCTAATCGCACCCGAATTGAATGGGATTCCAATGCTAGCTGTTGCTGTGAGTGCTCCCACGAGAAGAGCCCCCCCAATAATCAGCCTGATCGTCCCAGCGAGGCACTAAATATATAGAGTTTATGGATCCGATCCTTCAACGTAGCCCCCAAGCAACCGGCTTCTTTTGGCCCCCATGAGAGACTGAAGATGAGTGCGGTTTTCTTATTTTTGCAGTCTTCCCCACACGATCGCTCCGCTGCACACAACTTCAACTGGTTCTCGCTGCCTCGCTGCCGATCTTTATGCGTTGCACGTGTGTGTGCCGGCGATGCGATCGGAGTGCTGGCGGTGTTGGTGTTAAAAAGTGATTTACAGTGTCTGCCCTCACATGTGCGGGATGCACTAACGAGTGCCGTCCCCTGATGAACACATGTCGACAACATTCGAGAGCGGCAGTTGCAGAAGGATGCTCCACGCATCCTTGTCATAAGTCAACTGCACTGAAACAACCATCTCAATTCGGTTTAATTGCAGCCAACACATGTGCGCTGCGATCTGTTTACTTTGATTTTTCACGCTTCATTCACAAGACGGAGAGGAGGTGCCGGGTGCCGGTGCCGTTGCCGTTGCCAGTGCCAGTGCCCCAGACAAATATAGATGTCCAGTGCACATGATCTCTTCGGTGGTGGGGATAATTGCAGTCTGGCATTGTCCGTGCGACATTGCTGGAACGGATCGGTTAACCAGAGCATCGATTACACCAAATTATTCGAGTTCATTCATAAAACTCACATATCGCCCAGAGTCTGGTCTGAGTGACTATTTCCGCATTCCAATTAGAGCTTCATAAACTATACTATGCTGTATATTATATATAATATATTTATAATCCAACTGCCAATCTCGACCGCAAGTTTGGCTTCCGCCGAATTAAAGTCGCCTGATAGTGCGTACATCGGATATTCGGATAGGAACTATGAAGAACGGAAGGAACTCAATGTGGATGGGATGCTATGCCCGAAGAAAACTGCAAAACTTTGATTTCCAGCCTCGGTTACATAAGTCCGCTTCAGTCAGATTCTATTTTTAGAAACTCTCTTATCAAGGCTTTGGCAGGGAAAGTCGGAACCCAGTTAGCTAATAAATCGGAACGCAAAAAGAATGAAATTATCCGCAATTCAAGGCGAGCAAAAACGATGCCAGATACATATGTGCACATATGCACTTGATATTATACAAATTCGCACATATCTACTATATGGCACATATATACATACACATATATTGTATTGTACTTGTATGAATATGAAACAAATGAAATAAAAAGCATTCATTCATTCATTCATTAATGTAGGACTTGGCTCTAATTGGCTGAGCCTTAGCGGAAATCGTTTATCTGCAAGAAGTCGCTCTGGTCTATGGCCACTGCCTCAGCCACTGCCACTGACTATGGGTTGGTGTGGGTGAACTCCAATTAGCATTGCTTTGACCCATTTAAGCAGCTTCCGTCATAGGCGTTGGTATGGACACCCAGGGGCACTTCTCTCGCTCTCGCTTCATAGCTGGTCGCTGTCGCTGTCAGAATCCCTTATCTCGGCGACAGTTCCGTTTGCCGCTCTGTATCGGTATCCTAAGCACTAAGCATGTGGGTGAAGGGTGGCTGTAGCTGTAGCTGTGACTGTGGCGGTTCCTCTGGGCGGCCGGCAGCACTTAGTAGTGGCAGCGAGATCAACAGGAAGTCGGATAGTGGGATTTGTTTTATATAAACCGTATATAATAGAAAACTATAGATATAATATGAATATAAAGGCGATAACAAGGCAGAGGCAACAATCTAATGATGATTCTCGAAACAGCGCTCATCTACTAGAAACCTGGATCCCAATCCGTCTGCTGGGCCTCCATGTGCGTCGTGTAGCATTGGAGTATGTCCCCGGCCTGCGGCAGCACCTTCGCATCCCTAAACCGCAGCCCACACTCCACATCCTTCTTGATCGAATCGACTTCGTTCTTCAGATGACGCATCGACTCCAACGGTCCATCGTAGACAACTTCCTCGTCTCGCAGCAATCGGAACTTTTGGGCCTTCTTCAGCACTCCCTTGGTGCAGCGACAGCCGGCCACGGCCACCTCTTTGCGTCCCTCGTTGATGATGAAGTTCTGCAGTACGTTGGCCTCGCCCAGAACTTCCTCAACCTCCACAGGTGGCAGCTTGCTGCTAAGCTGCTCCTTTAAGTCGTCAATCAGGCGATAGATTATATTGTAGCTGCGCACATTCACATCTTTGGTCGCCTGTTTCTGGGGCGTCTCCACAGCGAAGGCGTAGACAATGGCATCGAATGCCTTGGCTAGCTCGATGTCTCCCTCCGTTACGTTGCCCACGCCATAGTGCACAATGTCCAGGCGGCAGAGCTCGTTGCTGCTGTAGGTCTCCAGCACATCCAGTATCGCCTCCACAGAGCCATGCACATCTCCCTTGATAATGACACTGACACGCGGCTTGCCTTCGTTCTCGTCCACCTGCTTGACCCGCTGGCCCCCGCGCATGCGAAAGCGTCCTGCCAGGCGACGTGCCTCGCGCGCCGCTCGATACTTGGCCTGATGCTCCTCATCCTTTTTTCGTATCTCATCGCCGCTGGACTCGATCTTCTCCTGCTGAGCCTCGTGCTCGCGATGCTTCAGCACTGCATGGGCCTTTTTCTGCAAGAGTTTTCATAGTTCAAATATGTGCAAAAGTACAGAAATCCATTTTTAAGTACCTCCGTTTCCACCTCCAGTATAAGATCGCCAGCCAGTGGTAGCTCTCGCCAGCCCAGAATCTCCACTGGGGTACCCGGAGGCGCCTCGTTCAGTGGCTGCCCATTATGATCAAACAGACCTCGCACCTTGGCATGCGCCAAGCCGCTCACCAGCACAGAGCCTTTGCGAAGTGTGCCTCGGGACACTATGGCCGTGGATAGCTTTCCACGACGCGGATCTGTTTTCGACTCCACCACAATTCCCTCCACCATTCCCGCGGGATCTGACTTCAGACCCATGAGCGTCGCTTGTGTGCTGACCGCCTCGGCGAGCAGCTGCAAGTTGGTGCCTTTGAGAGCCGAAATGGGTATGACCTGAATATCGCCGCCATGCTCCTCGAGAGCCAGACCCATTTGCGCCAGCTCCCGCTTGCTCTTTTCCTGCAAGACCAACGGCATTAGGAATCATTAGCAGGATAAATCCGATCCACGAAAACTTACAATATTCGCCTCGGGCTTATCGATCTTGTTGAGTGCCACGATTATGGGCACCTGAGCCTCCTTTGCCAGCTGGATGACTTCGCGTGTCTGCGCCATTACGCCATCCTCGGCGGCCACCACCAGCACTATGATGTCCGTGGCCACGGCACCGCGTGCTCTCATCGCACTGAAGGCAGCGTGGCCGGGAGTGTCCAGAAACGTGACCTGCTCGCCGTTCTCCAGAGTCACTGTGAAGGCACCGATATGCTGTGTGATGCCGCCAGCCTCTCCAGCAGCCACATCTGCACCACGCAACGAGTCCAGCAGCGTGGTCTTGCCATGATCCACATGGCCCATGACTGTGACAACGGGGGGACGAGGCTGGAGCAGCTCTGGCGGCGCCGGCGGTCTGGGCGTCACATCACGCTCCTTCTGCTCGTCCTCGCTGGGGGTTTCCGGTGTGGCTACGACGCGCGTCTTGGCTCCTAGCTTTTTTGCTATTTCTTGTATGATTTTGAGATCCGGCAACTTGGCGGCGGGCTCGATGTTATCAGCGCCTTTTACGTACAACATGGCCTCCTGCACGTCATCTGGGGTGGGGCAAAGAACTTTATTAAGTGACTCCAAGGATTGCGTGAGCGTCCACTTACCCACGGGCCTTTGCAGTTCCTTGGCCAACTGCGCCACGCTCATGTGTCTCCAGATTTCCGATCCACCAGCAGGCAATCCATTTGCCGGCTGCGCTTTTTTCGGTGAATACTCTATAATTCGTGGCGATTTCTACATAAATTAGTGAGTCTGTTTTCTTAGAAAAGTTCATTCTTAAATTACTTCATTCGTAGATCAACTTTTCATTCATAATTTAATGTTTTTCGTCGAACGTTTGATTCTGTCGCCCAGTTGCTCTCAAACCTACCTTCTCTTCTGCTGTTTTCCGGCGCTTGAGACGTGCGGCGTCCACATGAAATTGTCGCAGCGCTGCCGTTGGCTGTTTCCAGTGGCTGAGGCAGCGGCTGGAGTGCAGGGCATTTTGCCGTCGATATAAACAGCTTATTCTTAACATTTTCTATGATTTCTTATTAGTTTTAATTAATTTCTTCGCAATTATTTTTTTCACATAACAGGTAAGTGTGACCGTTTTGAAATAACAACCAACAGCTGTTTCCATTCAAATGAGCTCAAACTGTACGCTGCGCCACCTACCGTATTTTTTCTGCAACTGACATTTTTTACCGCTCCTACCGTCCTTCTGTAACAAAATGTTCACACTGTGCACGTTTTTTGACTTATCAATATCATCCCTGGCGATAGACATAGATATACCAACAATCAATATCAAACGCAAGCGGTTAAAGTTTTATTTCGAAATTTATAAAAATAATTAAAAAAGGCAGGCCCCAATTTTTCTTCTGTATTAAAAGATATAATTGCTTGGGGTTTTCTGTTGTTTTTATTCACTTGTGTATTTCACCCGCTCTCACAGTTCATTTTACGTAGATTCTCAGTTTTCGTAAAATTGATTGTATTTAATTAAAGTATACGCTTCTTTCGTCCTGCTCTTCAACATTTTCTGTTTATCTCACATTTGCTTAGGTCATTCATGAATAAATAAATATACGTTGGTCTGTTAGAATTGTGTTATTATCGTCTTCACTGTGTTTTTGCTTTTATCAAAGAAAGTCTTATCAACTACGACATCGTCGGGGAGTTTGCTCAAAACCAAAGAACCAAAAACCAAAAACTTAAAAAACATTAACAATATTTGCCTGTGTGCTCAAATCTCAAAACTCTGCGCTACGCTGCTGTTCTCTACTACTTAAAAAAGGTGGACAAAAAATCTAGGAATTGGGAATTTTAAACGGATGTTAGCCAATGAGGAAGGGATGGGTTGGTGTGGCGGGGGCTGTGGTTAGATATCGTCGATAGTGCGGTGCGGTGCGCCTTGCTCTCAGTTAATAGTTAATTGTTGATCTGCTCAGATATATATATATTGTAAGGACTCCTATTGCCTCCTCTCTCTTCCCTGCTCCAAAACAAGTACAAGTTTGCTGTGTGTGTGTGTGTGTGTATTTGTCTGTCTGTTTGCTCTCATTGTGTAATTGGTTTTCCCTCTCATACGGCTCTCAGTTCGGTTAAGTATTCAAAATAAAGATTCTATTGCAAATCGGTTGTAATTAATAAATTCACTAAAGGCCAAACATGGGCTCGTAGCAACCGTTGCTATTTCAAATTTCAAAGTGCTCTCTCGTCGGTTCTGTCTTCTGTCTTGCGCTGTTGTTCTCCTACAAACAAAAAAAATATAAAGAAATATTGATATATATTCTCTCATATTTGCGGCCCTGAATATGTCCTCTCTCTCTCTACTCCTGATAAACATATCTCTCCGTTCTGCTGTCTCTCTCTCTATCGCTTTCGTAATTCTCAATAGACGGTCACCGGTGCCGATGTCGTTGTCACATTCTCTCTATCTCTCATTAAAACAAACTAAATGGCAGGTTTTCTCCTCCGAGGGAGAAACAACACCTCAACTCGTCTTTTTGGGATCAGCCTGCGAGCCATGTCCCACCGCCGCCTGCTGCTGCTGTTGTTGTTGTTGCTGCAGCTGCTGCTGCTGCTGTGCCTCGATGTTGGCCAGTGCCGCCTCGGACATCTTCTTGTACTTGCCGGCTAGCTCGGGCAGCTCGTAGGAAATGGCCTGGTCCAGCTTGTTGATGGGACAGCCGCGGAAGTAGGTGCACGTCTCCGACAGTTTCTTGAACTCGTAGAGCGGATTGACGCGGAAGAAGTCGCGGTATACCTCCGGATCGGGCAGATCGTAGCGCGAGATGTTGGTCAGCGTGGAGAGACCCTCGTAGATGTGGTAGTTCTGCGGATGATCAATGATGTCGTCCGAGATGCGCTTCTTGTTGCCGAACAGCGTCTTGTGGTTGAAGTAGGTGTTCAGATAGCAGTCCACCATCTTGGCGTGGTTGCGCACGCGCACCTGTACGAGAATGGAGAATGGATCGATCGTTCAGATGACAGCTAATAACCCGATCAGAGGTACAGCCAAAACTTACAGCAAATCGTCGGGCACTGGAGATCTTGTGCTCGATGCGCTTGTCAATGGCCGTGCGAAGGTCGCGCAGGAATGCGCGCTCCTGGGCGAGCAGCAGGCGGGCCGGGGCGCCATCCTGGTAGGGATGCGTCCACAGCGAGGTGGTGTACATGAGTGGCGGCTGGGCCGACGACATCAGCGGCGAGATGTTCCAAATGAGGGCGCCCTGCACACGCAGCAGCTCCTCCGGATGGACGGTGTCCGCCTTGTTGAGGATGATGCGCGTCTGGTACTCGCGCCCCTTCAGCTGGTCGAGTATGGCCTCCGTCTCGGGGCCCACATCCAACTTGGCTGGGTCGTAGACCAGAAAGATGATGTCGGCGCGATCGATGAACCACTGGCAGGCATCGTTGAAGGGGAAGACGCGGGAGACCTGCTTGCGCACCTCTAGAATGCCGGGTATCTCGACGATGTTGACCTAAAAAATGCATGCAGCCAAATGCTTAAATTTAGTAATTCACTTTTGCTACTGCTACATTCACTTATTAATAACGAAATTAATGCAGAATCCACAATGAAGAATGTGTGCTAAAAGCTATAAATTGTGTCTGGCAGATGGCCAGAGATGCCAAGAGAGCTTCCCCGACAGCAGATGCCCAATCGACAGACAGGGCTGTCTGGCAGGCGACAAATTAATGCGGCTGTCTCTTTTCTTACCTTCTCGAGCAGCTTGCTCTTCATTTTCAGACCGCGTAGACGCTCCTCCAGGCCCTGGCCGAACTTCTGCAGTCCGGAGAACGTGTAGTCGGCGGCTAGCTGAGTGCCGTCCAGAACCTCCGTCTCATTGCCCCACATCAGAATATTGAAGTAGGCCGGAGAGGGTTCGGCACCTGGCAGACAATAAAGGTAATACGTAAATCACTGGATATCTGATGTATCTGCTGTTGCCAGTTACTAACCCGTTCTCAGCGAGTTGGGGGTGTACTCGTTGTCGGTCAAATAGTTAAGGATCGAGGACTTGCCACCGGACCAGGGACCCATAAACAGCACCAGCGGCTTGGAGAAGATCTCCGGATCGCTGAAGTGACGGTTGCTCAGGTCGCGGTACTTGTACAGGGTCTCCAGCGGCTTAATGGCGTTCTCATAGATGCGCTTGATGTCCCTCAGAATGATCTCGGCCACATTGTCGGTGGCCTTCTCGCGAGCATTGAACTCTTCGTCCAGCAGCAGAAGCTCTGTGATGTGCTGACGGCTGCGGCGGTTCTCGGGGATTGTACCTTCCTGGAATTCACATGATTATCCACATGATTCCACCTAGTGGAACAGGAAGACACCCCCTTGAAACTTACCCAGAGAAGTTCATCCTCAGGTTTAGTGTCATCCTCGTCGCCAGTGTCAGCGGCTGCATCAGCAGGGACTTCAGCTGCCTGGGGCTCATCCTGAGTCTGCTCAGACTCTACGGCATCCTCACTGGCTGCTTCTGGTTCCTGTGGAGCTGCGGCTTCCACTTCTGCAGACTCCTCTTCAGCTGGCGCCTGTTCGACGGGCTGCTCTGGCTCTGGTTCCTGCTCTTTCACAGCCTCAACTTCTGATTCTGGTTCTGGCTCTGGCTCCTGCTCTTTCACAACCTCAACTTCTGGTTCTGGCTCTGACTCCTTCTCTGGCTCTGGTTCGGCCTCCACCTCGACAGATTCCTCTTTGATGATTTCTTCTTCGATTGGGAATTCCTCGGCAGGACTTGGGGGCGCTTCAATGTCGATGACTGGAGCGGCATCAACCTCACGCTTGCTACGCTTCTTGACCTTCGCCTTGTCATCATCATCATCGTCGTCGTCATCGTCTTCAGCCTGGCTATCATCGTCATCGTGTTCGTTTGGCACTCCATCACCATCGACATCGTTGTCGTGTTCATTCGGGATGCCATCCCCATCCAGATCGTCATCCTTTTCATTGGGCACGCCATCACCATCCAAATCTTCATCCTCTGTAAGCGAGAAAAACCACAAATTGCACTTCCCCATCGAATAATTTATTATCATGAAGGCTCCGGTTTTCACATTCACTTTGCGTTCTACTTTTCAGCAAAAAGTCATGCCCTCACTGAAAGTGATAACCGGAGCCTGCCTAATTATGTGTGAAATTCCTACCAATATTCGCTTTGCCGTCTCCATCCAAGTCCTCATCCTTTTCGTTCCTCACGCCGTCTCCATCAAGATCTTCGTCCTCTGAAAATTTGAAATGCCCGTTAAGTGGGACTATTATCATTTGCAACGGAATAATATCTTACCATGATTCACTTTTCCATCTCCATCGATGTCATCGTCTTCATCATTCTGAACACCATCTCCATCAAGATCTTCGTCCTCTGCAAAGCATTACATTGGCGATTTTATACATAGGTGAGTTGCTTGCATATAAATTAGATGAACCTACCGTGGTTGACTGTGCCATCTCCATCCATATCCTCATCTTCGTCATTGGGCACACCATCGCCATCCAAGTCATTATCCTCTGAAAAGGCAGCCCAATAGAAAGTATAAATTAGCGACTGACCCCAAACTGAGTTTAAATTTAAGCAATAGAAGCTGCTGTAAAGCAAAAACAAGATCATTGCACTCTAATGGATGCCTAAAAATATCTAGAAATTATAAAAAAGCTTTCAATTAATGCGGAACTACTTTGCAGAATAAATTTAGAATAAATTTACCATGTATTGCTGTAGAAACAAACATACCGTGATTGGGAGTGCCATCGCCATCCAGATCATCATCCTCTGTAGGGTAAAATAAATGCATTAAATTAAAAAAGAGAGAAAGAACGTAGATAGTCGCTTCTGTGGACGCGACTCTATTTTTACACCCGTACTCAGTCAGTATATAAAAATTTGAGCTACTGATTTATGTAGAATTTTAAAATGTTTTATATATTACATAGTTTTGCTACATCTGTCATCTACATCTACCATGCACATGTACTTCTACAGGGCATTGGGGAAACTTTAACCATCGCTTAATATGTCGTCTGTCAAGGCAATCTGATAGATTTCCACTTTAACCACAAATCTAATACTTCAAGTACGGGTATAAAATAAAAAAATAAAAATAGCAATTAGTAGTAGCAGCAGCCCAAAACACTTACCGTGATTTACTGTACCATCACCGTCAATGTCCTCGTCATCGGCATTGCGAACACCATCGCCGTCTATGTCCTCGTCCTTGGAGTTGGGCACACCATCGCCATCAATGTCGTCATCATCTTCGTTGGGCACACCGTCGCCATCCATGTCATCGTCATCTTCGTTCGGTATGCCATCGCCATCAATATCATCATCCTTATCGTTCGGTATACCATCCCCATCAATATCATCGTCCTCGTCATCAGGTATACCATCGCCATCTAAATCGTTGGCGCTTCTCGCGTCCTCTGTGGAATCCAATTCGACAGTTTCAATTTCAACAGTTTCTTTCTCATCAACCGCATCTATCCCACCATCATCGTCGTCGTCATCGTCGTCGTCCCTACGGGGCTGATCGGATTGCAGTTCCCCAGAGCCATCTTTGACACCATCTGCAAGATGGCAGATTGCAATTTGCAGGCTCGAATCGATGTACATTTAATTTCCGTGGAAACTCACCTGTTTTCAATTCATTTATGGCCTTTTCAATGTAGGGTCGACATTCAGATTCGCTTGGTCCGACATCGGCATTGACAAACCCAACTGAAAGTCAGCGCAAAGATTACACGGGGCCCGTGACAGGTTAATTTGTAATTCAAGTGGGTCCCACAAGGAAAGCCCTAGGCCCTAAGCTATTTTTGTGCTCTCTCAGTTGGATTCTGAGTGGAACAATGGTCGCACTTTCTCAGCTTTGTGTCAGCGTCAGCATCAGCTCCGGCGAGGTCATTCTATCTGTTCAAACTTGACATTATTTATGGTTCTATCCACAGCACACACGGACGGACGGACGCACACTTTGAACGTTGCTTGCTGGTGGAGTGAATTTATGAATTTTATTTTTAAAAGATGAGAACTCAAACATACTCGCACAACATTTCGCCAGCATGTAGATGAGAGAATTTTCGGCATTATGTTTTTTTTTTGTTGGCTGCTCGCCCACTTTGGCCTTACTTCTTGATTTTTGTTTTTTTTGGCCACCTTACTGTACGGCCTGCACCCTGCTCATGCTTCCCCTCTCTAACTTTTGTGGAGGCGAACCATATGCACGGGAATATCAATTTGAATATGAATTCGAATATGCTTTAGCTTTTTCTTTTTTTCTTTTTTCTTTTCAGTAATGGAAGGTCGCGTCTGCCTAGTGACAGGCTCGTCATAAGGTCGAATTGCTAATTACTTTTGCATTGGCTGGCAATAAGGACATGTCCCAACGGATCTCTGCATGAGATCAGCTCATGGGCCCATGAAAGCTTCAAACATAGCCCCAATTAAAGTACGATTTGCAAAAGACTTTTTGAATACATTTTCAATGGGGCAATATTTCTGTCAGCGGATAGTTGCTCTGATTTATTGTAAATACCGTGTGGGAAAGAAGATATTTGAGCAATTTCGCATTCATTGCTATCCGCATTGATAGAATTATTTATACAAATTTCGGCCTGCCTGCATATTGTGTTTATGTTGCTGCAAACCCATCGCAACCCATCCCCTAGAGTATATAGCATTTGCACCATTTCCCCCATTTCTTTTTTGTAGTTTTTTGCACAAAAACCTGTGCAAACCAAACAAAAAATACAGAGACAAATATTCCAACACATAACCAGGAGCGATATATACGAGTGTATACGAGTGGATAGCTATGTGGATAGATAGAAAATACTCAGAGCAGAGCGCACATAAAATAACTTAGAAATTCTAAATTTATAAATATTACAAACGATGACAACGAAGAGCGAACAAGCAGCCGATCGTTTGCGTTTTAGCAAAGAAAAAAAAATACAGCTAAACGCTAGAGTGTATCTGTATCTGTGCTCCTGTTGCTGTTGCTGGTGCTGCCACTAGTGGTTTGCCGGCCAAGTCAAGTGTACGAGGCTATAGAAAATGTTCGATTGTATTTTCAAAGTGTCGTCCGCTGACGTTTGCAGACCTCAACACACGCACATACACACACACACACACACACACGTACACAACGCACAAACTCAGACAAATATTTGTTGAAATATACAAGTACATATGTATATATTAATATATATTTTTTCACAATTTTCCTTGTTTTTCTTGGCTTTTTGTGATAAAATTGCATAATGCTTGGCTGCGTGAATTTCTGTCAAGGGGGAACAAAAAAAAACTATAAGTGCTGCTGGGCTGCTTTGCTTTGCCCTTCGCCTTACATAAGTGGGTGGGCCGGAAGTGGAAGTGGGAGTGGGGGGAGGGATAAGTACTCACCATGATCGGAGATGGCGAGTAACGTTAGTCCCAACAGGAACCAAATTGTTAGCCGCCCCATAATAATCTTTGCAACAAATTATCCTCGAGTTTCCAGCGCGGTTAGAACTTTAGCCACGTCATAAATTCTCCTTTTTTTTCTTCGCAACTTTCCCGTAATTATGAACAATTAGGAAAAATTAGAATTAACACTGCTCGTATTCTGCATATATATGCATCCGCTATATATGCGCTCGTTTAAATGCACTAGATGAAAGAGTGAAGAATTCAAAAACCAAAGATTATTTGAGACCAGGCCAGAGAGCCAATGGGATAGTTCGGATAGTTCCTATAGATATGTGGGGGTATGCTATGGCTATTGGATATGTGTATGGGAATCTGGTGCTGTTTATATATAGGATTATCTATAGATTTTTAATTAGGCTCGCACAAAATGTTTTCACAGTTTTAGTGGGCTTTCAATTTTGCACTTTTCGTTATTAAAAATATATATATATATATATTTTATTTTATTTTATTTTTTTATCTTTTCTTTTTCTTTTAAATATTTATTTTTCTTTCACTTTTGCAGATCGATTTATCTTATGCTTGAATTTATTTAAGTTTTCGCGCTGCCGTTAGCAAATTTTAACCAACAATCATCGGCTGGGTAATCCTTAGTGTCCCTTTCGACGATTGTTAGCTAAATAATTTTTGCTTATTTCTGGCCGTTAGGTCGTGGTCGTAGTCGTCGTCGTCGTCTGTGCACGTCGTGTGCGTGTCGTTTTTTGAACGGGCCACCTCGATTTTGGGGCCCCAACCAACACATCCCATCTATTTTCTGTTCCCCAACACAAATCAAATTCTGAAAGAAGGAGGAAATTTCGGTGTGTACCGTACACGAGTATACGAGACGATCTCTCCCGGTCCAAAACCAATTCGTAACTCAACATGCATATACCATGAATTTACCTTGTGACCGCGAAAATTATTCGATTTTGATATTTTTGTAGCACGAATTTTTGTCAAAAGCACACAGTGAGTGAGTGAGTGAGTTTTTCTCTAGTCTCTGGTCGCTGGCCGCTGGTCTCTTTTCATTTTTCTATTTTCTTTCATCATCACGCCGGGTGGCGCTCTCTTCTCGATGCCATGCTATGCCCGGTGATGTTATAAGGGTCTTAGCATAAACCCATTGCGGATGAAGTGGCTAAGAGAAGATAAAAGGGAATTAAGCTATGTTCTATGGAATCGAAGGATCATACATTCCATCTAAAATTTGAATTTAAAAAAAAAAGTATTTTACTTTCTCCTTGGACCGTTTTGGAGGAATGTTTAATTATAGACAATGCGGTGCTCATTCCGTGTTCGACTATTACTCAGAGCAACTAAATTTGAGCCAAATGTTATCCCCACACAATTTGTGAGGCAGCTTGAGCAGCATTTTGGGGCGGAGCCAGAGCTCTGTGCGATTTGTTTCGTGTCACAAATGTTTAAATTCTGCTTTTTGGCCTCACTCTCTTGTCTCCCTGTGTCTCTCGCTCTAAGCATGGATGGGTTTATAGAAATCAAATGTTAAGGATCAAAATTAAACATTTCGTGTAGCATTATTTATCATCGCTCGTTTGTATGGTTGATTGCCTGAACAGCTGTTCGCTGTGTTGTCCAAGGCTGAGCTGATGACGACTGGCCAAAAGTGCAAAATGTCCCAAGTCATTGCGTTTATTGGCGTAATTAGGAATGGCAAATTCTCGTTCAAATTATGGCATGGTACGTGGACGTAGACCTTTATTTAACATCAGATTATGCAAGACCTCAAGGCTTTGCTTTGCCTACATGCCTATATCTCGCAAATGATGTCTCACACTTTTATTGAACGGACCATTAAGTTGCTTATTTATTTGATTCATACCATATATATTTTCATGGGCTTCGTCTCGTGCAGTAATCTCTCTGACCCACTTTATAACCCTAAGACTATATTAAATTAAAATAGTTCTTAGAATATCTCCTAACTTATGCTAGAGTCGTTTCAAATAATTTAGAATATGTTTAGTACGTGGTTGGCAGCTAGTGGGCCTCGTTGCCCCGCTGCTTCTGCTTGATGCGGGTGCAATAATACCGATCGCTGTTCTCGATCCAATCGCAGACATTCAGGACCGTGTGGAAGGCCGTCCCCTCCTTGCACTCGAACTCCACGGGCTTGCCATGGACACACCGGAAATACTAAGAACAGAACAATATTAAATTAGTATTGTTTGGCCTACCCTACAGTTGAAACTTTTACCTTTCGGCAGTTGGGATGCGGCACAAAGTCGCGATTGGTGCAATCGATTTCGCTGGGATCGAATTGAGGCTCCCCTGGCTTCTGTTCGGGATCGACAACTATTTCGGGCTCATCCGTAGCCTTCTCCGGAGCAGACGTTGTTGTTGTTGTGCTGGTGGTGGTGGCTCTGGTTGTCTTCTTGGGCTTCTTCGGTTTCTGTTGGAATTCGAAATGTGAAAAACTTCATTTGGGATGCGGCCCTCCCTCCTGGCACTCCCAGATATTTACCTTTGTGGTTGTTTGCTTTGTGGTGCTGGTCAGGGCTGGCGCCAGTGCCGGCGCTGACGTTGTGCTGACTGGGCCTGAAGTTGGTTTTGGCTTCGGTTTCGGTTTCCGCGTCGTCGTTTCACTCTGCGCCACGGAGCCCTCGTCCGGATTGGGCGAAGTGGCGGGCGGCTTCGCCCACTCTGGCTGCACATGCAATAAAACAGAAAAGAAAAAATGGAAAATGAAAAATTTTCATTTGTTTTTCGCGCGCCATTTGGCAGTGGGCCCACTGGCGTGGCTTACCCGCGGCGTCGTCTCCCGTGTGGGCTCCGGCACCCGGTAGCCCCGCATGTTGTCATAGAGTATTTGCATGAGCCCGTTGTGGCGGCCGCAGAGTCCGTGGAAGTCGTCCATGTCGATGGCCCAGGTCATGGCGCCCGCATAGCCCCGCTGCTTGATAAAGTCCATTTTGATCTGCACCGAGGCCTCGTTCTCGTAGCCCACCCACTGGGTGTCCTTGTACGTGTAGGGCACCATGCCCGCCTCATCCCACTCCACGGTCCAGCCCTTCGACTTGTCCATCACCTCCGTGCATATCTCGTAGTAGGCCAGGAAGCCACTGGCATTCGTGTAGGGTCCCGGCGCACCGCCGCCCGCCTCCTTGTTGATGTACGTGCCCATGTTGTAGTTCTTGTTGGAGTTGCTGAGCGTGAAGGTGCGCCCGTAGAACGGAATGCCGACCACCAGCTTGTTCGCCGGGCAGCCCATCTCCTCCCACAGCGCGAGGCCGTCATTCTTGAATGGCGATGCTAATTAGTTTGGCACAGGAAACAGAAACGAATGGCAATCGCAGAGCAATCGCGCACTCACCACATTGAGGCGCTCGTAGGCGTACTGATCGTGCCTGCGCTTGTACAGCGGACTGTGTGTGTCGGCGAATCCGGCCCAGTTGCCGCGCAGATCATAGGTCATCGCATGAATGGCATCCAACAATCTGCAAGGGTTTACGTTAATCCACAGTCAGCACTTCTAAATATTAATCTCAACTTACTCGCACAGCTCCGGCACGTGGTAGCCCTCCTGCAGTCTGAACTTGGCCACCGGCACCGCCATGGTGATCTCCCAGCCGCGTCCCTCCCGATCGAAGGCGCGTCGCAGCTCCTGCACAAAGTACAGGAACTTGTCCTTGTCGCCGAAGGTGCCGCCCCGATCGGTGGCCCCCGGGTACTCCCAGTCCAAATCAAAGCCATCGAAGTCGTGCTGCCTCATGAACTGGATCACGCTGCGGATGAAGCTCTGGCGACGCTCCCGTACGGCCACCATTTGCGAGTATTTGGAGCCACCCTCGGCCCAGCCGCCGACGGCTATCTGCAGCTTCAGCTTGGGATGAGTCTTCTTCAGCTGCGTAAACTTGCTGAAGCCCGCCTGGTCCACATCCAAGTCGGGATCGATCACCAGCACATCCCAGCTCTTCTCCTCCACGCCAATGAAGGAGTAGATGAGATGCGTGCACAGATCGGCGGGCACATCCTCCAGCCCGTAGCGTCCAATGCCCGGACGGTACACGGCCCAGTTGCTGAAGTAGCAGACAATGCGTGCTGGCTGTTCGCTCTTCGCCAGGATCACACAAGGCAAGGCACAGAGCACGCCCAGCAGCAGCAGCAGCGGCGGCGGCAACATTCCCTGATGATGCACTAGGAAAGGGGTTGAAAACAAAGAGCTCTCGAAGTTACTACGAAAACGTTAAAGATCGATACCACAGCGCCGCAGTTACGACTTGTTTTTCGAGATCAACGCGACTTGCATATATAATCGTGGGCAGCCTGTCGAAAGTCGTCGTTCCGTTCCTCTGTTTCCCCTGCTATTTTGTTGCGGTTTATGGAGGTACTAAGGTTGTGTGTCCATAATGCTGCCGCCATGCTCAAGTTCGTTCACCGACCGATCCCCCACTCATCTGTATGCACGGACAGGCTTACCCATTTCTTAATGCTCCGATGTGATGGGACGGCAGCCAACGATTGGACTGTGCGTTCTGCGTTCTGCGTGCGACGCTCGTTTGGCGTCAAATGACAGTCAAACTCTCGCCCAGCTTAGCTTTTATAGTGGGAGGCGATCGCGACTCGGGTGCTTGCTCTTGGAGTCCGGTTCTTTGTTCCTGCGTAAGGTGCGTGAGAGGCGCGTCTCTCGTTGGGAACGGGCACGGGAACGGGCACGGGAACGGCAGTGTGGGTTAGAGCAAACAATGAATGACATCGGGCAATCTCGAACGCTTTTGTGCTGTGCTCATTTCAAGATCGGGTTAACTTGTTTGTTTTCGTTCTGTTTCGTTTGGCGACTTTCTTTCCGATTGTTTTGCATTCGCATTTTATTTTACTGCCAGCAACTCTTAAGACACCCCCCACACAAGCGTGCTTGGCTGTTATTTACGCTCGAGAATTACCATATTTCTGGACTGGTCTGGACTGTAAAACGATCCCTTTAAATGCTCCCCCGGGATAGTGTTACCCCCATGCAAGAGTGCATCCCGTTAATGGTAATGGATAGATAACTTCTGGTTAAGGCAGCAGCTTTAATGCCGGGCATACCAAACGAGTACAGATGGATAAATCAGAATGGGGTCTTAGGTCTAGCTATGCATATGTACAGTAGGATGGGCTATCCAATGCGTATGTCAATGGCCAAGGTGTAGTCTTCTGCTGTGGTGCTGCTGGAGGGGGGTGCTGGAGTGGTCGTTGACGTTGTGGCGGCTGCTGTCGGCGGAGCTTGGCTGCTGGTGCGCGTCTGACTGGCATCTGGCCGCGATCCACCATTATTGTCTGAAATGCAGCGAGAAGCTTTACTCAAAGCTGGGAGAATCTTAAGCCCAGACCTCACCTTTAAACGGCTCCAGATCCGCCTCAAAGGGACGCTGCTGCTCATCATGTCCGGGCGGACCAAAGCCAGGGAACGGCCCAAAGCCATTCGGATACGGATGAAATCTGTTGGGAGGTCCATGATGGTGAAAGTCCGGACCGAAGTCCTCGTGGCTGCCGTGGTGGCAGCTCGGGCCGAGGGAATGGTGATCCCAGTGCCGCTTGTGGTGATGTTTCCTGCTATCCTCGTGATGTCGCCGGTGACGCTTATGCTGGACATGGCTGCTGAGGGCAGGCGCCACCTCTGGCTGCCAGGCGATGGCTGCCGATTCCTCGGCCAATAAATCTTGGCTGGTGAAGGCACTGAAATGGGAACAGAGGTGATGGCGACTGCAATGGATATGCGCGACTAACGGTTACTGCTACTGACGCATTCTCAATGGCTGGAAACGGTGCCGGGGCTGCCTGGAGCAGCAGCTCCTGCTGGCTTATCACGGCCAGCAGCGCCAACTGTGTGAAATATGGCATTGGAAGACTGTAAATTTACGGCCACGACAAGCGGGAGAAACGTTCTACTTACACAGGCCTGGACGGGGGCTAACATAATCTCAGGGGGGGGGGCTAACACTTGAAACTCGTACGAGTTTGTGCCTCGAACCTCACACTTTAGATGCGCAGAGTCGACTAAAGCTGGCCGGCGACTCACTTGTTTCCGCACAAATAATGTCGAGACAATGTCTCATGTCGGGGTTTTTTTTATACTTAATATTTGCTCCCTTACTCACTCAGATTTTGAGTGGTTTTTATGCGCATCATCAGCGTTTAACGCCATAAACCTGATTGGTTCATGATAATTCAGGTTTTGTTTTTTATTCATATCTACAAGCATGTGTTTATCTACATGAAGTCTTCGAGCGTATTGTAATTAGCTTGAATGCATTGGACGGTGACCCTGCTGCTGCTCTGCTACTGCCCGGGCTGCCCGCCCTGCTGCCCGGCTACTGCACCTGCATAAACGCACTTTAATAGCCATTTGTCAGCTAATGTGTTCATTTTGCGATCGATCAAATGAACCACCAGTTGACAGCGTTGAGAGAGTGTCAAAATGTTGCAGATTATCGAGTTTGTATTTATGTATGATCGCTTTCGGATGTGGGCGAGCTGCGAGTCACGATTATGTTAATGTGATAAGAACGCTTTTAGAAAGCTTTTCGAATGCTCTACATTTTACCCGCTACTCCCACAATGCTTTGCTGTGAACCGAGCACAAGTACTATGCTGAATTTCAGCTGTCCGCGCCTTGGGTTCATTGTGATTCATGGCAGCACTTGCGGGGCAGAGGCACCCCTTAACATTGATCTTGAATAATGCCGGCAATTGTGGCAGCCCCTGTCGCCATTTCCTCTTCCGTCCAACCTTGGCGCTGTAACCAGACAATGGAGGAAAACAGAATAGACCAGACAAGACCCCTTGGATAATTTGAATTTTCAACTATAATCTTTATTGATAACATTTCTCGTTCGTTCGCAGTTTTATCGTCTTCAACTCTTATCATATTATGACGTACAATTTGTATATGTATTTGTATATTTATTTTCTTGTTTATATATATATATATTATATGTATATGTATGTATATTGTATGTATATGCAATAAATATTTTGTTGTGTGTGTTCTAGGGAGTATGCGTGCGTTCTATGCTTAGTGCAATTGCAATAATTGTAAACTCGATAAGCCTCGACAATCTACATACATATATGATTGGACTCTGCCTAAATGTGTTCCATGTGTGCGCGAACTTAGGAGAATAACTTGAGAGCAAATAATGTACATATACACATTCCATATAGCACCGCGAAATGTACAAACAACTTGTTGAATCATGTGTGGTGGGGTGTGGGGTGGGGTGGAACTTAGCCTTAAAGATAAAAGAACCTTAAACCATACGTAGCAATTAGATAATAAAAATAATAATCATCGCGATAACAACTAAAAGCTAAAAACTTAAAATATAGTTTTGTACAATTTTTACGTGGATACAATTAGCTTTATTATATTATATATTATATATTATTTATGCTTGTATATTCATCATTTTATTAACAATATTTATCGTTGTTGTTCTTGTGGGTTAGGACGATACAATTAAAACGATTATTCATGCATATATTGTATTGTGTTTGTCTGTATGTTTAATTGCGAACAGCTAATGCGACATTCGATAACTTTTAAAGTTATATAGACATTAAATTCAACCAGCGATTGCGTACGAGTATAATTATATCCATATCCATATCCACACATCCATTGACTTGCATTTGTTTAAAAACATCCATCCAGCATGATCAAATGCGTGACTGCCACTCTCTCCACTCCATTCCACTCCACTCCACTCCTTTTCTCTTCACTTTAATTGCCTGGCTAATTGACCTACATTTAAATAATTATGTGTACGTGTGTATTTTTTTTTTTATAGCATTATGCCTGTTTAAATATGAATCCTTCATTTAAAATTAATATATGCATGTCGTAGTTCAGCGTTTTGCTTTTTCATTTTTAATTCTCCCGTTTAAATACAATTTAATTATATTTGTGTTTGCCTTTCATTAATTCATGTATAAATATTATTCCATTATTAATAATTGCGATAGGTACGTTTTGGAAAAACTTTGCAAAGGTCTGAAGTGCTTTGAGTGCGCTGTGCGTTCTGCTAGAGTTTCCCCCGTTTCCACTCTCTCTCTCTCACTGTCTCACTGTCTTTCTGGGTCTATAGGAATGATGCTGATTGAGTGCTGATGTGGAGACTCTATGTGTAACTACTCATGCCCCCATGCTCCATGCTGTTGCTGATCTTAAAAAGTTGGATTGTATCAAATGCATTAATATTGGCTCCAAAAATTGTTTCAATTGTTGTTACTTGGTTTGTTGTTTGGTTGTTTTGATTTTTGAGAGAAATGCGCTACCCTTGAAAAGTCCGTTACAAAAGTCTTTGAAGTTATTGTTTTTAGTTGCCATGAATAAGTTTTGACCATCTGCTGCACCTCTCTAGTTTTTGGTTAGCCTGCACAGGAACGTGTTTGATTCGACTCATCGCTGGTACATACATACCTATATGTACCCCACATACAATACATACATACGCAGACACCGCAGATACTACTACGAGTTTAGTTGCGACCCTTTTCCTACAGTTCAAGAACGACCGCTAATTGTGTTTAATTGATATCGTTTGAATGACTTGCAACACGCTTACATTGATATGTTGAATCTTTGATTTCCATATTGTATATGTTGTATATATATATATATCTGTATCTGTATCTGTATTTATATATATATCATAATATGCATTAACAATCGCTTACTGCCGCTCACAAAAATTCGTTTATTTCCGCAGAATCTACTGACTTCGATTTGTTTTGTAATAGTCTCTTCAACAGATATTATTCCCATATAATATATATATATACGTAACTCAGTCACATTAAGAATTGATACGATTTTCATTTAAAATTGTTAGCAAATTTCCTAGTTTGATTCTGAAGATAAATGCAGCGCATATTGTGCTTGATTATTATACGAGTATTCGGTAATCGTAATCGGAGTTAGTTGTTTATTTACGAGCTGATTTCGCTTTAGTCGTTTAGCTGTAGAAGTTATCCCGTTGCTGGTACAGCGGCAGTGAATCGGTCGGTGATTCCGATCCTTGCTCCTCGTCGCTGCCCTGACTCGTTCTGTTGGCCGCCTTTGACATGGCTTTCTCTGTGGGTTGACAAGAAATAAAAGAGTTAGTTCCACTTCGTTCCAGACAGCCACTTCACTTCAACCCGTTCATAGGCAAAACACCTTCCCAAGCGTGCTGTAAAAGTTTCGAGTATATATGTATGTACGTATGTAAGAAAAAGGTACACCGATAACCAGTTCTATCCAGTATCGTATCTGTGTGTTGGTTTTTGTTGGCTTTGGCTTTGTGTAGGTTTTATTTTGTAAAAGTTTTGTTGTGTCTGTTGTGTTGTGTTGGGTTGGCAGGGTAGAGTAGGTATCTGTCCTGCAGCTGCTCCTTGTGCATTGGGCATATACTTACTCATACATATGGGGCAGCGATTAAGCGCTCTCTTGACTCTTTTTTCGACTACTTTAAACGCATTTTAGGCAGTGCAGCAATTTAGTTTAGAAACTAAGCAATTGGCTTGCAATTTTGAGTTAAACACTTTTTGCAAACATCTCTGGTAGAAATATTTCTTAGATTCCGAAGGAAAATATTATTTTGCAGTCCCTAAATAATTTCAAGATTTTGATTTATTGCTTCCTAAACTAATATATAAATTAACTGAATTATTTTCCTATAATTAAATATTTCCTTGTGAAATATAATATTTTAATAGAGAAAATATATGTCCATTTCTTGCAAAAAAGTTTTTTTCTTTTAATATTATTAACTTTACGCAAAAAAAAAATGAAATGAAAATCCTTGAATTTCAAATGATTGTATTACTCTTTTCTTCGAACTTTATCAAATATGTATCTGTCGAATCTGAATATATACACACAAGTATGTATATCCTAAACTAATTTAGTTATTATAATCCCTAGATTCCAATAGACTTGCTTTTCGGTGCGGACAAAACAGTTCCGTGCTCTCTCTAGAGAGTGTTTCTAGTGTGTGTTTTTTGGAGTGTTTGGTTGGTTTTTCTTTGCGTTTTTGTGTGGTGTTGCAGGTTAGATTGGTGTTAGAGTGCAATTTTTATATATATATATATAATTCGGTTATATTATATAATTAGTTATAAAGATAAGTATCGTTATGGCGTGCAGGCTGATTAGGTGTGCCAATGTGGTTTCGAACAGACTAGGCACAGTTTTTGGCTTGATTAATGGTATGGCATGGCATGGAAGCTACATAAGCTACATAAACGTATACACTCGTATACTCTACAAGAAGTATTATTACGAGTATTACGTGTATGTGGGGATATCATTTCATATGTTTAAATGTATTATCGAAACGTGTACAAACCTTGACTTACGGATTCAATTCGTATTTAACTGTTGTTCTTGTGCTTGTTGTAGTTGTTGTTGTTGTTGTTGTACTTGTACTTGTTGCTATTGCGTTGCTGTTTATTCTTGTTGTCGGTTTTTAGTATTTTGTTGTTGTTGTTGTTGTTTGTGAATTTTGCGTTTTGTTTTTGAAGTGAGAGTTTTACTTTTCTTTGTTTTTTTTAGTGAGTTTTGCATGCTGTAATCTCAACTGCTGTGGTGTATTCTTGTTGCTGTTGCTGTTGTTATGACAGTTACTGTATATACTTAAGTGTACCGTACTATGTATGCATATATATGTATAGGTTTGTATTCGTATTGCTGTTTGAGTGCTTCGAACAATATGTTTTGATAGCGCGGCACCGGGTGGCTGATCGTGATGCGAACAAAACTTCTCTCACAATCACAATGTGAACGAAATGTTTTGGTAAATGCCAAACGAGTACAAATCAAAAAAACAAACAAACAAACAAACAAATTGTGAACAGAAACAACACGACTGGCTCTACTGGGTAATTAGTTGTGACTAGTGGGATTGCCTAGAAGAATGCAAAACAAATGAAACGAAAAAAAACACATTATGAAAAATGCAACGAAAATTATAAATTAAAATAAAATAAAATAAACAGGTGATTAATTAAATTAATAATTAAATATATAAGTTCCTAAAAGTCTTCAGCTTGCTTGATATGTTGAACTTTGGTAGTACCTTTCGCGAGTTCATGGAACTCGCTGCGATTGTTACTTAATTTATGATTAATTATACATGAGCTGGACAGGTGCTATGTACGTGTAATGTATGTATGTGATATATATGTATGTATGCATGAGGGGGGCAATGTGGGCCACAAAGTCTGAGGTGTATGATTGACTGCACTGCTGCAAGTGTCTGTGTGTGTGTGTGTCGGAAAGTGGTTTTCAGTATGTGTTTGTGTGTGTATCAGTGAAAGGGTTATGAGAATTTGAACGTCGCCGATGAAGTCGCAATGAGGTGGAGGTGCAGGTGGAGGGAGGATGATCTGATCTGATCTTAGAAATCTTATTTAGAATGGGGGCATAACGCATTGGACTAGATGGTATGCATATGATATTTATTATCATTAATCATCTAGAAAATCAGAAAGAGTTGAAAGATAGATATAGTATATGTATATATATATATAGATTAGAAGAGCATAGACTTGACATAGAGTTTGAATGGGAGGAGCACAGTCGCAGATAGTATATGGGGTAGGGTATGGCGTGAACTCTGAGATATATACATAATACATACATAATACATAGATCTATTGGTCGCGGAGACATAACGATTTGTGGAGCGTATTAGTAAGATAAACACAAAAAACATTGAACAGAAACTCAACTTGCAAGGCATTGCATTTGCATAACATTTGAAATGGGGGGGGGGATTTGCTTAGTCTATCAATGAAAACCTTAAACGAAAGGTAGGTAGACCTATCTGAGCCATTGAGTACTGCACTTACCGGCCACAATCTTGCTGACTTGCATCACCTGCTGGGCCAGGATCTGGTTGAGCTGCAGCAAGTGTTCGCGCTGCTTCTTCTCCGCTGTTATTTTGCTCGGCGGCAGGCTCTCGTTCTCCTGTGAAAATACATTTACAAATTACATAAACGATCCATTCAAGCGCTGAGTGTTTAAGCACTTACGTTGCTGCTAAGTGGCGCCTCGGACAGCATCTTCTTAATGGACTCGACCTTCTCCTGGCGACGCTTCTTCTCCTCGGGCGATAGTTCGGGCGTCTGTGGGGGGCATACACAAAACACAAGTAAACAAATGGACTGCAGTCACTTAATTGCGGTACTCACTGTCTCTGGTATGTAACGCTCGGGAATGACTATTTTGTTGGGCGCCAGCAGCAAGTTATCAATGGTATTCTCAGAGATCTTCTCGCCCTGTCCCAGTGCCGAACGCACCACATCGGGGGCATTCATGCGCGGCCGCAGGGCCACCTCCATGTCCAGATCATCGCGTGCTCGCCAGTTTGTGTTCTGCAAGGAACGGGACGACCAGTTAGTGGGAATTCTTTCGGCGAACCATCCATTTGCTACTCACATTGCGATTCATGTCGTTCTCCGCCTGCACCTTCTCCATGGCCTTCTGGTTGACGTTGTTGGGTGCCGTGTAGTGGCGTCGCTTCTCCCGCGGCACTGCCCGTCGATGCTTGTGCGGCGGCGGCACCTTCTCGACAATCTTCTCGGTGTCCTCCGATGCCGAGCCGGCGGACATCTCGTTGATGATCTGGCGAGCGGCCACGCTCTGGAACACCGGCTCGGGGCTGATGTCCGTCAGGCTCTTGTTGAGGCTCTGCAATGAGTCTGTCTTGGTGCGCAGCGCCACCCTGGCACTGTCCCGCGAGGGATTCGCCTGCTGCTGCAGTTGCTTGGCGAAATAGGCATTGGCCAGAGGATTGAGGTGCTCCCGCTCCCGCTGCTGGTGGTGCGCATGGTGATGGTGGCCATTGCTCTGTGGCACTGGCGCAGCTGACGGTGCTGGTGGTGGCGGCGGCTGATGCTCGTAGTTGCTGTTCCTGTCGTAGTCGTAGCTGCCGCTGTAGTGGTGGCCATTCTGCTTCACGGCTCCACCGCCGTTCATGTGGCGACTGTTCCTCGGCTTTGGTGGCTCGCTGTAGTTCCGTGGCAGCGACTTGGAGCGGCTGTGATGTCCGTTGGTCATCTGCTCCTCCATGCTGTGGCCATACAGCTGCTGTTGCTGCTGCTGCTGCTGCTGCCAGCTGCTGCTGTTGCTGGGCGTACTGCTCCTCCTCCAGCACTTGGTCCAGGTTCTGTATGGAGCTGCTGAGGCCACGCTCGCTGCGATCGCGATGACGACGCTCCGACTCGCGCTTCACAATGCGAACCGTTTTGATCTCCTGCTTCTCCAGATTGCTCAGATTGGCAAACGGATTGCTGTCCAGGAAGCCATCGCTGTCCACGCCGCTCATCTCCAGGGCATCGCTGCTGCCGCCGCCGCCCCCGCCGCCATTGTAGCGATTGTAGTCGCTCAGCTTGGCCGAGCTGTTCGTGTCCACATAGAGCGGTGTGGATAGATTGAGGGTCGAGTCGCTGAGGTTCTGGCGACTGCCATTCCACTGCATGCTGGCATCCAGATCGGTCTCCGTCCAGCTGGTCGAGTTGCTGCGCTTCTTGAGGCTGCCATTGCTGGAGCCGCCGCCGCCGCCCCCATTGACGGCTGTCATTTCCTTGTTGCCAATCTCCTGGTACAGACGCGTCGAGTTCTCCGTCAGTTGGCGCACGGCGGAGCTCAGCTCATGGCGCTGTCGCTGCATGTCGCCCACCAGGCACTGCACCCGCTCCAGCTCCGACTGCAGCACGACGGCCGTCTGGTCGCCGCCATTCACATGGGACTCCAGCCCATTGCTGCTGCTGGCACGCGTGGCCTGCACCTTCTGGCGCAGCAGCAGCAGTTCCTGCTCGAGGCGCGCATTGCCGGCCACGGTTTGCTCCAGTTTCTGCAAGACAAGAAGCGGATCAAAGATTAGAGACTGTTCTACAGAGCTTTGGCTGTGGCACATGCAGATGAAGGGCGGCTGGTAGAAGTCTTTTGCATTCAATCGTTTGTCATTGAAACCGAACCAGATCTCACTGTGACCTGTGGGTAGCTACTAGACGAGAAGCTCTCTTTGGAATATATCTTTGGAGTATTAGTTTTTGGTTAGAATGATTTTTTGCATTAGTTACGGAAGCGACATGCGAGGAGGCTCAAGCGGGACGTGAGACAAATAACAACGAGTTACAAGAGCTGCAAAAAACTTCTACTAGGCACCTTGGCTACCTTTGAGTTCTCGGCCAGCAGCTGGTGGACACGCGACAGTTCACGCTCCAGGATGTGCTGCTGCTTCTTGGCCGCCTCCAGTGCCATGGGTGTGGCATTGCTGTCGTGAATGCGCGCCCGCAGTCCGCCCAGGGCCCGCTCCAGGTCCTCCTTGTCACGCTGCAAGCTTTGCAGAATGCCCGACTCCTCCTGCAGCAGCTGATCGAGTTGGTAAAGCTCGCGTACCTTGGCCTGCAAAAACAAATTAAATTACATTAATTAACTGGAATATTCAGCAAATCAAAGGCAAAGTGAAACGCACCTGCAGCTCGGCCTGATTGGGACTGAGACGTTCCCACTGTTTTTGCTCCTCCTGCAGCATCTGGCGCTCCTGCATTCGCTGATTGAACTCCAGGCGATCCAGTGTGGCCGGCTGTGCCCGTCCATTGGCATCGTTGCGGTACAGCGAGCCCAACTTTACCATATTGTCGACCAGATTGACCAGCGGCTTGCTCTTCTCGTACTGCCGCTCCAGGTCAAGCAGGTGCTGCTTCAAGTAGTCCAATCGCTGGATGCTCTCGGCACGGGTCAGACCCTCGGCGCTGCGCAGGCGATTCTGTAGGTGGGGGCAGAGCAAACTGGAGTTAGCAGAGTCAACAGAGTGGCAACGGGTTTAGTTTGAGGTTTAAAGGTAAGCGAGAGGATTAGTCACAGCACCATTGGTTAGTCAGAGATTCCCCCAACCCCCACCCCAACCACCGACAGATAAATAATCATTCGGGTAGCCACCTGAACATCGTGTATGTCGCTGCAGCACTGCTCGATGGCACGGGCTGTCTGGCTGCTCTGGCGTCGCAGCTGTATGAGCAGCAGGACCAACTCCTCGTGGGTGCGGCTCAACAGATCCCCAGCCGACACATCCAAGTTCTGTGGGTTGTGTTCAAATGTTAAGTACTTGGCAGGATGCACCCTCGACTCGCTGGTACATCCATTGCTGCCCCCTGTGCCTGCCCCTTGCCAGGTGTGGCAACTTACCCTTATCTGGCAGCTCGTCTCCCGCTCTAGCATATCGATTTCCGCCCGACTGCCAGCACGTCGCATACGGAACTGCTGCTGCTGCTGTGGCTGCTGTGACTGTGGCTGCTGCGGCGTGGATGTGGCTCCGGCGTAGAGGCCGCGATCCGTTAGCACTGTGGCCTTGGCGTATTTTGTTTCGGCGGCGCTGCCATAGTAGGGAGCAAAGGCCGACTCCTGCTGCCCGTCGGATGGCTCCGGCTTCACCGTCAGATTGCCCATGGGCAAATTGTTAACATTGCGCACCGAAATCGAGGCTACAAGTCGAAGAGAAAACAATTAAATAAATATTTCAGATGGGTTGTGATGGAAGGCGGGGGCTTAAAATAGTTTCAATGCGTGCGCGAAATATTTAGGAAAGCAAACAGTAATCGGTAATCAGTAATCGGTACTCAATAATCGATAATCGGAAATGAATACCCAGCAGTTTGATGAAATATATACATAGGTGCAAATATATATATATTAATTTTGCTTAATTAATTGCTGCCTCAGTTCTTTTTTTAAAGGGCAAACAAATAAACTACAGTCTAAGCTAAAAGCCAAGCGGTAACTGGTAGCTGCTTTTGGTAATTGCTAATTGATAAATGAGTAAATGGGTAAATGGTAAATGATAATTGATTTAACTGCCCACAATAATACCAAATATAATACAATAAAATGTATGTGCATGTATGTGTGTATATCTATACAGCTTGTACGTGTGGCGGTGTGTACTGTGGTGTGTACTGTGGCGGTGTGCTGTTTTGGTGCTTTGTATTTACAAGCGCTTCAATGACTTAATGAGCTATACATATAGAGGATTGATAAAAGTTGAAATTTGCTTACCAGTTGATTAATTAAACAAAACAAAACAAAACAACTATAATGACAACAACAACAACAATAGCAATAGCAACAACAACAACAATGATAATCAACAAACAAAACATCTCTCTGCATAAATAAATATGTGTGCGTGTGTGCCGTGTCTGTGTTCCATGCTGGGGATCTGTGCTTGGCTTCAAAACTAGGTCCAAATGTCAGTGCAAACAAGAGAAGTACACACACACACACACACACACGCAGAGAGAACATGATGAGCAGGCCAAACAAACAACAAAAACTGGACACAACAGTTCTCCGGAACAGAGCAGCACAGCGGAATGCCAAGCCAAACGGAAAACGAAATGTGAAAACTGCGAAAAAGTATTGCATATTTTTAGGCGGGTGCTCCGCTCAGTTGTTATTTCTCGACTTTTGTGCAGCGAAACCCTCAATGGGATTGCCATTGGCATCGTCAGTATTATTATTATTATTGCCACTGCCATTCAGCTGCTGGATGATGGAGCGCACACTGCTGGTCAGCGGCAGATTGGGTTTGGGTCCGCCACTGCTGCTGCTGCTGCTCGCACTGTGTGTGGCTGTGGCTGTGGGTGTCAGAGTAGTTGGCTCCACATTGTGACTTGTTTTCATTAGGCCACTGGACATTGCGTCCCACTGTCGGATATTTTCGCGATCCAGCTCGTTGGATTTGTGCGACAGATTCGAGGCAGTGTCCTCGCGCAGCACCTCGTACACATCCGAATCGGTCTGATCCTGCTGGCTCTGAGCGAACTGAGAACTATTGGCCAACAGCTGCACATACACATCGTGCTCATCGCTGGCCAACTGCTGCTGCAGCTGCTGCGGCTGCTGATGCTGTTGCCTTTGGGTTGGCTTCTGGCTGTCATTCACATAAGTCACCTCACGACTGAGCTTGGACTTGGGTGTGCTGCACACTGGGCCGGCAGTGATCCTATCGAGATCGTCCAAGGAGCGAGCATGCCGCTGCGAGACGCGACGCAGACTCTCACGCCACAGGGTGTCCTCCTCCCAGAGCAGTTCGCCACCTAAAACTGAGAGTTGATTGCCATTATTGCATGCACTTCGTGATGCGCCTCCGCCCGCCGCGTCCTGGGCCAGCAGACTCTGCAGACTTGGCCACACCCACACCATGAACGTCCACACCATCGTTACCGCTATCGCTATGAGGTCCTTCATCCAAGACAAGGCTACCACCAATCGATTTACGAGCGAGATTTGTGTTTTTAGTAGTTGTGAGAAATGAATGGGCTGGGTTTAGTGGATTGCTCTGGCTCTGGCTATGGCTCTGTATCTGCATCTGGATCTGTATGCCACTGCTGCTGGGACTGCCGCTCTCCAGCAGTGGGTGCTCCACTGCCTCACCGCCACCCACCAGCTGCATATTGTTGAGCTTGAGCTGGGCCTGGCCCGCCGCCTTCAGGTTCTTGTTGCTGCTGTAGCTGAGCTTCTCGTTGTTGGCCTTCACGCAGTACAGATTCTTGCTGTCGATGGCCTGGTCCTTCTCCACCAGTGCATCCACATTGAACTGGTGCCGATCGATGGGGTTGTGTATGTGGGCAATGTTCAGGCCATGGGCATGGATGTCCCGCTGATTGTTCAGCGGCAGCGGTGCCGGCAGCTCCGAGTAGTAGTACGGAGCCGACTGCGTCGATATGTTGCTGTTGTTGCGGCTGTGCATGGGCGTGAGGTAGGCAGCCGCTGCCACAGCTGCCACAGCCGCCACAGCCGCAGCGCCGCCCTCGCCCAGCTGCTGGATGGAGTCAGTGGAGGAGAGAAAGTGAATGTTGCCGTAAAAGTGCTGCTCCCCGTCGCCGTCATCTGCATTGCGGAATGTCTTTGGCGGCTTGATGAGATTGGTCAGTATGTCCGCGCCTGCCGCTGCATTCGCATCGTTCAGCAGGTGGCTGGTGGGCGTGGCGTGGCCAGTGTGGCTGGTGCCCGGGGTGTGCTGGTAGGGCAGCAGATCCCTGCCCTGCAGATGGCTCAGGTACGTGTCCAGCTCGTGGCTGCTCAGCGTCTCCTCGAACTGTTCGCTCAGCGACTCAATCTCGCTGATCGACTCCTGGGAGAGCGGCCGCCGCGACCGCTGGCGGTCCAGCTCCGAGTCCGACCGCTGCCTGAACTCCACCCCCGACGACTCGTTCTCGCTGCTGTCCCCCACATAGCGCAGCGGCAGGGAGTTGTTGCTGGGACAGCGGGCCGGCGACGGGCGCTGCTGCTGTCCGCGCTTGCGGTACAGCTCCAGGTCCGAGGAGGTGCGCGACGAGCTGTTGTCCGTCTGGCAGCTGTAGTTCGAGTCGGACAGCGTGCGGGCGTGATGCTGCTTCAGCAGCACCGTGGGCGTGGCCGTGCCTTTGTGGGCTGCCATGGCTGCAGTGCGGGACGGGTTGCCGCCACGAGCCTTGGCAAAGTGATCGGGCAGGGAGAGGCGACTGCACTTGAGCGTGGTGCTGGGATCGACCTTGGACAGGTTGAGCGAGGTGTTGCTGGCATGCAGCTTGGGCAGCTGCTCGTAGGACAGATTCACCTTGCTGTCGCGCCTCTTCACGGTGTCGTAGTGCTCCGAGGAGAATATCTCCTCCGTCTTCAGCTCCTCCATGGGCGGTGGCGAGTCGGGAATGGGCGGCGGTGGCAATATTTCGCTATCCGAGCTCTCCGCATAGTTGTTCAGCGGCGTGGAGGCGCCCAGGTAGTAGGATGCCGGCCTGAAAGTGTCCGACAGGCTGAAACGCGACCGCGAGCGCAGCTTCTTGGCCTCCAGTTGCTGCCGGCTGCTCTCGTCATCCGCGTCCGAACTGTCGCTGGCCAGCGCCAAAGCACTCTTCGCCGGCTTCAGTATATCCGGCATATCCTTGCCCTGCCGCTTCTTGGACTTCTTCTTCAGCGTCTCTGTGCCGCACTTCTTTGCCTTTTTCAGCGTGGAGCGACCGGATGAGCAGTGTGCCTCTTCGGCGGCGGATGCTGCTGCTGCTGCCTTCACCCCCGCCAGCTCCATGTAAACAGGCTCCGCTTTGGTTATTCTGCTGCTGCTGCTGCTGGTGCTGGCAATGCACATGATCTCGTAGTTGTTTCTGCCATCCTCGTCCTGTATGCCCTTGGTCATTTCCACGTAGTGATTCTCCTCCTCCTGCTCCCTGTAGCTGTCGTGGGTGGCCACCAGGCTGAGGATGCCTGGCTGACCCAGTTCCACCTTCTTGGGCGTCATGGGCAGATAGTGGCTCTCATCGAACTGCTGATCCGTGGGCGTAATCGGCTCGTTCACATAAAGCTGCTGCAGTTCCCTATCACTTGGCAGGTCAGTCATGTCAGCAGCCATTGCCTCCTCCTCATCATCGTCATCATCGTCATCCTGCGCCAGGGCCTCGTCAATATCATCGTCTGTGTACTCCTCACAGGCAGTGCTCTCATCCTCATCATCCTCCACTTCATCTGCATAGGCATCGGCAAAGGCTTCGTCATCTGTCTGTATTTCGTCTCTCATTCGAGCTGCATCATCATCATCATCATCATTATCTTCGATGGAGGCCTCTCCAAGTGGAGGCCTGCTCTCTGCCGTTGGCGTTAAATCGTCCTCGTCCTGTTGCTGCTGGTGCTGCTGCTGCTGCTCCTGCTTTTGTGTGGCCTCTTGTTGCTGCTCCTTAAACAGCTTTAGCTGCATCAACATTGGTGTCTCCTCGGGATCATTAATCGCCACACTGCACAGAGACTGTGCCTGTGCCCCTGTCTGTGCCTCTGCCTCTGCCTGGGCTGGGACTGGGACTGGGCTCTGAATTGGCTTGCCAAATTCCATGTTTTCATAGTTGCCGCTGCTGACCAGCTTATTGTTGTATACGGGAACATAATTGGCATTCTGCGGCGACTTGGGCGCTGCTTTCTTTGGCAAAATGGGCACAGGCTGCTGCTCCGCATGCTCCCCATCTATGTCCGCCGGTGGCAATTGCAATTTCAGTTTGGGCCTCTCCTCGGGCCGTTTTGGCTGTACCTGAATAATGGGCGTTCGGCTGGCCTCGTGCACTTTTAGAATGGGTTTTAGATGGAATTTTGCATTGATTTTTGGCGTTATTGTTGGTGTGGCTGTTGGAGTGTTTTCTTCTCCGCTGCCTGTTGGTTTTTGTGTTAAACTGCTTAAATTGTGGCTACTGCTAAGTCTTTCTATTGTTGTTTTGTTCGTTTCTAATGCTATTGCTGTTGTTGCTGCTATTGCTGTTGTTGCTATTGTATTTCGTGTCGTTGTTGTTGTTGTTGTATTTTCATTAGTCGTTGTTGTTTCTGTTTCTGTTGTAGACCTTCCTGCCGCGCTACCATGATACCCTGTATCATCCACAGTCCCATCTGCGTGTTTTATTTGTCGTGCGTTTTGTTTTTTATGTTTTTTTTTGCGAGTTTTCGTTTACATTTACAACATTTACAAATTGAAGAATTGTGTTTTTTTTTTTTTTTGTATGTTTTAAAGAGAGCCAAAATAAATATTTATATTTTATTGTTTTTTTTTTTTTGTTATGTGGAAAAAGAAGAAATATAAAACAAATATTTTTATATTTTGCTGGTTGGCAGAATGTTTTTGTAATTAAATTGAATCAAATGGGTGTTCGATTGCGCTATGATCCCAGTTTGAGTTTTGAGTTTTGAGTTTTGAGTTGAGTTTTACTTTTATTTTTAATTTTTTTTTTTTTTTGGGGTTTAGTGCGAAGTTTACAGCGGCATTTAGTAGTAGAAATACCAAGACCCAGTCATGTATGGAAGCCGAATGAAGACGAAAATGAAATACACTACGCCAGAGATGGAATGTACGAGTATGAATTTATATGTTTTTTTTTTTAGCTGTTTTATACCATTTGCAAAACTAAACCCATGAAAGAAATACAAATAAAATGAAAAAGATACAGATAGAGATAGAGAGAGATTTATAGAGAGAGAGAGATAAAAAGAGAGAGTTGTGACTACATAGCTACTCGTATTTGTTTATGGATTATTCCGTTTTCCATTTTTGTTGAAAGAATAAAAAGAAAATAAAAAATAAAAAAATAGAGTTGAAGCTCGCCAAAATTTACAGACGTTGCCTACTTTCGGGCAGCGTCGCCTTATTATAGTGATTAAAATTCATGGCATTTATCAATCGCATTTTGTTTTAAGTTTCTAGTGTGTGTGTGGGTGTTGTGTGTGTGTTGTATTCTGTGTGTATGCATTTGTGTGCGCACGGCAGGAAGGTTTCTTTTTCTTGTTCAGTTTCGATTTGTTTCGTTTAACTCGATTATTTTTCTTGTTTATTCCATTTAACTCTAATTATTAAATCGTAAAAAATGCAGCAAACAAATTGGGCACCAGCAGCCCCCAAAAATACAAAAGCTCACAAATTATTAACTACATGAAGCAGCTTTCTGTTGTTAAGTGTGGCTGGCGCCTGGGCAGGGCAGGGCAATGGATAAATTAGCATTGAAATGGGGGAAAAAGCTTACTTAAAGTAATGGGTTAATGGGGGAAGGGATTGTTGGTTGGCAAGGTGCAAATCAATGGCAAAAGCAGCAGTAGCAGTAGCAGCTAAAGAGGGCTTTTAATAGTCCTTTGGTAGTCTTAAAGCTCAAAATAGAATGGGCACACAAGCGTTTCCAGGCAAGTGTAAGCCCACGGCTTAGGCATCCCCCGAGCAAGGAATTACGCAACTACAAAGTAGAGGAGCACAAGAGCAGGAGAGCAGAAGCAGTACGGACAACATGCAACTAATTAAAAGCAAAGCAAAATAGTAAATAAAATTAAAGGTAAAAGTAAAAGTAAAGAAGGCAGCACGCTACAGATATAAAGCTAAAGATATACAGCTACGGATATACAGCTACAGATATACAGCTACTGATTTATAGATACAGATACGGAATAGAGACAGATGCAGATGCAGACAGATACAGTCGTAGGACAGACAGAGTGAAAGCAAAGCAACAATGGGGGGAATACGAATACGAATACGATCAAGCTGATGCTGGACTCACCCTCATCGTCCGACGAGTAGCTGTTGTACACTCCGCCGGGTCCCACATTCGCCTGCGTCTCCGATCTGGAACGTTGTATGCCCGCGGCAGCAGGCTGCGCGGTGGCAGAGCCCCCGTTGGCCAGCAGTCCAGCCGTCTTGCCCGCCTGGGGGCCATAGCGAGCGCCACTGGCCACCGCCGTCGAGGACAGCAGAATGTTCGGATTGCTGCCCAGCTTGGACATGGCGGACATGTTGCTGCCGCCCTGCTGCACGCCCTTGCGGGTGAGCGGGGACTGCAGCATGCGCTGCTTCCACTCCAGCAGCCGCTTCATGGACTCCTCGCGCTTGCGTTCCCCATCCTGGGCGTGCTGCGGCGAGGGCACCGCGCCCGATGTGGGCGACGTGGTGGTCGAGTTGCCCGCCGAGTAGTCATCGTCCATGCCGCCGCTGCGCTTCGGCAGACGGGCACTGGCCGAGCGCAGGAACTGCTCGTTCTTGCATATGATCTCCTGCGTGGACATCGACGGCGGGAAAATGGAGCCCGGATGCACATTGAGCGGAGGCAGATCCTCCGAGTGCTGCTGCTGCAGCTGGTTCTGGTGCTGGTGCTGTTGCTGGGGCAGGGCAGAGGCTGAGCGTGCCACCGACCCACAGCCTGCCCCCTGGCTGGCCGAGCGACTCATGCGTGGCATGCTGCTGGCCACGCCACCCTGGGCCTGTGCCTCGGCCAGCAGTTCCTGCCGCTTGTACGCCCGCTCGTAGGGATTCTCGTACCCAATGGTGTTCACGCCGGACCCAAAGTCGCCGCCAGCGGTGCGATAGCTACCCGCCTGCTGTGGCTGTGCCGCGCCAGCTCCTCCTCCACCGCTCTGCAAGTAGAGCGCACTCTTGCGCATCTTCTCCGCGTAGCTGGCCTCCGAGTAGTAGAAGCTGTCCGGGGTGCGATTGATGTCCAGGCTGGACTTGGGTCGCGGAGCACGTCCGCTCTCGTGCTTGCTCTGGGCCACCGCTGCGGCGGCCGCAGCTGCAGCGGCCTCGGCACGCGCCTCATACTCCAGAAAGTCCGCCGAGTGGGGACGCACGATGGCCGCTGCGGAGCGGGCACGCAAGTCCATGGTATTGATTAGCTGATCAGCGTTGGCCTGCGGGTAGGAATATAAAAGCGAAGTAAGAGAGTGAAGAGAAGGGGTTATATAATGGCTGGCAGGGGCTGTTTTTGCATTTTAAACTGCCGCTGGGTGATGGTGATGGGAATTGGCGTGTCGGGGCGTTGTAGGGCAGCTCGTAACTTGTTCGACACTTGGCACAGGCGAAGGCACAGGCACACAGCTGCTTCTGGCCAGGCCCATAAATCATGCACGCGACTCATTTCCTGGCCGTCTTGCTTGGGTTTGGCTTGGGTTTGCTTTTTGCTCTGACCTGACCCACAAAGCAGCTGCTCAAGCTTCTGCTTCTGCTGCTGCTGCTGCCACATAAAGTTGCATTTGAAGGAAATTTGCCGCCGCCCCCTGGCTTGCAGGCCGCGAGTGCAGCGCACAAATGTCTGCAATTTAGCAACCCACTGACACACTAAAGTCCAATTAAAGAGTGCGCGGGCAGCCAGCAAAGTGCTGTGGGTGGTGGGTGGTGGGTGGTGGGGGCGACTCGAGAGGCGTCTGAGGGCGAAACTGAAAGTTTCCAGCAAATACTCTTAGGTATTCTGTTGGCTCTGTTGGCCAACAATGTGAGCCCGGGTATGGCTGGGCTATGCCCGGGGAATGTTGCACTAAAAGGGGCACTTCACGCAGATGGACCTGAAATACCTTTTGATGGAGGAGCTTCCTCTTCGCTGTGCTGTATCATCCGCCGCCGCCGCCGCGCTACGTGGCAGCAGCACAGCAACATAATCAGAATTTATTCCTGCACCGGCAAGGGCAAATAAAAGTGAAATCCTGCTACGTGCTGAGGTGGAATTCCGGGAAAAACTTTCCAACTAGGTCAGAGCCCCTCCCATTGCTGCCCCCCTTTGTGCTGCACTCACAGCTCCTCCATTCACTTGCTGCAATCAGACAACATCAAGTAGCATCGCAGATGATTTGATGGTATGACCTTCGCCCACGCCAACCGCCAACGCCCCCAAGTGCCCCGTAAAGTATCGAATGGATGGGATGGAATGGAAAGGGATGGGATGGATATCAAGTGGCAGGCAATCAGAGACCGTGTGGCTCCACGGAGGTGAAGGTGCAGGTGCAGGACGGAGGCATGCAACATTGATTGCCTTTTGGGGGAGGATTCTTTTGCACTTACCTCCAAGTGATTGGGCGTGTATCGTTGGGGCATGGCCGGCAAATGTTTGCTGCCATCGTAGCTGGGCGGGCTGAGGGGCCGTCGGTAGCTGGCCGCCTCCTGCAGCAGCGCCTCCTGTGCGGACATGGGCACTTGCCCGCCGCCGGCCAACTGCGACATGTTGTAGATATCCTCGTAGTCGGCCGCTGCGGCTGCGGCGGCAAACAGGCGCTGCTGCTTGGAACGCCCGTAGGCATCCGGCGTGCGTCGCTCGGCCTGCAGCAGCTGCTGCTGGGTGGGATAGCCGCCGCCGGCGGCACGCTGCTGTATCAGCTTCGCCATGTACATCTCCCGCTCGCCGTAGATCTCCTCGGCGGCCCGCTGCTGCTGCAGCCGCACAATCTGCTCCTCCATGTCCAGCTGCTGCTGCTGGAACTGCGCCTCCAGGTGATCCAGATTGTACTGCTGCTGCGCCTGCTGCAGCTGCAGCGCGGACGAGACGTGGCCCGTTCTCGTGTCGTAGATGGCATGATGCTGCTGCGGCTGCTGCTGCTGCTGCTGCTGAGATCGTTGCTGTTGTTGGTGCTGCTGCTGCTGATAAAGCTGCTGCGTGGGCGACATCAGGCGGCGACTAGAAGACTGCTGCTGCTGCTGCTGCGGCTGTTGCTGCTGTTGTTGCTGTGGCTGTTCGTTGTGCTCCGGCGATGGGGAGGAGTAGCCGCCGTCGTTGGTGCGACGCGGCTTGGGCGGAGCATTGGCGTAGAGGGGCTGGGCGCCTCCTCCTCCAGTGCTTCCTGCATTGTCCGAGGACGGCGTTGGCTGTCCCTTGCTGGGCTGCGATTGCAGGGTGTGGATGCCCGAGTCCGAGTTCTCCCCACTGTGGTTGAGGGACGAACTCACACTCGGCTCCGATTCACCGCTGCTGGGTGCCTGCATCAGACTGGCCGCCGCCAGGGCTCGCACCCACTGCACCATGGCGTCGGCGCTCTCCGCCGCCAGCCAGTAGGTTCTCATGTTCTGGTGCTCGCACTTGAAGGCAAACTTGCGGTAGATCTTGTCCTCCGGCAGGCAGGCGGACACCCGATACGAGGGCAGCAGCACCGAGCCCAGCAGCTTCTCCTCCTCGGGCCCCTTGTAGTAGTACATGCAGTACTCGGCCAGCACGAACCATCGCTTGCGCCACACCTTGAGGCCATCGGAGCCCTGCTTGTGCAGCCAGCCGGACAGGGTGACGGGCGTGGTGGGCGGCCGCTTGGTAATGGGCGACTTGAGTGCCTGAATGGAGCCCGCGCTCTTCTTGCGATCGAGTGGCGCGTGAGTGGGGCTCTTGGTGGATGTGGATGAGGACTCTTCGGAGCTGGGCGTCGCCTTGGGCTTCACCGTAGATATCTGCGTCTGGCACGCCTGGTTCACCACGTGTCCCGGATGATTCTGTTGGATGTAGACGGTTCCGTGCTCGCTGCCCGGCGTCTGCAGATCCGCTTTATGGCGATGTTGCTGCTGTTGCTGCTGTTGCTGTTGCTGCTGTTGCTGCTGAAGCTGAAGCTGCTGTTGTTGCAACTGCTGCTGCTGCTGGTGGGCATACAGCTGCTCCTGGTAGTGCTTCGGCATCTGTGGTTGCTGCTGTTGCTGCTGCTGCTGCTGTTGTTGCAACTTCAACGGACCCTGCGCTGGCTGATATTGATTCTGCAGATTCAGCGTGGAGGGCGGAGCCCGCTGCTGCTGTTGCAACAATTGTTGCTGCTGTTGCTGCTGCTGCTGAGTAATGGTCGTCATGTTGGACACCATGCTGGGGGACTGACTCATGTGGTAGTGGCCCGTCGGTGGATTGATGGCCTGCCGCATGGCAAACGTTCGCTGCTGCTGGTGCACCGCCTCATTCTGGGTGGCCAACTGGGCGTGCATCTTGGCCTGATGCAGCTGCTGGTACTGTGCCTGCAGCGCCGATATGGGATTGTGCCCGGCCATGGCGTTGCTGGCCTGCAGCCGCCCCGCCGCCGCCAGGTAGGTGCGCTCCGTGGGCGACTGGTAGATCTGCTCGCCGGTGCCGCCGCTGCTCGAGTATGACTGATGATAGGGCGAGCTGTGGGAGCTGCTCGAAGTGCCGCCGCCGTGGCCGTGCTTCATCAGATTGTGGTGCTTCGACTGCGGCTGCAGCTCGATGGGGGAGAGCGGCCCACCGCCGCTGGAGCTGGTGGCCGTGGGCGATTGCTGGTACAGCGCCTGGTGGTAGATGGCCGCCGGCGAGTGGCTGGCCGTGCGGTAATCCACGAGATTCGTTTGGTAGGCCAGCGGCAGCTTCTTCTGCTGCTGTGCCATTATGGCCGCCTCCTGCAGCTGCTGCAGCTTCTTGGCGTCCATGGTGCCGGCCGTGAAGAGCGGTGGCGCCTCCAACCTGCAATGAAACAAAATTAAAATAAAGATAAAAAACCATGAGAGCAATGAGTGCTGCATGTGTGTGTGCTGCGTGTGTGTGTGTGGCTGCTGGGCTTAATTTGCATTCGCGGCCAGGCCGTAATTCGCGAGCGGAAGGCAGTTGCACTCGCGCTCGTCGTCGCGTAATTGGCCGTAATTGATTAACTGCAGACACACGGCTGACCTTGCCATAATTTCGTAGTCATCTCTGGGGGGGAGAATCAACTAACAGAATGAATACTCACCAGTCCCACAGCTGATATATGCAGCCGAACATTTTAGCACTTTTTTGCACGCGTTTGCGTTAATTCAATTAATAATTCAATTGGCCTAATTGCAGCTTTTCTAGTCGCATCGATTGAATTGCAATTTCTTTTCCGTTTTCACCTCCGTTTCAATTCTAGCGATGAGTTTTGATTTTATTATTTGATTGCACGCAAAAACTCAATTAAAACTTTAGACCCCCCTCGACATTAATTGAATTGTTTCACAGTCTTTTTGTCTTTGTCTTTATGTCCCTCTTCGTTGCCTTTCGTGTGATATGTGGATGTGTGTGTGTCTTTGCCTTGGTTTCTGTGTGTGATTTTTGGGGGAATTGCGAATGCAGCTGCCGCCGCCCGAGGGCAAATGGAAACTGTGTGTCCGAATGTGTGTCTATTTTTATTGAGGAAAATACCGCAGATTTAGTCGTCGCAGCTAAAAGGAGAAACGCGGAGCAGCAGAGAGAACGGCAAAGGGCCAAAGAGAACCGCAGTGGGAAATAAAACCGCAAAAAGCCCAGAAAAAAAAAGGAGAAGAACCGCAAAACGAAAGAAAATGTTAAAGAAATTTTCAATTTTAGGCGCAAATCCAACCAGTTATGGGGAACACATTAATTCCATTCGATGGGGCATCGGAAAAACCTCATACATTTCCCGTAGCTTTTCTTAATCCAAAATAAATCATCTCCAAGGCGACACAATTATTTGCCGTTGAAAATATCCATTAACAGCGAGCACGAATTCAGGTTTAATGCCATTATGCCAGCCAGCAGAGGGGAATGGCAGGTCCTGCTCGTAACACGCCATAATTGCGTTATCGAATGCCAGTTTTAATACAATTTAACGTTGACTGTTATGAAATTAATATGCGGATAGCTGCATATGCAATGGGCCATTCGCTTCGAGTCCATTGGCCAAATGAATTATAGATTTTCCTGGTTTAAGCTCTCGCATACTCAGACACACACATGGCGCACATGTGTATGCAGAACCTCCCAGAGATTTTAATAGGGGCATGGCAATGGGTGGCCTGTCGTGCCCTGCCCTGTCCTGCCCTGTCCTGTCCCGGTTTGGCCTGTCAATCCCCGAGCCCTGTCTGGGCTGTGGCACAAAGCATATCTCTTACAACGACAACAGCCATCGAGCTTGGCTCCAATAATAACGACGACGTTTGTGCATTAAAAGCAAAATCCTGTTGAAAATGTAGCACAATAAATAAGCAATTGATCTCACAGCGTTAACAGCAGCTCCTGTTTTCTTTTCCCTTCCCTCATACATATACATATACATATACACACACATGCGCATGCTAGTGTATGTGTTAGCTGGATTTTATCGAAGACTTTGGCCATTAGTTAGTTAGTCAGGGGGGGGGGGGGGCAGGGCAGTGCCTAGACCCATTTCACGCTACAATCAACTTTGCCCAAACAATTTTATAATTGCCTTGCAGCCGGACCACAATTTGTATGGCTTTCAATTAACGCCCGAGCATGGCCAAAAGCGCAATCGTTGAAAGAAAGCAACAGAAAGCAAGAGAAAGCAAGAGGACAGCCAGGAGCCAGGAGCCAGGAATGTACAATAAAATATTGCCATCGGAGTAACAATACAAAATCAATACCGATTAAACGACAAGCAGCCACGTAGCCGCCCAGGACTACGATGGCAAGGGAATGCCTTGGCTCTGGTTTCTTTATTTATTTATTTATGCGGGCTGTGGGCGGCTACACTTCTTGTTAGTGCAACGTTTGGTTGTTTGGTTGTTTGGTTGTTTGGTTGCCCCACTGACAGACGCCGCCGCTAATGTGAGCATGAAAAATTACCACAAAAATATTTTATGCACACAACAAGAAGGGCAGAGTTGGAGATGAATCCTGACCGAGAATGTGCCAAAAAATATGTGCATATAAATGGCCCACATATACACTCGTACATAGTGCATGATTACAGCGAAAGATGATATATGTATGTATGTATGTATGTATGTAGTACTGTATCTGGCACAAAGCCAGCTGAAACTATGACGCTGATGATGACTGGGATGGCATGGCATGGGATAGGATGGGATGGTAATCATGCTGATGGCCATAATGATGTTATTTATATAACAAATTATAATACAGCCGATTAGGGGTCAGCTCTCACTCTCTCTCCTCCCTCCACGGGATATGTGTGTGTGTGTTTACATTACAACTGCGCTCAGCATGGAGCATTATCATTTTTGTTTTCATTTTTGTTTTCGATTGTCTGGACTCAATTACAAATATTTGAAAGCTGTCCGAAATATGGAAATGATAATGACGCGTAAACTAGTTGGTCGAATTTCGATTCATTTAATGGCATTTTTGATTGGCAGCTGGAACATTTTCTGGACAGCAATTTTCCATAATATCGCGCATACGCAGTGTGGAATGCGCTGAAGTTTGAGGGAATTCCATTATTGTGTTTGATGGCACTGTGATATCTATAAATATCTATAATTTTTGCAGGTCATGTCCCATCAAAAGGGTTAATTTCACTGTCGGAATTTTGGCCATAAGCAACTTGATTGAGGTCTAAATGCGAACACGAATTATTGCCAGGCTTTTAGACGTATTTTGAATGGCTTTGCCGCAGTCGCTTTGGGCTTTAATTGTGTGTTACATATGCAACAGACGCTCAGCCGCGATTGTGGGTGTATGAGTATGGGTGTCCACCTGCCAGCTACCTCGTAAGCTAGCCGCGGACTGGCCGCAATGACGTCATTACGAATGGCGGCAAGTGCCACTCAGGGCCAAGAGGGACGACGTCGCGACGTCGTCTGCCAGCCACTCAGCGAGTCATTTCAGTTTGAATTGGCGGCAGTCGGCGCGAGGGAAGCAAGCACAGGCCCACCAACTGGCCAACTTAATTAGTATTGAGACCCGCCGGGGCAGCCAGGGAGTCCGCGACGGGACTCTCCTCTCTCCTCCTTGGACTCTTGTAATATGTTAAGTGCAATTATAAATACTCATCAAGCAACGAATCCAAGTAGTTAAAGCGGCAGCCAAAGAAGTGGGACAATAAATAATGCGAGAAAAGTACAGCAGCAGCTGGAGGGAGGGAGGAAAATCAATAAACAGGAAAAGCAAAAGCAAAAGCTGAAGCAGAAGCAAAGGAAGAGGCAAAGGAAAAGCAACCAAGAAGACAGCAAATATTTGAAGGCATTGCTGAAAGTGTGACAAAGTTTGGGAAATGGAGAAAAGTGGCCCAGGCACACACACACACACACACACACACACACACACACACACATAGATAGATTGTATACACACAAACAGAAAGAGAGAGAGAGAGAGAGAGGGAGAGAGAGAGAGAGAGAAAGAGAGGGAGAGAGACAGATACAGATACTCAGCAGCGACTCGCAAATAAGTTCTTGTAGTTTTTCTTCCATTTTGTTGAAAGCCCCTGGGGTATTTGGCACATCATGACCTTGCCAGTCCTTTTTGTGATGAGTTGTCAATGGGTGCGAATGACCCATAGGAGTGGCTGGCACTTGGGCATATGCTCGTCAGATAAGTATTTTTTGGGGGGCAAAAGTGTTGCATAATATTTGCCCGAGGCCCAAATGGCCAGCAATTTCACCAACAAAAAAAAAAAAAAAAGCAGCATCCGATTCGACCCGCTCACACATCATTTATCGGTGAGCCAATCATTTGTGCGAATAGCTGCTGCTGTGTATATTTATATTTCACTCTCGTATATATTGTTTGGTGTAATTTGCAAATACGCAAAACAATTGAAAGCAATTAAAATCGAATCAATCATTAAATTGAGTGCAATATGCCAATATGCATGTGTTTGTGTGTGTCTGTATGGGGGGGATAATGGTTAATCGCATTCGACTGCAAACTGCCTTTGCGGTGCATTTGTGATGCACACAGGACGCGGGAGACGGGCTGTGTTGCTTGTGCTGCCTGCCATTGAGGATCAAAGTTTTCAAACTCTGCCAAAATCGAGCAATTTGTAAGCAACATTTTGTTTAAATAACATTTATGGCCAGCAGCAGCAGCAACAGCAGCAAAAGCAATTCAAACTTGCCACACACTTGATTTGCCAGACAGGACACTGGAAGAACAACAACAGGCGACGTTTGACGGTTGAAGGTTCGAGCTCCCCTTTCGTACATACCCATCAGCTCTCTCTGGCACTGGCACTGGCCCTGGCACTTGCTCTGGGCCGAAACAACCAAACCAAAACATGCCGAGAAGGAGGTCCCGACAACAAAGCATAAATATTCATGGGAATAGTTAGAGAATGAAAGGGAGCGAGTGAGTGAGTGAGTGAGTGGGGGGGGCTGCCCATGGACAGATGCCTCAATAGAGCATGTGTACATATTGCATGTGGGTCCATCTGTGTATGTATCTGCGTCAACTTCCGCCCAGAATGACACTTGATGATGAAGATTTTGTTGCTTTCACTTTTGCCATTCCCGTGCCCGTCCCGTACCCGTACCCGTTCCCGTTCTCGCAGCTGGTCCGCCTTGATTGGCATAGACGGCAAACGAGTATAGAGACATGCATGCATCATAGGTGGGTGGGTGAATATGTTGGGGCAATACTTTTTATCTGCCTCCATGCCAGCGTCAAGAGCCTGGGCACGTGCTGCGGCGACAGACGACAAAAGGAGCAATGAGAGCAAATGGGAGAGGTGTCAATGCAGCTGGCAGTCAAAATGGCAAACAGCAGCAGCAGCAGCAGCTGTCAGGCATTGGCAAAGGCGAAGGCAGAAGGCTCCTCCACCATTAGGCATGCTCTCGGGTGATTATCATAGGCGGCATACCTCTGTACAGTGTACACACAAGTGAAGGCGCACAAATTGACTAAGCCAGATGAAGCCAAAGTTCAGCATTAGAGAGGACTCAAAGAGAGAGAGAGAGCAAGGGAAGAGGCTGACTAAGTCGTTGAAGAAAATGTCATCAAGCCATCAGCATGAGGCTGTTACGTGTGTGGCAGCCATGGCAGCCAGCCAGAGGAGGATATGCCTAGGCATTCGCTAATGCTCGCTTTCATTGGCGCCTGGCAAAAGTTAAAAATTCAAATGAAGGCATGGCAAGGACATGCTGCAAGCACTGGCAGTGGCACGGGCAAAGAGTTTATCAGGCAAACATGAGTGATGGCAATGGCGGCTGTCATTCATGTTGCATACTAATTTAAATACTTTGCACGCGCAGGAGCAGCCTTCACAGGCAAAGGGATACAGGGGATACAGGCGTACAGGGGCAAGGACAGTGCCAGCAGCAGTGCCAGAGAAGGAAGAAGGCAACACACACCATCACCATCACACATGCGGTGCTGTTACCCATTTCCGCTTCTGGCAGCAGCACAAAAGCCACTCCATCCCCGGCATCTCCGCCATGCCCAGCCATCCCATCATGCCTTCAGGATGTGTGCCATGTTTATAGCCACCATCCCTCTCTCTCTCTCTCTTTCTGGCTATCCCTCTCTGGCCTTATCCCACTCTGCCCTCTCTTCCCACTCTGTCCCTGCCTCCGCCTCTGGTTGTGTGTGGAAACAAAGACAAGCAAAAATATTTTGCCGTTTTTAGTTGTCGCAAAAGTTTGTCCTATGTTTGGCTGTATCTGTGGGAGTGGTACTAGACATGTGTGTGTGTATCTGGGTATGTTTAAGAGCTTTTGTTTATTGTGTATTTGTTTGGCATTTTCTTGCTGTCCGAAAAGAACGTGAGGTAACGAGAGATGGCCAAAAATGGGCACAAAGCAGTTCGAATGCCACGGGGAGAAATTACACGAGAGGCAGTTCTATTATTGTTTTCCGTTTTTCCCAATCCGAATTACATTTGGAAATCAGTACTCCACGCTAATGAAGTGCACTCGATCCTAGCCTCTGTAAATTTAAGCAAGGACACACTGTGCAACCCACTTACAGGCTGGGGATAGCCACGGAAATAAAACACTCTTCACAAATATATTTTCTGGCCCTTCAACCTAGCCTGGCCTCTTCTAGGAGTTTTTATCGACCCACCCATCCACCAACTGTTACACCTAATATCCCGTCCCAGCCCTGCCCTGCCCCGCCCTGCCTCGCCCTGCCCCGTGTGGAATTTTTGTTTTTATTTGTATTGTGTTTCTTTTTGTATGGCTCTAGGATATCGTACATAAATTTGGGTCTGGCTGCCTGGAGGGGACGTCGTCCATTCATGCCCCTCCATTGTATATAAATGCAAATTGTTATTGATTATGCTCCACATAAAACTATAAAAGAAAAGACATACCAACTGTCACAAACATTCTGCTCCACATTCCCGTTCCCATTCGCATTGCCAGAGGAAATACTCGTACTCTGTGCCATAAGAAATTTTGAGCATTTACAATTTTTGACCCAGAACCTTTGATCCTCCTCCGCTCCCTTTTACTCCTTGGGGGAATTTATGTTGAACAAATTCAATAAGAAGGAAGACGGACATACTGACAATACGTACTAGTAAATATCGAACGAGGCAGGGCTGGCAGGACAAACTATTTTCATTTGCACGCCAGTTTAGGCAATAAACTGAAATATTACACATACGCCCCGACAGCCAGAACGGCCTCATGCCTCGTATAACCATAAATTCATTTTGAAATGCACTTTGACTGCTTGACTTTCCGCTCAGCCGAAGACGAAGCCGAAGCCGAAAGTTGAGCCCCTCTGGGAGTATCCCGGGTCATATATTATACAAGACAGACAGAGATAGTGAGAGCGAGAGAGAGTGAGAGGGAACAGGTTGGGCAGGATAGAACCAACGAACGAAGGAAAGAAAGAAGGAGATGGGTAGAATTGACAGCAGGAGCCTGTCATGCAGAGTTTGGCAAACAGTTTGCTTGCGGCTGCAAAACTCAAACAGTTTAGCACAAACTTTTGCCACTGACATTTGGCCCAACAGCAGAAGTTGCCGCTCGCTCCAGCCCCACGGGGCGGCAGGCCCAGCCGCCTCTCCTGTGCTCCCAGCCCCAATCGCTGACGCAGAGACATAATGACTTTTGTAATTACAGCCCGATCACCCAGCGCCCCCCGGCTGCTTGCTCCGCCATGCGATTACCTGCTGAATCGGCGGCTGTCCAACTTTTAATTGCTGATGCATGCAAAATCCAAAATCAGCGAAATCCAAGGAGTAGGCACTACAACAAACCGCAAAACACGCACCAAATTAAGTGCTAGGTGGATTGGGATTGGAGCAGGAAATTCAAGTAAATGCGAGGCGGAGGCTAAGAAGTAGGTTGCGGCTGCGGCTGCAGCTTGCCAGCAGCAGAGACATCCCTGAGTGGCAGCTGATTGCAGTTTCGTGCACTTAACTTGACGCATGCAAATCTAATTTTACATTTAACTCGAAGAGCAGCACAGAAAATTGCGAAATGAATGAGGCGTGGCAGCAGGCAGCAGGCAGGCCGCCGCCGACAAATGCAAAAACTTATTTACTGGTTAAGTCTTGTCTCTGCTTTGCTCTGCTTTGCTCTCTGTTCACTTTTTGCTGCCACAAAATTAGGCAAGGCCATTATGAAATTATGAAAATTATGAAATTATGAAAATTGAAATGCGGCAACGGAGATGTGGCAAAGCATGTGAAAAAGGCAGAGAAAGAGAGCGAGAGCGCGAGCGGGAGACACACACACACAGATTGGTGGGATTGCTGTGAATGAGATGTGCAAATTTCTTTTACACCTGCAAACACCTTCACGGGTGTACATTCCAGCTCACAAATTATTTAAATTCAGTGGAAATGAATTTTCTTGGAAATCTTTTGCCTATAGATTTTGGCATTACGTGGCTGCTGCTGAATGTTTAACTAACATCAAGAAAGTTTGTTTGCAAATGGGATATAAATATTTTAGCAATTCTTTTTCCCACAGATCAAAAATCTCTGCCAGCAAATGAATGAAATAAAAATTATATACAAATATAAATAATATATTTTCAGCTAATATTAAATGGGAAACAGTTGCTGCTTCTTTACCGCAGGAAGCTTAAATAAAATACCTGCATTAAAAGCCAAGGCTTACGCAGAGTTTCTTAACTTTTGAGCCACTCACAGGTGGACACTGGAAAAGTTTCGTGAAACTTCAGAGCCCAAAACGAGAACCGCAAAGACCAAAAGCCGATTCATCTGCTGTGCGTTGGGTTCGCTTTGGCATAGAGTGCTTTTAAATTTCCATTCGAACGGTACAACTCTGCGCTCTGCGCTTTGCGCTCTGTGCTCTGGGCACATTCGGATCCATGGGAGCGATATCGAGGGGAGTTTAATTAAATAAACCGTAGTAAACCGCTGCACAGGCTTTTCATTCAATTTGCCATCGAATCCAGGCTCGCTGCCACTGCCACAGCCACTGGCTGTGTACCATTTGCCGGGCCCCCCCTGCCCACAGTCAACAGAACTTTTACGGGCGCCAATTAGTCGAATTAATGCTTAAATTTGATTTGTATTAAGCGCTCGAACAGTTGCCCAGTGGCTCTCCCGCTTGTCCGGCTGTCCTGCTGTCCGGCTGCCCACCCATGTGCATCATGACAAACTAGGCACAAGTGAAGTGGGACAGTGGGGCACTGGGCACAATGTCCTTGCCACAGCGCAATGTTGTTGCCCGTCTCGTTAATATGCATGAGACATCACGGGAATGGCGAATATGTAGTTACATTTTTGAACTAACTTATTCATTAGATACGACGAGGCGAGCCGACAAGTAGTCTCCTTCCAGATCCTGTATGTGTGTGGGGGTGGGCAGGACAGGCTAAATTATTCGCTTTCAGGCATAATAAATTGCTTTAAAAAGGAGCCGCCAACAAAGCTGCCAAAGATAGCACAACTTGGCAACAATTTAGTTGCCTTTTGTCCTCGTTGTTGCCACATTCTGCAGGTGCTGGCTGCTTTGTATTTCCAGCACACTCACACGACACACACACAGATAGCACCCCACTCATGTGTGTGTGTGTGTGTGTGTTAGTCGCAGTCGCCGAAAAAAAAAAAGTAGCAAAGGATTTACAAACAGCAAAGAGAGAAAGATGGAGGGCACAGGATGAACAAGATGAAAAAGTGTTACTTTGTGTCAAAAGAAAGGCGCGTAGGAGGCGCCCAGAACTTGATGTGGGCCCCCCTACACCCCCTCCCCCCCCAGCGCACGGAGCAGTCGCCAAACTTTAGTGTCTGTGCCCAGTGGACGATGAAAATGTGAAGCTAAAGGTGGACACGGATACGGGGCCAGAACCTGGCACTGGCACAGACACTGGGCTGTGGGCTGTGGGCTCGGCTTCACATGGAACGACTGCGACTACGACTACGATTGCGAGACTCCGAGAACGATGACGACGACGACGACGACGACCAGAGCTGGGTCTTCGGTAGTCGCTCCGTTTCTGGCACATAATCATTTACATAATATACGTGAGCACAATCGGCACACAACCACAAACGAACAGCCAGAGGAGGAACAGCGGACCAAAGCAAAGCACTGGCTGACTGGCTGGCTGACTGGCTGGCGCACACTTTGCCAGGATAATTTCACTCTCACAGGACGCGCTTTTTGCTTTTTTCGTTTTTCGTTTATCGTTTTATATATACATATATATATATTTTTTTTTGTGCAATTTCTTTCTGTGTGTGTGTGTGTGTATTCTCGAGTATATACAAAAAATATTGTTTCGTTTATGTAACCGTCGGCCGCGCACATTTTCTAATTCATTTTACTTTTAGGATTTCGCGTGGCTCTCGATGTGGAGCCTCTTTCCCACACTCTTCTTCCACCCCAAACACCGCCGCCCCCCCTCCGAAAACCAACGGTTTTGCGTTGCCAACTGAGCGACGAGCGAGCGCGCGCCTTGCCAACGTTCTGCCGCGTTCTGTTTCTGGCCAAGTTCGTGGGTAGACTGAAGAAAAATATATGGCTGGTTGCGACCACGTTCCCACGGCCAGGCGTTCGTTCGGCAAAAAGGACACCCGGCGAGGCACAGGGAGGAGGGAGGGGCTGAGTGAAAGCTGCACTTCGGCAAAGCTCGGCGAAAGCTTCGTGGGTTGTTTGTAGAGTTGCAAGGAAGGAGCTGCCTCGTCTCAGAGTGGAATGAGCTTTCTTTCTGTATAGAGTTGCCCGAGGATTTTCCACTCAAATTGCTTTGAGGAAAAGCTCGGAAAACTCACATGGCGCCCGCATGCCACCACATCGTATAATCCCCCTAAACTCCCCCTCAGCGCGCAGGGGGGGGAGCGCAAAAAAAGCATCAAAGTTGAAGCTTTTATTTCTAATTTAGTCAAAGCAACTAAGCGAAAAGTAGCAGCAGCATAAAAATGAATTATGAACAGAGATATTCTAACAAAGTTTCCGCTTCAGTCTGCAGTCGCGCCAAAAATCGCTTGGGGCGATGTTTCGTCTCAGTTTGTTTGCTTTTTGTGAGGGAAGCGCGTGCGAGGTCATAAAAATCGGTGTTAATATCAATAATCTAAGCCAAACCCCTCCACTCCCCCCACTAGTGCCCCACTCCACTGTCTGTGGCTGTCTGCTTTAATTATCATAGGAGCGCATGCGAGGCCAATTAACCGAAACGAACCGTGCCGTAGCGTACCGTACCGTACCTAGTCGGGCTAATAACTCAAGCCAACTCACCTCTGGTCTGATCTGATCTGATGTGCTCTGCTCTGGGGGGGTTAGGTTACGTGTGTGAGTGTGTGTGAGCCAATCACAGTTCAGGCGCTGCTCCGTGGCCCAGCCATCATCGAGAACTGCAAAGAGAGAGAGAGAGAGAGTGGAGAAAGAGTATTCATTAGTATGCAGACGGTAGAGTTCGAAGGGGAGCAGCCAGCAAACAACTGGGAAATCGTGTAAAAAACGCGTATGTCAATTAAAAGCCTATAACAAAAGCAACAACTGTGTGTGCCCCAGCGACAAATGCTACACGGTACACGACGAACCTCTGGCCAAGAGGCACAAATCAGCAGCTCTGTGGGGGCGGGGGCGGGGGCGGGGGCCTTCCACTACTAACACACAAATCGTTGCACGCAAATGCAAAGCGTTGGGCGGGAAGAGAATTTGAATTGGCAGTTGGCTGAGGAAAAGGCAACACATGAGGGATAAGGCCTTATACCTTATACCTTATGCCACTTACCCACACAAGTCACGTGCTGCCAGAAACGACAAAACACGCGCTGCAAATGTGCCGCACATGGAGTGGAGTCGCAGTTGGAGTCGGTACGGGTACGGGTACGGGTAAGGGGAACTCTCTCGGCTTCGAGATGGCTATAAAAATGCATTTAGCTTTTGGTGTTTGCTCACGCAGAGGCATCAGAGGTGGTTGGGATTTGGTAGTTGAGTGGCCAGGCGGAGACTTGCATTGAATAACTAAACCGAAAATATTGTTTGGTCATTGCAATGGCTGAGAACCTATTTTATTCATGGATATGTAAATCATATGTGGCTGAGTCTCAGTCTGGGGTAAATTTGTTGAGTAATTTAACAGCCGCAGTTGGGCAGCAGAGCGAAATAATCGAATCAAAGGAGCCGGAAATGTTTCCTGCATTCTGCCGTGCAAATTGGGTCAAAGTCAAGTTAATAAAGTGCAGGGGGAATCATGGAATTTGGACAGCCTGCCATGGCATTTGGCAATTATAATTGAAACACTTCCCTGAACTTTCACAGCCAATTATCCTGGGGTCAGACTTGAGCTCCAATTACTTGTTGGCTGTTCTCTGGGTGTCTGTGTGTCTGTCTGTTTGTGGAATTGGAAACAATTAGCAGCAGAGTGTGCAGAAGATTTAGAGCGGAATGTCATAGCCCTAATTGCCCAGCAGCACACACATAGAGGGAAAGGGGTAGGGAGAGAGAGAACGGTGCAGAGGGTTGCTGCAAAATTTAATGCCGGAGACATGCAAAAATTACACATCCTCAATTGCAGGAGCCACAGACATCGTTGTCAGCCTCGCACACACAAAGCCGCCCAAATTCAATAAACAAGTCGCTCGTGCGGGCCAGGAGACACTCATTTGCCTCCTGCCTGCTGCTTGCTGCCTGCTGCCTCCTGCCGGGTGCAACGAAGCGTGCTGGCCTCTCGAGGGCATCTCTTGGAGTTCCAGTTGGAGACAATGTTGGACATGTGCGGGCGAGCGGCGGAAGCAGCTTAGGCGCATAACAAAATCAATTGCAGTTTCACAATCCTGTCCGCAGTTGCTTGTCCTCGCTCCCCCCAAAAAGTAGGCAATATAAATTTGCCCACAGCTGCCATGTGTCTCCACACAAACACACACCCACACACACTAGTGCACACATTAAGCCATTACTCTGCATGGCCATGCCCATGTCCAGTGGCCAGTAAACGACGACAGAACCAGCAACAAACAACATCGATTCTGGCGCGTTTTGGTCAAACCCCTGCCCAGGCTGGGTGTGCTGCAAATTCAATTCAAATCTACACAGTGCCCACACGCGTGGGTTAAGCCATCAATTGCCATTGTACGCCACTCTCTCACTCTCTGTCGTATGCCAGCTTTGCTCTGCTCTCCTATGCTTTCCCCTGGTGCACTGAAGTGTGAGACCAGCGGCAGCTAGCGCCTGCAGACCAGCAGCCCAGCGCTGGTCCTCCACTGCCACGCTCCATTGAACGGCCACATCCACTTTGCCATCGCAACCAAACGCCGAGCCGAACGTATTTTGCCAATTACACATCGACCACCTTTGACAGTCAACAATGGGAGAGCGGAGCAGCGGCAGCGGCAGCAGCGGATCTTAAGGTGCAAAATGGATGGTCGAAAACAATGCAGACTGATTTAATGATGCCACCGCCTGGACAGTTGGTAGGCTGATTTAATGAATGCATTTTGTAGGTTCGACACTCGAAATTGGGCTTGGGGAAATATGTATGTTTGTGGCATCAACAAGTAAGCTGATTTATTACCACAGATCGGCATACATTAGAAATATTGCAATGTTGGAATAGATTTTAGGTATCATAAATATCATGCCATATCCAACACTTTCCACAGCTGTCAGAGGCGCAGCTTGTCCTTTAACCCCTTAAAGTTCGTTGAACTCGTTTCCTCTTTCCTGGCAGCCTAATGCATAATTAAGTGTGCCCGTGTGCGTTTTGTGTATCTTTGAGAGAGGTTCAAGTATGCGTGTAACTGACGCCTGCTGCTGCTGCAGCTGCACCTTGTTGTTGTTGTTGTTACTGCTGCCAGTGCAGCATGCAATTTACTGACACACTTAAATGGGGTCGCCTCACACACACACACACACCCCACTCTGGCCAGTCCCAGTGCCAGTCGCCGTACCAGTCCCTTGCAGCTTTAAGCTGCAATCTCCGCTGCAATTCATTTAAAGGCCGTTAATGCAGGAGTCACGTTCGCCAGCTAACCGCAAGCATCTGCTTTTCACATTTGACATTTTCCTGCTATTCCGTTTGCGATGTCATCGGCAGCTAACTACGTAGCCCAGCGGCGGTAAATGGATGGCTGGCTAGATGGCTGGCTGACTGGATGGCTGACTGGCTGGTGATTCGCGTTCACAAATCGCGCTTGACTTCCGTTCGTTCCGTTGATTTTCACCCATTGCTGGCAGAGTCACAGCTGCGGGGCATACTTGCAGTGCTCGCAGTACGTAAAACACAGTGCCATTACTCGGTGCTTTCGTTGGATTGATTTGTACTGCTGCGGTTACGATTTTCTTCTTCCCATCAATCAGAGGCTGCAACATCATTTGCCTCATTATGCACCACAACAACAACAACAGCAAAACACAAGGCAACGACGAAGACGACGAGGCACAGCATCATCATCGATGGGGGGCAACTCTTTAAAGTGGGTCAAAAGGTGATTTCCCCGCGCCTAAGACACATTTTTTTGTGTTGTGCCGTTTGGCAAATTGCCAACAGCGTCAAGGTTTTGTGGTTTGTGTGACAGAAGCATTTGGTTGTGAAAATGCCAATTCCGAGTTTCCCATCATCGCCATCGCACCATCACACCATCGCACCATCAGCAGGAGCAACAGCAGCAGCAGCAGCTCCGATCCGCTGCAATGTTTTGGCTACCGTAGAAATTTGTGCAACGTACTCCTCCATGGCAGGGCTGGGGAGCAACCAGCAATCGCTGTAAACTTGAACTTGATCTTGAAAAAAACAAAAATATAAAAAAAAAACGCCCGGTTCCATATGCCTGGCCATGCATGTACGCCTATTCTCTGTTCCCCCGATTATATCATATTTTCCTACGCATTTCCACTCCACTTAATAGCAAATTATCTGCAGGGGCACCACTGCCACACAGCAGTGCCAGAGTGAGGCAGTGGCAGTGGCAGTGGGGGCAGTGTCAGTCGCGTGTTTTGTTTTGTTTTGTTTTGTTTTGTCTGTGTGCTGCGAGTACATTTGGATATTTGTTCGTTATGCTAGTCGTACTCGAATCGTTCGTATCTTTTCAGCGCAGCTAAATGCTTCACGTCTGTGCGCTGTTGCATGTCGCCTGATTGTTGTTGCTGTTGTTGCTGCTGCTGTTTTTGGTTCTGCTGTCAGTAGTTTAGTTGTTGTTTCTGTGTTAGCCGAACAAGCGCACAATTAGAGCGCTCAAAGTCGCGTAACACTCGCCAAATGCCGGCAACTTGGCAGCCACATCGAGTGCTGCCAAATGAGCAGCAGTTTAGTCCGGATCTGACTGTGACTATTTTGCACATGCCACATGTTCTACCAGAGGGTAACAAGTGGGCACAATCAAACATAAAATAGCAAACTATTATAAAAAAATATAAATAAATAAAACAAATATAGAAATAAATAATTCGATGTCATACAAATATCTGTTGAAACATCTGCCATGCAGACTGCCATAAACCTCCATCTAGTTCTAGTAATCATTTCTTTAACTAAAATAAACATTTAT